TTTATGGGTAAATACACTTTTTTTCTATAACTGATCGTTGGTGAGATTTTCCTATAATAATCTCAAGAACAATTTACTAGTAAAATACCAGGACTCTCCCTATGCAGTATTAAAAATAGAAAAATTGTGGCAAAAAACCCTTCGATTTTGTTGAGAAGGTGTACAAATATTCTAATGAATCGAGTAGGTTTAGGCGTGCACACTTCGACTTGATGAAAAATAGTTCCAAAGCGTTTGAGCGTGACGTTGCAAACTGAAGATTTTCACTCAAGAAGATAATTAGCTTGGAGCAGGTGAATAAAATTCTTGCTGTTGTATTTACTTCGCAACAGGTGCGCTGGAATGCTCTTTTTGCGATAAATTGGGATATCGTTTGAAAGAAATTGGCGCAGGTGCGAGGAGAAGGAAGAATAATTTTATGAAATCGGAAAACTTTATTCATACTTTGTTGACACCAATTTATGACTGCAATTATTGTGTAGGTAATAGATGTTTTGTAGCAAACTTATAACCTTCAATACACATCATTAAGTCGGTATACCTACTTATATCATTTATAATTTCGTTCATTAAACTCATTATTATTATTTAACTTTTTATTTTTAATAATAATTCAAAAGTTCAATTAATTTTCCGTTATACAATGTACTGAAGTAGTATATGTATGTATGTATATGTATGATAGGTGTACTATGTAAGTACAACTATGCCAATTGAAATTAATGCTCAATTTAATAGGTACATACATACATTCAAAAATTTCCCACATTTTTACCGGTTCTCGATAATATTTACCTAAACTCACCTTGACTGTTCTGGTTTGTGTCAAGAGATAAAAACTCAAAAGTTGCCACATACCTCCGAATCTAAACAGCCAGACATTGGCAATGAAATGTCCAACTGGGATTTCGCAGATCGCTAACGAATTGCAATCGATTTAATCGAAAACCATTGATGGTTTTGTTGTTCTCGAAGTTCCGACCTAATGCAATTTGTCGTCGGTCCAAAGTATACGACAAACGATTTTATTTTCAATAATCCACGATGTACGTGTTGTTTTACTTAAATTGATAAATTAATGCAAATCGAAATTATTGTTTTAATGATTACCATATTTTATTATTAATTTAATTGGGCTGGTGAACCTTGAATTAATTACAATACCTTTTTACTGCACTTGTCGTTACTTTACTTTATTTTTCAACTCAAATTAAGAGAAATTAAATCGAGCATTTTACCAGCTTACTGATAAAGCCTGTTAAAAACGAAGCAAATAGACTGTTTACTTATAGAGTAAATTAGTATATCAGCAGTAGGTACTTATAACAGTCAGGCAGGTATACAGATACCAACTTGAATAACCCAGTTTTCCTAAAAAAAAAACAGCAAAACATCAACTCAAAAGTCGTAAAAGAGCAATAACGTTGGATCGGGTTCGCATTATTCACGTTCGACGACGTCAGCAGGAATTTTATCAACAATGAAGTTTTATGTAAAACGCACATGAAAACAATATAATAATCGTCGAAAAGGTATTTTCTACTTTTGTACAGGTTTGGTTTGTTTATAATTACTACGTGAAAATATCATAGTTGCAGGAAAATCCACGCGGCTATTATAAGTTTAGTGATTAGACAGCAATGGGCTCATTCGATAAAATTTAGAATTTGATCAAACTCTATATAGATAAAGAAGAGGTCAAAAAAAATGGTTACTGAAAGTTTCAAGTTGATCCGATCTGCGGTTCTTTGATTATTCGAGTTTAAAGATGCGATTATTTGTCTCCGCGATAGTACGATGATGACGTCACTGCATGCGATCTCTTCGCTATCCGCTTCGCATTCACTTAACTTGCATTGCATTCGCGATCGTTTCGTCTTTTTTTCGACTATGTTTAATTGATTATATAGGGTAATTATAATAAATAATTAATGCTAATTGTAAGTATAATATTTTGGTTATCGATCAATGAGATTAGCTACGTAAATATATTTAGGAATACCTAAATAATAACTAATACCTACCTATGTATGTTTTGGATTTTGCTCTATAACATGTATTACCCTTTTTATAATGTTCTCTTTTTCATTAGACCAAGTTGACTCAGAATTAACCAAAAATGATCCCGAAATTAAATATCGCATATTACCCATATCGTTTTCAAACTAAAAAATTTAATTATTTTTACTAAGCAAGGTAATTATTATAATTAATACTTATATTAAAATGATCTTCACAGACAAAATGTGTTGACTTTGTACTAACCAACATAACATATACTTCTTTTCATTGATTTTTGTCACAATTTGTTTTTTTTTTAAATCGCGCGGAAGACTAATAAATATTTTATTAGGCGTCTTAAAACTAGTGCTTCGAAATTTGGGAACAATGCAATATTTATAACTATTTTTTGATTTATTGTCCGTCATTATTTAAAACTCCCTAAGCGTATTTAAAACCCTAAGAACGCGTTCAATCGACAGCCTATATTACAAATTTGTTCTCGCAACGCATGCAGTGACGTCACAGTCAATTCGAGCGAACGCCTTTTTAAGGCCTTTTTAAGGGACTTCTACATGGAATTTAATTCTGATTTTTTGCATAGTGACTTAAAATTGTGTGGTCTTTCCAAAAAGCAAATAAAAAAAAAGTGTCGAATGAGCCCATTACCGAGCTCAGTTAGTTAGAATTGAATATAGAATTAGCTAGGTTACTGCGTTGTTTTTATTTATCTAATAATGATATCTTATAATTAGTAAATTTTACTAAGTATAGAAAATTATCTAGTTACTGTAAGGTCAAACACAAAAGAACTGTCATACAATTTAAGGAAAATGCTACGTTTGTATTCGTTTTAATTTTTTCTCTCGAAAAATTTTGTAGAAACTAAACTTATTTTCAGTACGAATTTACCAATAGCTACACTGGCTGTATGCCCGGGATACCAGTCTGTTTCGAGAGCCAACATAATTATTTATCAGAAGCTACCAGCTAATTTGTTTCTATTTAACACATAATTGTTATTTACCGTTTAAAATTTTTGACAATCATATCACAAAACCAAATTCCTGCTGGTTAGCAAATTAATAGATAAGCTATAATGAAATCGTTTAATTGTTAAGAAAAAAAATAATTTACCCAAAAAGATAAATTTGTTTCAGCTTTCAGCTGTTCATTAATTTCACTTATCGTGATCTATACATAGAAAACAAATTTGACCCAAATATCCTTAGGTATCTTCGGTTAAAACATTTTGAACAGAATTTATAAAATTTTCGTTTCGTCTTGTAATTTTATTAATTCACTAATAATGTCTTCTACAATTACTCTTAAGTATACACTTAAAAATGATGACAAAGTTTTTAGTAAACCAATAATTCTAACTAATTTCAAATTTGTACACATTTACTAAAACTTATGTAGTTCCATTAAATTTTTTTAAAGAAATTGACTTAAATTAAATTTACTTCAGGCATTTTCGGGCATTCTGGCATTCGATTGATTACAAGACGTATACACGTTTTTCGTTAAAGTAGTATTTATGTAGATTCTATAATGAACTACTGATCTGTTTAGGAGAGTAAAATACAGTAGGATGCTCTATACCGATATAAATAGAAGTTTACATAATAAACATTAAGATAATTCTGCGGAAAATAAATTTACTTCACTGCTTTATCGAAATAACAAAAAGTTATTGCACAGATTAAGTTAATAGCTTTCGCTCTGATGCCTGTGGAATAAATAAAGATTACACTGTTTTCATAGAAGCCGGCCATAAAAATTGAAAAAATTATAATATGGAAAAGAAGACCTACCCCAATATCTTTATAAGAAACTATTGTGTACTGTTATGATTACACAGGTATTTATTTTTTTTTATTTAATGCTTCCTTCCTATTTTTTTAAATAGCAAAGGTTAAGGTAAAACTCAAATTTTTGTCAGTAATTTAGTTTTTACAATTCAAATTAAATTCTGTTGCGGCTCATTTAGATTTTCACTGCCAACAAAAACCAGGTAATTTATTTAAATATTTGCAGTCTGTATAACAAACTTTAATATTATGCAGGTTCTTAAATGCTAATTGGTGTAAATTGCGTGCATAAATAAAGGATCTTTGTTCCTCTTCATGAGAGAGATATGCCTAGGTAGTTGATTTTATTTAGTTGAGTTATTTTTACATAGTATAATTAATAAAGTTATTATGTAGTAATAATCAGTAAGTAGTTCTAAGTCAAAATTTCATGTTGCAATGTCTAGAAGTAAAAATAAATTCAAGTACTTTGCATCTATTATTTTCTAATCAGCATAAAGTAAATTAGTTACTCTAATTAGGTAATTTAGTTCTGTTTTGACCATGAATTTTTGAAATGTTGAAGTAAAAAACCTAAATATGTGTATAATTTTATTGTAAATTACATTTACTGAACTTAAAAATGATCTAATTACATTTGTAAAAAATTTATATGCTTGATGCCTTTAGGTGACTTAGATATAAAACATATTAAAATTAGTTGATTTTTAGTTGGTGAAATTTCAATTTTATTATATCAAATATTTTTAACTTCCTGCCCATTTGTAATAAAGATTCATTTCATTTACAATTTAATAACGTTTATTAATTTACCAAAGATCAAATGGATTAACTGAAGTGAATTTAATTAACACTTTAAATTTGCAATTCTCGGTCCTTCGATTAAATCTGTGAGTAAGAATAGAATATACAAGGCTCAGTTTCCCCGAATCCTGAACTTTTTCGAAAAAAATTCAGCAAAATCGCGCGTTTTAAAATACTCCTATATTATATTACAGACTGATCCCAAAAAATCTAATTATAGCTTTTATATGTCACTGATGAAACACAGCACAAAAATTCGCAATAACATCCAAAAATAAACCCCACGCTCCAACTGAGCTTACATAATCCACCCCCTTTTCAAAAAAAAGACCCAACAAATACTCCAATATCGCGAAAAAATACCTAAAATACCGCACTTACTTTTTGAATCACCAACGGGGTGCCGAAGTCCTTGCCTCCCTGCAGCCTGAAGCCCAAATTGGGCGAATTGCCCTTATCGATACGCACTGTCAGTAGGGACGCCATTTCACGCGAATCTCTTCGGCAATTATTTTCCACCGATAATTGTAAATTCGCACTCGGATCGGGTATATTTATTTTAGCAGACGCGGTTATACAATTTGAAACTCGAAGTCTCCGACACCGCCGCGGTTCTGGAGGAGCCTCGCGACGATGGTGGGGTCCGCGAATGTGCTATTATTAATGCTACTTTTATATACTGGATGTTGCTTCGTGCTCGGTCTGGGTTATATTTTTGAAACGGCGGCGATATTTCGCGAGAGCGAAAGGAGCCGTGGAAATAGGCCAGGTCGTTTAAACCGGGGGATCGGATGGACAAAGTTCGATTATCAATTTGACGATTTTATAAACTTGAACTTATAGGAAAATAATTACAGGAGGAACACTTATAAAGGGTACTAGTACTTAGAAAATAATGACCTATGTATTTTTAGAATTGATAAAAGATTAATGCAATCAGGATTGCACATAAATATCACTAAATCATTCATCACTATATCAATATGGAATTGATTAATATGGAATATTTTTTATTGAAGCTTGTTCAGGTATATCTTCTCTAGTGCAATATTGATTTTGATTCAATTTTCAATGGACTTTTGAAAGATATGATTAAAAATGATTACAAAATATCATTTAGATCAAAACAGATTGATATTTAAAGGTTTTAATAATCACAAAATAATCGCTCATTAATAATCTAAAATTCGCCAGTCAAAGTGTGTACTTAAATAATTAATTTACTGCAATATCCCAGGTTTATTAATAAACAGATATACGAGTATTTACAAACTTATCTCCATACATTTTACTTATCATTGTATAGCTGGGGAGTCTGTGTACCCCCATTTTTGTTTCTTTAGTCTTTCAACTGTGATTTCATTTTTTTCTTATCATTTTTCATTTCGAATATGTAATTAGCAATGTTATGTGTTAGTCTGTAGAGTGTAGATCAAACAATTGGCCGAGTCTTGAGTCATAGCATTGTATACAAATTTAATGGAGTAGAATGCTCTATGCTCTTGAATTGTTGCCTTCATTGTTCTTATGACAATTATAAAGTAAATTACAAAAATGAATTAACTATTGTCGATTTTATGCAGTTGGTTTTTATAGAAACCTATTTTACTTTTACATAAATTTTTTTGAAGATTTGAAATTAAATTATTAAAGTATCAACCAGCACATTAATATGTGTCTATTTTTATGCCACCTACAATTTTTTGCTATACACGTTCCAGTCTAAATATTACTACAAAATATGAAGTATTGTAATGATGTGGATGTGAATGATCAATGTTGTACTATTAACTAAGTGAATAAAAATCCAAAATACAAAATTGTTTTTCCAAAAAAAACGAATTAGGTCATTGTTTAATGCCATAATATGTTAAATAATTTTATAAAATTCACGAATACAATACTATTAAAATGAAAAAACAATTCATGAATTTTCTATCCTTATAGAATCTTAAACTGGAATTAAAGAATTAAAAAATACATTTGAATAAAAAATATTTAATACACATAAAATATTGGTACCTACATAAAAAATATTATAATTAAATAATGGCTTTATTGATATTGCAATTTTCTAATTGTTAATACTTTAAGTACCTATGAAATTACATACATTTTAGTCTTGCATCGCCATCTACAACTTGAATGGTAAATTTAAGCATTCATTGCACAGACATCGGCCTTCTATAAAGTATAAGCTTTATTAAGTTCATAATGTTTCTTCATATTCTCCTTATTAGGCTGAAAATTAAATTCTTATATAAATTTTCTATTCGTGCACAATAAACAAATAGAGTTTCTTGAAGGAACAAAAAAATAGGGACTACTTTAGCTATTTAGAAGCAGGGCTATTTAGCAGCAGATATATGATCTGGTTACTTACCTACGAGTTAGATTTAGATCATAGATTTTTTGTCTATTGATTTTAAGGAGTAAATTTTGTTAGTAAGAAGCAATTTCATGCATATAAGCACAGAAATAGAAATTATGATTTACCGATAATTATAGATAACTAATGCTCGCCTTCGACATAACTAGTTCCAGGTTCTGTAAGTAATCTTTGATATTCAGAATTAGCGGAATCTATAGAAAAGAAAAAAAGGTGAAAACCAGTGAACAGAAGTAAAGGTACAAGTAAATGAAGTTTATAAAAATGAAATATAACTAAAATTTCAATAAAAACATCGATTGCGTTTCGTTTAAATTTTAATGGAGAATATTGAACAATTCATAAATTCTTTTTAAATACGTTTGTAAAACATTTAACATCCATAAAATACTTTTCTAATACTGTAAAAAATCATCAAAGAAAACTGTAAATAGAGATCTTATTATCTTGTTTTCATATAAGATATGTTATTGTCAACGCTATTGTCTATATTTTGAAATATTAGTTTCAATACGCTTTTTAGACTTAATTATTTAAAAGCTCAAATAAGTTCAAATGTGGACAATAAGACCAAATTTAAAATAAATAAAATTATTATTAAAAATATGCTAAATTTAAAAAATATGGAATGATTAAGTCCAAATTACGCATAAATACAGAAGAGTTTATAGAACTGTTTTCTACTTTACAGCTATTAATCTACCATCACTAAGAAACATTAATATCATTAAATAGTTGCGAACATCAATCTAAATAATTAGTTCACCTTTCTAAGAGATCTATGTCTATTTGTTTAGTTAACATTGAGATAAATTTACGAATTTTCAAAAATTTTGCATTATTGTCAGCTCTGACACGCGCGAATCTATTTCACAATGAAGCTCGATGTAATTCTTCTAATTCAATACCTATTAATAGAAATTCCAATTAAGTCTGTGGTTGAAAATTTGCCAGTGACAAAAATTATTTCAATTAATTTAAATTTACTCATTAGATAATTTATAGTTTCAACAAAGTGTATACTATTAAATAATTAAAAACTATTTTGATTTTATAATGTGAACTAAATATTTAACTATTAGAGTCATACTACATTTTCCATAATCTTATAAGTATATTTGTCATCAATGTATATAGATATGCATAAGTTATATTCATCCCTTACATTAATAGGATATGAATAAGATCAGGAAAATAAGATGACTATTGTTTTGATGCTAATTCTTTTTACATAAATAGCTGCCTTAATGGTTCTCAATTGTAGATAATATCAAAATTTGTATACATATTTTTATATCTTTAAATAATTGCCATTAGGAAAAATGTATATTTGATTAAATTTTGGTATATTAAAAACGAAATCAAAAATAATACCATAATAAATGCTGTTAAATTCTTCCAAATACTTAATGCATAAATCAATAATACTGATAATCTTTATAAACATACGGCGAATTAATTTTACTTAAAATAGCTGCACTAAATATTTTATCACAAAGTTTAACTTGACAAGAACGCAGAAATAGGAGAAAATATAATATTTATTCGTTGTAACATTATTATTTTACATTATACTGCATGACACTCAATATGTGTTACCAATTCATAGAATATTTAAAAAACAAAAAAAAATAGTTCATTACTTACATAAAAACAAAAAATGTCCATCAATGTTTCCCATAAACAAATTGAAATTAGAGCCAGTAGTAATTACCTTACTAATATTAATATTAGCAATCATTTTAGTCTCATGTTTGTTCATCAACAAGTTTATGGAATTTTGCACTTATTTTGTAATTTAGTATAATTTACCCGTAATTAACAAATAATTAAATTATAATTAACATTAAAAAAATAAATTTGCCTAGTCTGATTTCTTTGCATACCCTTAGAAAGTGTAACACATATTTAGGAACATGTCGTAAAATGCTGCAGGAATTCCTTTCTAAAACCTCCTATGAATGTATTAATTAAAATAAAATAATTTATAACAATCATTACCTAGGTATTGTCCACTTTCATAAGAACAGTTCATTCAAATTTACTTTGATGAAAATTCAATAAATTATGCTTTCTTAATATACTTTTTTGAAAAAGTTCAGATATTACTCAGACAAAATTTCTTTTCCCCCTCAACTATCATAAAATGTTAAATATAAAATCTCTGTATAAAACACAAAAATCTCACGTAGGTCAAATAGTTGATCAATTTCCTCTTTGCTATTTTCCAGCAAGTATTACCTACTGTTTAAAATTTGTATAATTTTAAAAATATTAAAAGATAAAACGGAGCAGTTTCACATGAACCACAATATTAACATCACTCTTAACCAACTTAGCTGTATTTTAGGCCGTTTTTGCAAACATACATAAAGTCTAAAGGTAGATAATAAGTATTGGTTTGACTCCATTAATTTCAAAAATCTAATCTTAAATCTAATAAAATTACCCGAAAGTAAATCCCATATATCAACCTCCTTTTTCAACAGAATGGACTAACCAACTAAACAAATTGTTTTCAACTGTTATACTTTTCTTACAAAATCGGCCTATCATACACTTAAATCTACTTTGAACTATCAATCTTCTCACTTTGGGCGGCTTGACGACGCAGATCCGAACTGGTGAAAACCACTAGAATAATGCCAATCAACAGGACGAAACACATGACCAGATTGGCCCATACGTCGTTCACGGCGTTGAAAATCACAGAATATAAATTGGTAAAAACTATGCCTAAAAGGTTACAGGCGCAATTTAACAGACCCGCCGGTGTTCCCTCGGGAATCGGATAAGTTAATTCGGTCGCCAATTCAAAACCGACTGGAAGCAGACCTGTCATGAAGAATCTGAAAATTGGACCCAAAGTATTAAGTTTCACAATGGTTAGTCTCTTTCGTGAAGGAATCAAGTGGAAGATTTGTTTAGAAGGAGTATGTTGGTCAAATAATATGATTATAAAGAGATGATGGATAGTAGAAGCTAATAACATCGTACTGGACTTACCCAAGAATTGCTGATATGATATAAACAACGACGATTCCTTTGGATATTGTAAACGTATAGATCACCATCCCGACTAACGAGAAGGAGTACACCACCAGAGTAGTTTCTCTAAAAATTGATAATATTGTTATTAAACACGAAAATACATTTCACATTCTGTGTAATTAATCTTACTTGAACTTATGAAATTTATCCAAGATTACACCGCAAACGATCGAGCCCAGCATACCTGCTACTATGATTACCAATCCTATTCTACCAGCATCGACGCTAGCTCCCTAAAAATACAATTTTCCTTAACTCATGGCCTTATTTTACTGGATTTGTTCTGGACATGACATAATGGATAAATTGGGGGTTGTACAGTACCTACAGTACATACTTACTGGATAATACCGGAGCACGATCTGGTTCAGAAGCGTGGATATAGCGTAGAACACTCCTACATTGATCCCGTACGCAAGCAGAAGGTAAATGAAGGATTTATTTCGCATCAGAGCCTTTAATGTTCCGACGAAATCGGAGTCGGTCTCGTTTTGTTGAAGAGCCGCGTGTGATGGAGGAGTTGGAGGTTTATCCTTAAAAACTGAAAGAAGATATGCATTAATAAACTAGATGGCTTAAATATTACAGTGACAGAAATAATATTGCAACACCACAAGATGTGGTGGTTATAATTAATACTAAATATGCACAATTGATCGGTACTAATACTTACAAAGTAAAATTACTATGAGAAGAACGGTTGTAAATATACCAACGGAAATGAACATTGTGTAAAATTGTTTGGTTTGTTGCTCGAAACTCGATGTTGAGCTAACGAATAGCGGTGGTAAAAGAAAACCACTGGCGATGCCAAGCTAAAAACAGAAGAAAAGGTAATAGTGACTTACAATTATTATAATGTAATGGTCAATTTATTTGGATTAAGCAAAGTCAATTAAGTACAAATTATTGTAATTTAATGATGTGAAAATTCGCAGAGTATCATTCTGTTTTACTCGTTATTTAAGGCATTATTGGTTCAATTGATAATTTTGAACTCTCCCTGCGGCGGATATACGAGTACTAAAATAGATTACAGAGTAAATAACAACTTAAATGTATAATAGCAACAACAGGCGAATTATGTGACCATTCTAATAGAATATTAAATACGAAAATTGTTTCAATTTCTCTCCCTCCTACGATATATATTTAGATTTGTAGAGTCGAAATGCAACGATCCTTAGCTTAAATTTTTATTGACTTCTTCCTTGCTTTTAATAATTAATCGCTTAATATTACTTTCTTTAATATACCTACTTATCGACCCGAACTAACGCGACTTTGAGGGTTCAAGTAACAAATTTCTTCCTCAATTAACTTTTAACCCTTATGCTTAATTAGATTTTCAAATTTTCCTGCTTTGAATGGTTTAGGTGTACTTGGTTTTACCTGATTCCCGAATACTCCTATACTGCAGGCAGACGAGACTTGAGACGGTCCAAACCAAAGAGCAGCCAATCTCGACGGTACAGACAAAATAAATATTTGAGAAAATCCAACTATTGATTGCCCTATGAAGACAACGTAAAATCTATCTCTATCCACTCCGGCGACTTTTACCCATGTTCCTAGACATGTCAATGCCATTCCAACTATCACACATTTCCGTACGCCCTGAAATAAATCAATTGATCAGATTATTGCTTTTCCTATAAATAACTAAAATTTTGACTGACAAAAACGGCAGAGTAAATTAAAATTTACCTAAAAAAATATTATTGTTTAATGACCCAATGGTAAACATTATACAGTAAACAAGTCGAAGAATATTTTAATTAATTTAGCAAACAAATAAGGTATTTTAAGTATACGTGCCAATTAAAATGATACACAAAGGTGAAAATATTTTTTACATTTATTAGGTTACTTTATGGGCTCTGAAGTGGATTTTTTCGCTAATGTCATTGCAGATTCGTAAGTAACTTCGGAACACTTCGTTTTTACATATTAATTATAATCAATTGATATTGATTTTAACATTCGACAGATTTTATTGTTTTTAATAAGCCTAATATTTATTGTCATGACGTTCTATTTGATGTTCCCTCATACAGATATTCAACGCTATTGATCTAATGAAAAGTAACGTTAGATTATCGTTAGAAAATTACAATTTTTTTGGAAAATAATTTATGTTAGAGAAAAATTGTTTTTAGTTGAAGTGAACTGGTCGAAATTTTAATTGCATTGTCGGTAGATATAAATTTTATTGCCGAAAATGTGCTAAGTAAGAGTAAACAAATTTTTCAAGTTCTACAATTAAAAATATTGCCATGGACATCGGTATAATTTACCTGTAAATTAAATCGACGGATCGCTTATAAGTTCAGCAATAATTTTATCTTGTCATTTTTATAATCTACATTGTTGGTAATAAACCGCCGATTCCCAAAATTTTTAATTATTTCAAATATCTAATTAAAATACCAATACACGAATTCAATAGAAAATATTAGTATCAAAAAAATCTTGAAGACTTAAAGCCATTTAAATTTAAATCGTTAATTCAAATAGAATTGAAATATAAATTTGAAGGCACTTAGGTAATAAAGAAAGAACAACTTACCAATTTTTCTAATACATAACTGGCAGGAAACACAAACGGCACATATAAAAACATATAAATCATGGAAGTCCAATCAACCCACATTGATGATACCCCATAATAGCTGACCATTACATCGTTGATAATGGCCAATTGCACCCATTGCATCGCATTGGCCGCTGAATAAAGCACGAAAATCCCCAAAACCACCCATCGTATGCCGTAAACCTGGAGTTTCTCGATTTGAGGTAATTGTTTCGTCTCCACCTCGACAACGCTATTCATTTTTTAATCGAGAAGTGTATCTGAAACAAATATGGTTTAGTTAGTTATCGCTAATGGTAATATCGAAATAAAGCGGGCGTATCAGTGAAACGGGCAAGGTTACTACTGTGTTTATTGATAAAAACAAACATAAATGTTTGAAATTCTTTTTGTATTTTTTATTATTGTTAATTTTTAATGATTATTTGTAATGTCAATTGGACGTTTGATAGATGCATCTACATGATACTAGATTTTTTTAGAATAAAGACTGATGAAAGGGAATAGATTTACATTATGTTCTCAATCAATTATAGAAGATATGTTTATACATATACAGTTTTTAAAAATACCTAAAGTAATGTAAAATCGACATTTAACTTACGAGTAACAGTAATAGTAATAATAATACTAATCCTAATAAGTTGGAAAATAAGCCACTCTACGCCACTGATATTCGTAGAACACCAACATATTAACGACTCGTTCTGTCGTTTAAATACATTTGCAAATTTTCCTTATACTATAATGAATAAGGATAAGGTAGGAATATCTACTTATCAACTTATCAGTTTTGTTACAATTTTTGTAGATATTGATAAATATTGAATTTTCAAAAATTCCCTACAAATTAACTTGTAGGTATTGTGCCAATGTAATTTTTTTTACTACAAGCAATTAATACTTATTTAAATAAATTATTAATTACTCTACATAAAAATTATCACTCGTTCCCAGTTGGAAAATATTAATAAAAAAAGAAACTACTAACAAATTGTTTGATAAGATTGTTCTCAAAGACTACTTACTTTGATTCAAATTGACCTAAAATTTAAGCATTAACTAACACCACAAATTGAAAATCTACATGCAATTAATGGACTTATTTAACATTTAATATGATAACATTTGGTGCGGTTTTCCTACTGATAGGTAGGAATTTTTTATACAATTTGCTTATAATTAATTCTGTTTAAAAGTTTCTGTAAGGTTTTTCCTAAAATGGGTTGGTCAGGGGTTTGTCATTGCTGTACATCCTTAGGAATGATTTAAATCTACATAAATTTGCTTCCAAACATTTAAAATTTTGTTTGCCACTATGTAGTTGTAAAATTATTGTGTTTTTACTTAGAAGTCATACGAATAAATAGGTATCACAGGGTTATTCACAATCGGGAGTTTAATGATCTAAATCCTCACATTTGTCTTATCTACATGAGCAATTAACATGAACATACATAAATACGAGTACTCTTGCCAAATTTATAATTAAGATCTTGAATAATTATATAATTCAGTTTAAGCTCCGCGGCATCTCAATACTTTCTTGTTCACCGAGAGTATGACTGATGAAAATGAGAATATATGTATGTACATTTTACAATTACTAGGAATTTTTATTTATTTATTGCACCTACGAATAAATCCACAATATTTGATCTTCAAATTTCTTTGTAGTCTATGAAATATGGGTAGTTATGTGTATTAGGATTGTTTAATTTCGCATTAATATAAAACAATTTGTTAATTAGATCTGACAATATGTATGCCGGTAAATAATAAAACATTTTACTATATGTACTCTACATTTTACTATGTGTATTTTACTACACTATCATCCAAATAAAGGATACATTTAATAAATATTATTCAAGTCGAGACTTGAAACAACTGATAACATAACTTTGAATTGTACTTGTGCAACCTTATGTGTAAACTTAAAATAGGAAAGTAGATAAGTGGAATATCCAGGGTGGAATATCCAGTTTCGTGACTGATGTGAATGATTATAAATTATATCTACTATTATACAGGGTGTCTACTATAAAAACCGCCATACTTCAGGAGGTGATTACACAAGTAATTTCGTACCAAACATGTCCTATAACACTTTGTCAAAAAGTTAATAGTTTCTCTTTTATTTAACATTTCATAGTTAAAAAATTTGTTTTTTCCCAAAAAAGGAAAATATCACTTTTATATATAGTATAAAATAGATTTTATAAAATATATAGATTTTGTATATTGTCACATTAATTTTTCAAAAATATTTGTACCTTTTAATGGTCATAAAACCAAAATTTACTATCAACTTTTAGAAAAAGTTTTCACATATTTTGTTCAAAATTACTTGTATAATCACCTCTTGAAATTTGGTGGTTTATATAGTAGACACCCTGTATACTGTTTTAAAAGACAATATTTAAATTTTGGGATGTATGTAGGTTACTTCTGAAAATTGTATGGGTATAGGTAGTAGGTACAAATCGTTATTAAAATTCTACTATTTTTTGACTAGAGATTTATCTTATTTTTATAATCTAACTAATTCGACCGCCATTGCAAAAGGGGCTTCTGTATAGTTATTTCGATAATAAATGCGTTAATAACATTAATGTAGAACTCTACCAATCTTTGCCAACGTAACATTATTAGGTGTTGATATTATTATTATTATTATATTGATTAGATATTCAAGACCAAAAAAAATCATTATTTTTAAAACATCACGTATTATTTACAAATTTCATTTTCAAAATATTTTAATAAAATATATCTACTATTAAATAAGTATTAGCTAATAAATGATTGGGATTTTTAACCACTCTTTTTAATATTAACAACAAAGCTTCGCAGGTAGAATAATAAATTGCAAATTATAAAATTTGTAGACAGAAAAAAATGTATACAGGATGCTCTTATTTAAACGCTCCGAATTAACATGAGAGGAATTCAATTAATTCCAATTGAAAATTAAAGTTACAACTTACCTGCTAATAATAAAAACTGTAGGGCATACCTACACACTCAAACATGAGTACACGATTTATAAATGTTGAAGATTTACGACCTATTTTTTGTCTGATTATGTACTCGTAGATACTACTTAAACAAAGGTTTTCATAATAATCTCATAATCATAAACGCGACTGATATTTCTAATTGATAGCCATATAAACAGGTGTTTTTGTTTTCCAAAATATTACATTAATTTGTCATTACTTTACATATTTGTATTTATATAATTTATTTCGGTGTCTTGTGTTTTTGGTACTATAATTAGATACATACATCGAAGTACAGGTATTTATAGTATTGATAAACTTTTGCCATTATGTCTTTTACGGACTATAATATCTGTGTCATTTGATAAATATTTACACCTGCCACCAGGTCTCATCATTGCAAGTATTTACACTTGTAATAGCTGGAGTAAGATGATAAATATGTTGAAATGTTACCTTCAATTATTCGTATTGTAGTCGATGTATTATCAATTACTTATCGAATTGCTTTTATTGCAAAAACACCTATAGAAGCTAGATAGTTATGAGATCATCTAAAACCCTTCTGTGTAAATATAAATCAACACTTTCCCTAAAATTTGATCATAACTTCAATTCCAAAGGATAGGTAAAATTTTTAATTTTCTCCTTTAAAAATAATTAGAATTTAATGGTAATTGGCACTGTATAATTAAACATATGAATAAATAGGCTACTTTTAATAGAATTTTCAAAGTAATCCCCTAAAGGACAAGTATGCCTACCAGGAATCATTTAAATACTATACTTTAGAATGAAAAGAAAGCTGAATAAGATTTAAATTTTTTATTCGATCATTATAATGGGTGTTTTCCACGGGGCTTGAATATGTAATGCAAATAATCAGTTTGCCACATATGAATTAAGTGTATTTATTCTTCCATACTTACAACGAGGTATTTCAACAGCGACAGAATCCACCGAAAATCGATTTTCCGCGCTGACTGAACTTCCGACGCAAAAAGCGAAAATTAAACCACATAAACCAACTCAACACTTCACACCGTGCATCACATGTCCGCCCGTTCTTCTATGCAAATAATAACCGAGAAAACATAGGCTGCTATCAATGAAAAAATTACCGCCGACGAATTTGTGCTGGGATTGTAATTATTGCGATGCAATTGCGCCGTAGCGTTACCCCATTGGTATTTCGGGAATTGTTCCCTTCTTCCGGGCGTTTACGTTTACCTTGGCATTGACCTTTAAAAATCGGTACACGTGCTTTTTTTTAATTCTCTCAATTCCATTGGGGAGGATTTGGTAAAGATTGATGTTAATCTATACTGGATGTGTGATTTTTTTAAGAGTATTTGGATTTTTGTAGTATTGGAGTATTGGAGTATTTGGATGTTGAAGGTCTTCTTTGACGTACATAATGACAAAAAATACCCGAAAAATTAGAATAAAACGCAAAATTCCTAATATTTTTTATATTTTCGTGAGCTTCCTTAATAATACTCCTTTTGAAGCGATACCACACAGTCAGACGAATTTTCCAATCATTTAAACAATTTTATAGACCCTTTTTGGTAAGGCTTTTAGCTACTTCTGCGAATTTTCTTTGATAGCACTTATGGGGGGTCAAAACGGGACCCCCGAAGTGGAAATTTGGGTTTGAGAAACAAAAAAAAAATGCACGTACGAAGCTAAATCTGATGAGTAAAGTGGCTGGTCGATGGTTTTTCACACGAGCCCAGCATGTCTGTATCGACCATTTGACGATATGGTTATTAAAGAAAGTCAGCTCTATTGGAACGAGCCGAGCTTCCAATGCGCAGCATGCCCGATTGGTCGAGCAAAATCAAACCAACGGTCTAAAGAGAAATGTTGAAGTCAAGTGCTACTTCTCTAATACTAGCATGATGATTTTCGAACTCAATTTCCGTAATTTTCTCGCCGTTATCATTAGTCTTCGACCTTAAAAGAGGTCGAAGAGCGTCTGGAACAAGGCAAGTCAAGCGATTTCTCGACTGTCTTTAAAAGTTTCGTACCGATTCGGCCCAAGAAATTTAGTTTAAAACCCAAAATAAGAAACACTCCTTGTTCATTATTATTTTAGTCCATCGCGAAATTCGCAGAGCACTACTGATTGTGAGATGAATTGATTCAATCAGCTACTACAACCAAACTGATGGAGAAATCTCTCTAATTTTTTGCATACTAATTAAGAACAGTGTTACCTACATACAGAAACTTGAAATAGTTAAAAATATTAAGTGCAGGTAATTTATATCAGACATTCCGGATACTTTTTTGTCACAGGTAGGTATGTATTTCCCCGCACAATTTTTTACTGCAAAGAAGGCAAAACACGTCAATTTTGTTTTTGAATTCTCACCAGCATATTTTCAATCTTGCTGTTTCACTCCCCCATGCAGGGTGGAAAAAATTCAGTTTGAGAACGGACATATGGTTAGATGTTCATTTTATATGCACCAGTATAAAGAGAATTGAATGGCTTTTAAAACCATGTGCATACAGGTTGCTCCATTTTTGATCGCAACATAGGTTATATAAGCCATAGGTGCGATAAAGACAACTTCCATTAGACACTTATAAAGGAAAAGGAAAGAATGACATTTGTGTCATTGCAACTTTTCACTCTGACAACTGTCATTTTAATAATCTTTCTTTGTTCCACTCATAGAAATGACCATGTTGCAATCGGAAATGGAGCAAACGATATATCTCGACTCCAAGTCCCATTTAAGGTTTTGAAAAGAGTGGCCACCCTGCCTAAGGGGGTGAAACAACAAAATTGAAAATAAACTGGTATAAGTATACCTTCATCCTTTGGTACACTGAATAACAGTATCGTAATTTAGATATATTGAAAGAGAATTAGGAAGCTGGACTGGAATAATTTACACTGTAATTTTTGAACAACGCGCTTTTATTTTAATAAAAAAATAATTACAAATTAAGTTTTTGTATCTTCAATCTAACTAGTCCTATGAATTATTAATTATTTAGGATTAAGTATTTAGGACAAGCTGTAATTTTGTAGTACCATCAAGAACAAAAAATTAACGTGTTACTATCTCATATTAATCACTATTCGTCTTATATTTCAAAATTTGTAGTCAGTTTATTAACATCTTAAAAAAACGAAAGGCGAAAAAAACCAAGAGACATTATGTAAGTGTAAGGTAATACAACATTTTTAAACCTAATTACATTCTAAAACGGAAATTTACCGTGTAAAACAAAACTCAAAAACAAAATGCACATTCTGATACAAAAAAGGAACATAAATTTAAAATATGTCTATAGAATAATTCTCTACACAAAATATTGAATGAAAACTTTTACATTGAAAATAATTGAATTAAAACCTATTATTACATCATTAATGTAAAGAATTAAACCATGACCAAACAAAAACATGTTCAAAGTACTCTCGATACCTAACTTAACTTCGCGAATCTTTCGTGCGTAGTTATTTTAGTTGAAAATGGAGTATAACTATCATCGAATAAAATCTGCTCGGGGATATGTACACTCTGTAACTCTCTAATTTGCTCTTGGAGTTCGCTATTCAAAATCTGCCTGTGCCTTGGCGCATTCGAGTAGTTTACGTTGGGTACTTCAACTCTAAGCATCTGACTGCCCGTCCATCGTTTCAACTTGATTTTCTTGGGCGTCGTCAGGCGCATAGGGTTTAGTCTCAGCTCTTCTTGTTGCCTCTCCCTAATTCTGTTTATTCTAATCTGGGCGAGATTTTTGCGCGTCACTTTGCCTCTAGTGATGGTGTTTCGCAAGGTTCCGTTCATGCCGTTGTTGACTTTGAACAAACGTTTCTTGGGAGGTATCGCGGATGTGTTGGTGCCGTTGAATGGGATTCTGCGCCCTAGCCTGTTCCTCACGGGGGCTTTAAGGTTTCGAAGTAATGGACTTTTGTTTAGAACATTTTTGTCGTAATAAGCCTCTTGCGCTCGCTTTTTCTTTTCGGTGTGTTCAATTAATGGTTGAAGATTTTTTTGAATCAAATCTGCATTAAAAAAAGCTATTGTTATTATTCACAAAATTGACAAGTAGAGAACTTCCGTTAGTCTCATATAAAGGAAAACGAAAAAGTGATATTGTGGGATAGAAACTTTCTCACTCTAACCAGTTATATTAGTGATCTTTCTTTGTTCAACTCATAGAATTGATCATACTACAAACAATTTTGGGTAAGTATATGTGTGAAATGTTTAAAGTAAAGAGAAGTGCGAAGATAGAGTAGATGTTTTTAAGAACTAATAAGCGTAATTTGATGTGGAAGAGAATGTTTTTTACCTTCTTGGGGAAGCAAAGTATTAATTTGTTGGGGTACAGGTGCCCCTATTCTTCTGAGTCGTATTGTTTTCGGTCCTAAAAACGCATTTTTTTTTTAGTTTTAAATCTGTATTATTATAATAATATTGTGCTAACCTTCTGATCCCATGTTTGTTTAATTTCAGGAACAATTTAAAAACTGAAATGACTTGAAAATTAATATTTTTCGCTTATTTGCTTTAAATATTTTTCAAGGATAAACTAAAACCCATTTTAACAAACTTTTAACAAACAAAAATATCAAATTAATTCTGTCATATGTCATGTCACATGTCAAATATTAAGTTTGCAATGAGTTTGCATAAGTACGTTCAGAAATTATTGGTAAATATTGTAAATAGGCAACCATTTTTACATATTTACTGATTTTTAATGCATTTATAAACAAATTTCTCAAAATACTTAATAATGTAAAAATTTAAATTAGGAGTAGGAGAGTTCATTCATTTTAACACCCAAACTGCAGGTATATGCATTTTTACATCTTCTATTTTACAATATTTTTTTTTTAATTTTAAGAATAAAAATAATTACCTATTTAACAAAATTTTTTAGTACCTAGTTAATTACCCTGTTATATCATTATTACCTTATTATCTGGAATTACAGGTGCAGATATTTCATGATTTAATATTCTATTAACAGTTTCAAGTAAGACGACTTTACATTTTAAATATTTAAGAAAAGACGTCCTGCAAGTGATTTATTGGTATTAATTATCGTTAGTGTTAATAGCGCTGACCTACATTAATTATCATAAATAGGCAAAGAAAAAAGATTGTCTTCATTTGTCTTTATAATATCGTGAATTCCTGTTGAAGGAAAAGTGCATAACCTATGTATGATCAATTGATAAAATTTAAGCCAATGGAAGGTATAATATTTCAATAAAATCATGATGACTTTATGATTTTTGTGCTTTTAAATTGTTCCTTGCAGGGTGTTTTTTACTATACAATCATATTTTCAAATGTATCTAATTATAAAAATGCACCCTAAAGTAATTTAAAAAGTTCAAGCTACCTACTTGTTCATAATTTTTTGTTTAATTATTTCAGAGGACCCCTTAATTATCTTTATGTATCCACTAATAGTAATAACAAAATACAACAGGGCATACGTCGCATTTGCAGTGGCAATGTTCTTATGTCTACAGACGTTAATACCGATTTATATAAACGAAGTGTACAATGGAAAAGTGAAATTTGAAAAATGCTATATTGCCAGTTTTATTGCACTCCAAAGTGTAAGTATATTTTGGTGACCAGAATTAGATACCAATATACACAGTGACAAAAAAGTACCCGGAAAATTGGAATAAAACTCAAAATTTCTAATACCAATTTTTAATTTTTTTTAACTCCTTCAAAATATGCTCGTTTTAAAACGATACACACAGTCAGGTGCATTTTCCAATTATCGAAATATTTTTATAGGCCCTTTTTGTTAAGGCGCGATATGTACGGCTTTTAGTTCGTTCTGCGAATATTCTTTAATGGCATGTATGTAGTCAAAACGGGATCCCCGAAGTGGCAATTTGAGCTTGGGAAACCAAAAAAAAAGTCGCACAGATTAAATCTGACGAGTAAAGCGGCTGGTCTATGGTACTTCACACGAATCAGCATGTGTGCGGCAACCATTTGACTTTACCGTATTTGAAGAAAGTCAGTAGCTCTAACAGAACGAGCCGACCCTGAATTCGCAGAATGTCTGATTAGTTGAGCAAAATCAAACGAACAGTTTCACGAGAGATGTTGATGTCAAGTGCTACTTCTCTAGTACTAGAATGATGATTTTCGAACTTAATTTCCTTGATTTTCTCGTTGTTATTATTGGCTGAAGAGGTCGAAGACCGTCCGGAACAAGGCAAATCTTTAGCGATTTCCCGACTGTCTTTAAAAGTTTTGTACCATTCGTTAATGTAGGTTTTCGATAAAACAGAGTCACTTTAAGTATTTGCATCGATTCGGCCCAAGAAATTCCGTTCAAAACCCAAAATAAACCCAAGATAAACTCTTTGTTTATTATTTTTGTCCATTGCAAAATTCACAGAGCACTACTGAGATCAACTGATTCAATCAGATGTTACAACCAAACTGATTGAGAAATCTCTCTAATTTTTTGCATGCTAATTAAGAACAGTGTTACACCTACATACAGAAACATGAAATAGTTAAAAATATGCAGGTAATTTAAATCAGAAACTCCGGATACATTTTTGTCACAGGTAGACCAGCATATTTTCAATCTTGCTGTTTCACTCCCCCATGCAGGGTGGTCGCCCTTTTTAAAACCTTAAATGGGAGTCAAGAAGGTTTCTGGTATAAAAAATTCATAGTTTGAGAACGGATGTTTGGATATTCATTTTATATGCACCAGTATAAAGAAAATTGAATGGCCTCTAAAACCATCATGTATGTGTATATCTCGACCCCATGTCCCAAGAACAGAAACAGAAAGATACAGAAACTTGAATGTAGTTAAGAATATTAAGTGCAGACAACTGCACTAGTAATATCGAACTGAGAAATGCAATAGATTTTATCAATTTTCAGTGTGTACTTGCTTCAACAATTACAGCTTTAGTGTCAAAAAGCATCAGCCCATTGAATGAAGAAGTAAAAGAAAAATTTGCATCTCTAAGAACGCATAACGTCGCTTTTAATGAGACAACAAAGAAAATTGTAAAAATGGCAAAATTCGCTTGCTTTTTCTTTGTGTTTTGTGGTTTATTCAGCTTATATCTTATAACTATTTTAGATGTAATAAACGTCGGAGATGAGTTGTACTATTCAACGGTTTTTCTCCGTGCAATTTTCAATCGATATTACCTTCTGATAGTGATGTTCGAGTTTGTAGGTGTAGGTTTCATGTTCACCAACACAAGTTTTTCGTTATTTTTCTTAATTTATGCTACAACGCATTGCAAATTGCAAATTCGTATGTTGATTTACGATTTAAGAAAAAACCTTAAAATATTAAATAGAAGATTCAAGGTGCCCGCGGATTATGATGAAGATTATCAAAAACAAATTAGTCTTATATTAAAAAGTTGTGCTAAACAACACGCTTATCTACAACAGTAAGTGGTTTATGTGTTAAAGTATCTTGCATAAGAAACAATACAGAAACAGGAAGATTAAAGTTATTTAAAAGTATTGAATTACTGAATATAAAAAGCTGCTGCATACCAAGAAATATTTGGAATTTTCCATGTTTAACTTATGCAATACCGATAAATGCGAAATCGTAGGGAATGTCCGTGTCATCTCAAAATATTCTGTGCATTTTAGGTTTATGGACAAGAATATTAATAATCACGATTTCATGAATTTTGTGGGAACACTATTATTTGTTACTGCTTCATTTACTGCAATCTCTATGATATACATTGTAATGAATGTATGTAAAAGATGTGCAAAGGTAACTTCAAATTTAATCGATTTACTTTTAGAGATTACGTCCTAAATACGACATACCTTTGGTCCTTTTGTCAGTATTGATTGTTATTGCTTATTTGTTGTATTGCCACTATGGTCAAACACTAATGAACGAGGTAGGATATTTTATAGAACAAATTTAAATAAGTTTGCTGGAAGCATAATTTTTTATTGTAATTTTCAGTGTGAATTCTTTTATGACGCATTATACAGCACCCCTTGGATTTATTGGAACAAAGAAAACCGAAACCTCCTGCTAACGATCCTAACTTTAGCAAGAAAACCTCTTGCAGTTCAATTTTATGGTATTATGTACGTTAATTATTCAATGATCTTATCGGTAATTTTTCATCTAACGATTTTATATCAAAAAATCATCATTAATTATTTTTTAGGCTGTCCGCTTATGCTACAGCATATTTACAATTGCTCACAAATTATAGGACATCAAATCAATCACGTTTAACTGTTTATTCTGTAAAAGGTATGGTAAAGGATTCTATTCTTTCAGATACACTTAGAGCATAGTGAATACATATGGGTGCACTTAAAAACTTGACATCAAGTTTTTATTGATTTTATTGTTAGTATGGTTATCAACGTCACATTTATGCTTAGAGGGACCTAAGCATTGTTTAAATATTTTACCAGTGCATTCAATTATTATTATTACATATTATTATGTGCATAAATTACAATTTGAAAATTCTTTTCATGTTTCTCTATTAAGAAATGATATTATCTACCTTTTCCTTATTTAATCTGTAGTATAAATCCTTTCATGTTCAACCAAGAAATAAATAATTATTAATAAATTTTAATTCAATAAATTTTTGCTCGCCCTGTTCAGGATTACCTAAACCCACAATCTCCTGCGCGATGGATTGGAAGAGGACCTATTCGGTGGCCACCGCGAAGTCCCGATTTAACCTCATTGGATTTTTTCCTCTGGAATTACATGAAGTCGCTGGTGTACGAAACTCATATAGATAACCAAGAAGAATTATTAGAAATAGTGTTGACTGCATCTTTTCACATACAGCAAGTTCCTCACATCTTACAACGGGTGCGAGATTCAATGAATCAGAGGATCAATTTATGTCATGAATCAGAGGGTCGCCATTTTGAATCCTTATTGTGATTCATTCTACGTATTTGTAATTAAAAATAATAAGATATTGACGTAATTGACTTTTCTTACATACAAGAAGTTAAGAACAACTTTTTAAACAAAAATAACTCTGGAGCCAAAACGGCTCATTTTTGACTAATGGTATCTTTACAAAAATTGTTCACTACAATCCCCTATAACCTCCTTAAGTTTGGCACAACCTTTTTGGAACAACCTGTACATATTGAGACCAATATATTAGGCCGTATTTATAAAAAGAAACAACCTTTTACTTCCAAAAAATGAAGGAATTGCTTCAAGGTATATGCGTAAAAAGGAGTGAAGGAAAAGAAGTTTTGCTTCGAGGACACTGCTGTTGCTTTATAGCAAAAGGTTTTATGGTTTTAAAACCTTTGTTTAAAGTTTTAAAACCTTTTTTCTTCTAACTTCTACTTTAAAGTAAATGTTTCATTTTTATAAATATGGACTATCTTTCAATAATTTACTCAAATTTACATCATCATAAAGCTCATTTACATCATTTTCTGATTGATTTATGGAACACCCTGTATATTTTGAAATAATTATAAATTAGTCGCCTCAAGTCATGCCTAACAATTTTCCTATTTTTTAATTTTTCCTATCATAATAACGAAGTAAATAAACTTTTACCTCATTTAGGACACCCTATATGTTTGGAATAACTATTAAAATTCCTATATCTACAATTATTGTAGATTGTAAGTTGCCATTAATTAAAATATATTAGGGTAGGGCGGGGCTAGTTGAGCAACTTTTCACTTTAGCGGATATAGCTCATCAATGATATGTGTGAATGACTTGTTATGTGGCTTGATGGATTAGTAATTTATCCCTTAACAAAAGTGTCCATAGTAACTTTTTTGTAACTAGTTGAATTTAAGAGCTACAGCTGTTTAAATGCAGAAAGTCAAGTATGCTCAATGTACCCCATAGGTGAGGTAAGTTGAGCAACGGTATGTTTACATATAGGATATGTTTATTTTTATAATCATCTCTTTATTTATTGTGATTTAGTGACAAAACAACAAAACTTAAAGTAATTTACGAGCTTTCTGTTTAAAATCAGAATTAAATAGCTTAAAAAAATATTAATAATATATTAGCAAGTTTTGGTCGTTGTTACTGTTGCAATTAATACAAATGAAAGTAAGACCATAGCACCTGGAAGACATTTTATTTGTGCCCATTCCCTGCAAGCTTGGCAGTGAATCCAACTTTCTCCTGGTAAATTTCGCAGTAGTTGCTCAACTAACCCCAACCCGCAATTTTAAAATAAAAGTGAGTTCATAAAGAAATCGTAAGAATTATAACCAGAACATCTCTACATATCAAAAGTACAATAATTTTCTGGAATATTAACCCTTACCCCATTGAAAACGGATAATATTTGACTAATACAGACGAAAACTTGCGATAGACGACGTTTTTACTTTTTGGTCACAAAAAAAACAAAACGCACGGGGGCTTTACTCGCTTGTCGAGGCGCCACTTGCAATAGCTCTGTGATTAGGTCTCCCCCAGCCCCTTCTTTCCGCCATAAGATGTTTATGCGTACGGTGAATAGTTTGCGAGATATTTCGATTGCACAACTTACCCGTATGCTCAACTAGCCCCGCCCTACCCTACCAATATAAAACCTCATAAATCTAAACTAGTTGGTACAATATCCGCTAATTTACCTACCGATCTGCAATTTCACATTTATGCTGTAAATGCCTCGTATAAATATTTAACCAGTGCATTCAATTAGGGTTAATATAGTATGCATAAATTACAAATTGTAACTTCTTTTCATGTTACTCTAATGAAATGATTATTCTATAAATTTTCTGTAGTTCAAGTCCTTTTATCTTCAACTGTGCTTCAATCATCAAATAAATTATTTCAATAATTCAGAAAACAACATTAAGTTTAGTGGCAACAAAGGATTGAGACTTTTTCGTTGAAATTCATAAATTTTATTACAAATCAGTCGTTGATTTAACGTACCATATAATGGATAATAAAATCCATAGATTAAAATATATGACAGGTATATTTAGGTTCTCTTAAATACCGAGGCGAATTAAAAAATAAGACAATTTATTTTAAATGAGTATAATAAAATGAGACTTACTTTTTAGACGATCCATTGAAATTTTTAACGGATTTAATTATTCATAAATATTGGTTTTCTCATCCGCTACTTTTTCGCATTATTTCGTACGCTTTATGCGTTTACCTGCAAAGTTCCTTTTTCATATATCTTTATGAAACATGGAAAGGAAAAACGTTCAGCGAAAACGAATGCAATCTGTTCGTAATATTTATCATGCAGCCGGTAAGTATCTACTCTTTATTTACCTTTGTCAATTGGTATCTAATAATTATTAGCTTAATACATTTTAGGTTGGGTCACTTCTACTATTCATTCCGACACAATTAGTCCAATTGGGCAATTTTCCCGAGGTTATTCGGGAAAATTTCTTATCAGTTAATTTAGAGAACGTTCATATGAAGCAAAGATTAAGCAAAGAAATTAGAGATATTAAATTGATTCTCATCGTGGGCGGTTGCGTTACATTTGCTAGTGTCACAAGTTTTGCATTTTATGGAAAAGATGTACTCCTTATGCAAGTTTATTTCACCTACTATTTTCCGAAATACAATATTCCATTCAGAATTATAATGTACCTTGGGAGCTTGGGTATAATGTACATATTTTCTATGTCCCTCATTTATGTACAATATATTTCTGTGCATTTGAATTTACAACAACAGAGTTTGATTCAATATTTCGAAAGCCACATTAACCAAATAGATATAAATAATGAAAATTATCAAAACAACGTTACAAATGTTTTACGAACGTGTGCCATACATCACATTTATTTAAAGAGGTAAGAATATTTATTTTCTGATGAATATACATAACATTTTGTATATGTATGTTCAGTTTTGTACGCTTTATATTAGAATTTTCCTAATTATAAACATAAACTTTTAGTTTTCATAAAAAATATTTGAACTCGCGTATAATACAGTTTACTATGATGATCCTCTTCATTACCGGGGGTATATCATGCGTTTCTTCTTTTTATTCTCTATGGACTGTGAGTTTTAAAATTTATTATTATTAAACGGCAATAAATCACTTTTATTTGCAGAGAGTGTGCCAGGAAATTGATGTGGTACTAATTCTAGGTTTGGGAACACAACTAATATGTATACTTACTTATTGCCACTACGGACAATTACTAGTTAACGAGGTAAACACTTTGGTTCGTTATATTAAGACTATGACAAAATGAAATAACAATCTGAACTTTCTGATGCACTAAAGAGGCATTCAATTTATTTTTAGTCTGTGCAACTTTCTGATTCCTTATACAATTCCCCTTGGATTCATTGGAATAAAAATAATCGCCTGATTTTATTAATATTATTGGAAAATATGAGAATTCCATTCGAAATTAAATGTTTCAATATAGCAACTGGCGATCATCTACTTATTCTAAGAGTAAGTACTTTTAGCTATTTAGAAGCTAGTAATTCAAAATAGTTAATTCGAATTTACATAATATGTATAATATATGTTGCTCACCATATGTAGGTATATTTCATTAATCTTTTGAAAAAATCCATTTAAATGTTATTTAATTTACAGGTATTTCGTTTTTGCTACAGTACATATACCTTTGCAAGAAAATTTATGTAGACAAGTACCCATCACACACCATTGAAGACTCCAAACTCCACATGTTTGGAAAAAACGTCATCTTGTTTATTGAAGAAGTAAAATAACAATTTATCATCACTCAAATTGCTTAACATCGCTTTTAATGAAGCAACTAAAAAAATGGAAAAAAGACCAAACTCGTTGGCTTCTTCTTTATGTTTATTAATTTACTTAACTTATACGTATCTAAGAAATATTTTATACTTAAATGTTATACACCACTACATTATTGGATATGAGTTGTTTTATTGTTCGTTTAGTTTTCAAATAATATATTAGATACATTGAGATGGTTATTCTAGATATTTTAGATACATGTATTATCAACAAATTTGTGTTTTACATTAACCAACGCAACTTGCACTATCGAAAACGCTTGACAACATATTTGTATTCTTCCTCAATAAAAATATCTAAAGTAGTTTGGCGGGTTTCTTGACTCCCTGAATAAAACGAACAAATATTTTAGTAAATCTATTTTATTTTTCAATCTTTAAAAATATATGTGTACTTAACTTTCACAAAAAATATGTGTAGGTAATAAAATCATAAAAATTCTAATGTTTCTAAACTAATATAATGTAGGTCATTTTTAAACGAAAATAATTATGTACAATTGGTTTAAAAACATGGATATACTATAATTATTACTTGAACGTTCAAATGCTAGAAGACTATATCATCGGTTTAAGGAGTTCTTTTCTATTTGTAAAAACTTAATCAAATCGATACCGCTATTAAATGGCCATTAAATTTAATGAATCAAAGTAATTACTAAAAGAGGACATTGGTTTTTGAAAAAAAAATGTTTGGTCATTTCCTGAATATTATTTACTGACTACATTGCAAGAAATTCTCGCAACTTTTTTGCATTCGCAAATTCCCCTATACATTTACGAAATCATAAAAATGGCTATGAAATTTCAAGATAGTATATTTTAATTATAAACAGATGACCTATAATTAAAAAATAACTCCACGACATACCTACGTTTAATAGACTTCTATAAACAGAAATCTAATCGATTTAATCGACTAAATTATTCTCGTCGCTTCTGATGTAGGTACTACAGACAAAAGGGTTTAATTAAAATTTACATTGCTCAAATAAACTGTTTCAGCACGCACACACTATTAAAGTACCACATTCGAATTCGACCAAATAATCCACCCCCATTCATCGGCCGCACGTCGGCAAATTGACCCTAAAGAAGGCGTTCAATTCGATCAGGCTGGCTAATATTAGAAAAACGGCGTACATCAACAGGCACACTCTTCCCACCGTTTTGTCCAGTTGGAACTTGTTCAACGCGAACGCCATGTACAGCATCAGTAAGGTGGACAGCAGCGATATGGCGCTGTACTCTATACCGGCTGAATTAATTCCAACCTAAAGGAGATTTTTTTTATGAAATAAAATGAATTTCAATGCGGTTTTTGTCGTTTATTCTCACCCAATGCTTTCCGGGTATGGTCGGCATGAAGGTGGCTTTTATGAACCAGGGAAGGCCCAGGCAGAGCAGGATGTCGAACGTATTGGATCCTATTGAGTTGCTAATTCCCATCGAACCGTGTCCTAAATAATTACAAATTGTGTGTAGAATTTGTAGAAAAATAAAAATGTGTTTTACCTCTTACCTCATAAGAGAGAGTGTTCAAACTAGAGAGAACTTGTTCCTTTTAAAGGAACTAGAGTATTTGAATTTAGCAGAAGAAGTTAAATAATGAAGAGAAATAGTAGTAGAGAATAGTAGAGAATAGTAGAGAATAGTAGAGAATAGTAGAGAAATAGAAATAATAAAATGAAGTTTTAAAGTTAGGCAAAATGGAGATTCTTCAATAATTAAAGGAAATACAATTTATTTAATTAGATTATTAGAACCTATTTTACCTTGTTTTGCAACGATTACACTCGATACAGCTTCGGGTACGCTCGTTCCAGCGGCTAAGAAAGTAATGCCCATTACGGAATCCGGAATTTTCAATGTATCGCCTGCGATAATATAACTTATTAACTCTAAGACTACTTAGTATTATTTTAAGAAGCGTAATTTGTGGAATCGGAAAGTGATACAAAAGGCTAGAACACTTAGATAATTACCGATTATTGTTATCATCCAAGCTACAGCGTACGATAGAGAACCAATCCAAATAATGCACATGACGAAGGTAAGAGGAAACCATTTTTTAAACCTTCTTTTCTCGCAATCCGGTATGGTGAACAGAAATATCAAATATATGGGCCACGTAATAATCCAAGTGAACTGTAAAGAAGATTGGATGAAAACTAATTACATGAAGAGTATTATTCCAATTACCTGCGCCAGTTTGCCGCGTTTCCTTGGCCATTTCCACAGCGAATGTCTGTTCTTTTCGCCTTTCTCCGTATTTTCGGTTTCGTCTTTACCTAGTTTCTCCTCGAAGCTCATCGGCAGCTTCAGCGATCCGTTTACGTGCGTCGAGGAATTGATAACAAACACGCCCTCGTCGTAATTGGACGAATTATTTTTCGCGTCCGGGTTATCCGCTTGTTCTTTGGCATCGTTCTCGGTTTCTATTCTGTTGTCGCCGCTTTCGAGTTGTTTGATGTGCGGTTTCGTTTCAACTCTTTCTTCTAGAAATAAGTTTTAATAGCATACGAATTTTTCTAAGCTTTAGCCACATTTCAAAAGAATACTACTGCGACAAAAACGTTACTCACCTGTGTTTTCTGCAGGGTTTTTGGAACTGCGACGTGAAATGCTCAACTGCGCCAACTTCAATCTCCCTGTACAAAAAACGCCGTCAACCTATACTTACAAGTCAAATAACTAGTGTAATAAATTAATTACCTCTAACGCAATTCTGTATGGGTTTATCGAAGTACATGATGAGAATGTAGACGGTATACAGCAAGACGAGGCACAGGGCTTCGTACCATTCGACTCGTTCGTCGTGTATGATGCAGATGAGAAGCGATACTGTAATGCCGTAGGCCAGGCAATCTCTTGTCAGAGGCCACCAATCCAAAGGTACTATCTTCGCGCCGCTCTGAAAATCATTAATATAATTATGGCATACATAATAAAGCATTGGAAACTCACCATGCCAGCTCCAATACCACAACAGGCGGCGACTGCTAGAATGTTAAATACAGCCGATCCGACGATGGTACCGACACCAATGTCTCCTTCAGTGATAAATGTTCCAATAACATTTACGAAGAGCTCGGGCGCTGATGTGGCGGCTGCCATGAAAGTCGCGCCCGCAACATCCGCTGTCATATTTAACGCTGGAAACGAATTTTACTGTATATTTTTGCTACTGGAAAGTTTAGAAAAAGCTTTGGAAGAGGGGAAGCAGAAATGAAGATCATCAGGCAGGTTATTATTACCATGGCATATTTTTTCCACCGCCGGTACAAAATATTTATCACAGACTACCGCCAATGCCACGAAAAGGTATAGCGACACCACGATGTGGACAACCACGGCCCCACCTTGTCTTTGTTCTTCTGTAAATAAATCCCTAGGGAAGTCGTCTATAGCTGGTGGAGTGCAATTAAGTCCTAAAACAAATTAAGATGTTATAAATGTGGTGGTCTAGTACTAAACTTCAGGTTACTAAATTTACTGTACCGGGTTAAACAGTATTAAACCGCAGGTATTCGAGTACTTCAAAGTTAACTGAGGAATTTCTGGTTTAATGAATATATAATTACCAATACTTTTTCATAATAACTTTTATTCGATGAGTACAAAATATTCTATATGTCAAGATTTACCTATTAACTCAATTTTAATAAAAATGTGAAGCTAGAAAATCTATTGTATTATACAAAATCTGTAATTTGTGCCCAACCCTCTATAGAAAGCTCTAATTAGCTACTGCTGTAACAGGTGTAGCTAAGTATTTTTTTTATTTTCTATTCATAATACTTGTGAAATTTGTATTTGCCATTCATTTGTGTGATGTTTTCAGGTCAAGCTTTTAATTCGGTGTTTTTTACTGTATAACGCATATTAAAAGAGCCTATCCTTTCGGATCTAATCAGAGCAAAGCTCGTGCGCTCGAATAAAATAGTATAAATAACTATAGTAAATGTGGGCGCACCTGAAAATTTACCGATCTTTTATTGATTTGAAATGGTTTATTTTTCGTATTGTTGTAAAAAAACAATTATGTTAAAACGGATAGTATTTACATTACCTACAGTGAATTACAGTGAAACTAAGTTCATTCAAACATTTATTAACGTATCATTAATAGCAACGTAATCCCCTGGTCAGAAAGAGTAATCTTTAAGCAAAAAACCTCATAAATTTAAGCTAGTTGGTACACTATCCGGTACAACATCCGGTAATTTACCGGCCTACAACGTCACATTTATGGTTTAAAAAAGATTCCAAACTATTGTATAAATATTTTACCAGTGCATTCAATTATGATTAATGTAGTATGCAGCATTTACAAATGCACATAATGTTTCTCTATAAAGAAAGGATATTATTACCTAGTTCGATATTTTTTCTGTAGTACAAGTACCTCCTTTCATCTTCAAACAACAAATAAATGAGTATATCATTAAATTTGAAAACAACATTAGGGTTAATAGCAACAAAGAATTGAGAATTTTGAATAGAATTTCTTAAAATGAATATTCGAAATCAGTCGTTGATAGGACACACAATATCAATGGATAATAAAATCAATAAATTAAAACACTTAGCAGGTAACAAATGTAAATTATATTTTCTAAACACCTATTGGCGAAGTACAAAATACAGTAAATTTATAATGTCTAAATTAGTTCAATATGTTTCTTTTCAGATGATCCATTACAATTTTTAATGAATTTAATAGTTCACAAATATTTGTTATCTCATCCGTTACTTTTTCGAATTATTTCTTACATTTTATTCGCTTACCTGCAAAGTTCTTTTTTCATATACCTGTATGAAATATGGAAGGGAAGAAATTTCAGCGAAAACGAATGCAATCTATCCATAGTACTTACCATGGAACCGGTAAGTTCCCTTTTTGTATCTATTTCTCTTAAGATTTATTAATTATTGGCTTAATAAATTTTAGGCTGGGTCACTTGTGCTTTGCCTTCCGGCGGCAATAGAACAATTGGGTAATTTTCCCGAGACCATTCGCGAAAATTTTATATCAGTTAATTTAGAGAACGTTCGGATGAAGCAAAGAATAAACAAAGAAATCGGAAATATTAAATCGATTCTCCTTTTAGGCGGCTGTATAATGTTTGTTTGTCTCTCATATTTCGCGTATTACGGAAAAGATGTACTCCTCCTACAAGTTTATTTCACCTACTATTTTCCGAAATACAATACACCCTTCAGAATTGTAATGTACCTGGCGAACATAGTTTTACTGTATATATTTTCTATGTCCCTCGTCTATATGCTATATAATTCTGTGCATTTGAATTTACAACAGAGGAGCTTGATTCAATATTTCGAAAGCCAAATTAACCAAGTAGATATAAATAACGAAAATTACCAAAACCACGTTACAAAAGTTTTACGAACTTGTGCTGGACATCACATTTATTTGAAGAGGTAAGATTACTTATTTTCTTCTGGAAATGTTCAGTTTTGTGTCTTTTATATTAAAATTTCGTTAGTGATAGGTAAACATAACTTTTAGTTTTCATAAAAAATATTTAAACGCGCATGTGATCCAGTTGATTATGATGGTCCTCTTCATTACCGGGGGTATATCATGCGTTTCTTCTTTTTATTCACTACGGACGGTGAGTTTTAAAAGAGAGCTTAAAATTAATGATTATTAATTGGTAGTAAATCGCTTCTATTTGCAGAGAAAGTGCCATGAAATTGATGTGGTACTAATTCTAAGTTTGGGAATACAACTAATATTTATACTCACGTATTGCCATTATGGACAATTACTAATTAATGAGGTAAATAACGTGAAATTTTGCCTCCACAAAGTACTAAAAGATATGTTTGTTAATTTTATTTTTAACTCTCTTTCTGATGCACTAAAGAGGCATTAAATTTATTTTTAGTCTCTGCAAGTTTCTAATTCGTTATACAATTCCCCCTGGATTTATTGGAACAAAGAAAATCGTCTGATTTTATTGATATTATTGGAAAATATGCGAATTCCATTTGAAATTAAATGCTTCAATATAGCAACTGGTGACCATCTACTTATTCTTAGAGTAAGCACTTATGGCTATTTATGAGCTAGTAATTCCAATGGTGTTTTAATAAAACTAATTCGAATTTACTTGTAATGTTACGGATTTTCTATTTCAAACAAATTAAACTTAACGTTAATTTAATTTACAGATACTTCGTTTTAGCTATAGTATCTATGCTTTAGCAAGAACATTTATGTAGACAGGTATACAACACATCCATCAAAATAACTGCACTTATCAAATAATTATGTATGCACACTATCACTTTTATAGTACATTTACAATGGATTTAATTCACTTTTACGCGCATAATAAATCACCGCAAAATATTCATTCAAGTTTATTAATTACTATCTCACCCATTTTCTCAATCAGCTCGAACTTTCAGTTACATTTTAACGCGCCCATTCCACTCGGAAAAACAAACTAACTAAAAAAAAAAAAAATAAAAAAAAACCGAAAGTGCCCAACTATTAAATTAGAGGGCTCTTAATTATTCCATATTTTTCTGCCTACGTTAATAATGTTTTAATTCCAAAATGACTCGAAACATGCCATAAAAATAATAAACCCAGCGGCGATATTCACGCGATAGGGCTTAACAATTTAATAATGCCGCGTCCAACTTGGGTCCTGCTACACAGTTTTAAAATTTTCTAAACTAAAGAGTACCTGTATGATATACTTATTTGATTCCTACTGTTACTCTTCCTATATACAGCGTGTACATACAGAAGGGGGCATTCCATTCTTTGACTTATTTCATGACGAAAAGTTCACATAAACATAGATTTTTCTTTAGAGCTCCTGCAGTTTTTGAGACATTTACCTCTTATCAAAGACCCTGTAGACGTTGGGCCAACGTGTACAAGGCCACTTGGCGATTGAATTTGCTAACATAGACAAAATAAAATCTTTCTTTCTCTATGTTTGCTAATTTGTGATTGGCGACCAACGTTGGTATACAAACCGATTGTTGTCGGTTTTTCGTGCACAAATCAAAGGATTTTATGGTGAATTGCAAAACAGACTGAGCAGTCGACCAACGTGTAATCAATATTCCAACTTATTGGTCCAATTAGTAGGCCAAACCTGTACTGGAGGCATTACAACAAGTAGGAATTGGCATTAAAAAATATTTTTTATATTAGGATATAAATACTTGTTTTTTCCTCATACTAATTAATGGCAATAATCGCCGAAGATTAATCGGGTTTTCCTTCGAATTAGATGATGTTAATGCGTTTATTTTTTTCGTCGACCTGTGCGCTTATTTACTGCCATGGCATAACTACCAAAAAGCTATCGTATCCGTTTACTTGCGTTGAATCGAATTAAGTGGAAAATTATGATAATTGAATAAAAGCAGACGTTCCTCGATGAACCACTTTTGTGTTTGGCCGTCAGTCAGGCACTCGTTTTGACCTCTGAAAGGAGTTGAACTTGCACTCGAGAGGTTCCAGAAGAGTCTTAATCTAATAGAAAATTGAAACTATTCAATCTGCGCTACATTGAATATCAATTTCGTAAAGTAGCAGGAACCTATTCCAACGATATGAATTAATTAATGATATTAGGAAAGATATAATTTTAGTTGGTTAAGTTGAAAGAAACTCGATAAAATGAAGGGAAAAAATAAGAAATTATGTGCAACAAATTTTTTCTATGCATTAAAGTATCACCAATACATTACCGTACAGTCGTTTTATAAGCACAGCCTAATAAATGTATATAATTTTTTTTAACATTTTTATATTGTCCAGACCGACATTCATACATATAGGCTATTGTTAAAGAACGAAGAACAATCATCCACTTAATACGCGAACTTAACAACCTACGATTGCTTCACTGGGCACTGTTAAACAACTCAAAAAACGCAACTACGCGGAAAATATTACACTTTTCCTCGGAACAAACAAATAATTTCGCAAAGAACCGATATTTAAAGGGGGTAAATATTTACCTGACGCCAATGTTTCGAAATCCATGGTAAGTGCGCAAATCTTCTTTCCTCGCAGCGATGACCCCCGCCCCGTCACTTATGCTGCCTCTGACAATCATGGGCTTCACTGGACGTGTCTCTGAATTGCCCACTACACTCCGCTCGTATTGTGCTACTGTAACAATCTTATTGTTTGGTCTCCGTAAACATCCGAATGCTTTTATTTGTTTGATTTAAATTAACCATTCAATACTTTTGAAAATTTTTACGTCGGTGCCCAGGAAAAGGTTATGCCTCCGTGTGTCCGAGATCGTCCAGCGGAATTGCTGGGAGTTAACGTTAAATTCGAATTGTACTTTAATTTGAAAACGATTCGTTCATATCCTCTCATTGGGGTTTTCTGGATGAGTCTATCTGCGTGGCTCGTGTATGGTTTCAAAACATTATAAACTATTTCGGTGTTAGAGATTGGTTTAACATTCGATTAGTTTGATTGGAAACTGACGTAACTAATTTGTATCGATCATATTCATCAAAATTTTGGTAAAATACGTCATGTTTGATGGCTTACAAGATGCCCGTAAATGACAAAATTTTGTCTAAAGGCAAGGATACACGTGTCAAGTAGCTAAATTTAGTTACTTGTATGGTGTAACAACCTACGATGTGGATAACTTGATTTAGTTTACTACTACTACTTGCACAAGTATTAAATTAAGTTATCTACACCCTACACCATACAAGTAACTAAATTTAGTAACTTGCTTTAGCTACTTGATATGTGTCCCTGCGTATCAAGTAATGGTGGACTGTACCAATTTAGTTTGTAAAATGATCTTATATTTCAAAGGTCCTGAGAACTAAAGTTCGAAAAATTGACCCGTTATTTGAAGCAAAAGCGTGTAGTTCCTAAAGCGATCGGTAGGAGGCGATGTAGTAAAGGATATTATTTAAATTTAACATTTAGGTTGCTGAAGATGCAGCCGTAACTGAGATAATCTAAGAATTGTTTACAGAGCTTATTTCTCAAATATTTTAATTGTCTACAACTGTTATAAATGCATATAAGTTTGAATGTTAGTAATGCGCGTCGCTGATTGGCTCAGATAGGCTGATCCTCCGATCGTTCGCCACGGTACGGTGGCCAAGTGAACTATCAAAAACATCTTCATTTAATTTTTTTCACAACGGGTCTGGAATTTCAATTCATTTTCTTAAAATAATAAATAAAAGAAATATTTAGAACAACCGTTTTTATTTCTTAAACTTGTGTATTACAATTTCATCAAAACACTTCCTGATAAAAAAAAACAGAGCAAACGTATTACAGCTAAGTACTTATTTCAGCAAACTGCTGTTTCGTATCATCCAATCTAAAAAATCAAAAGAATTTATATAAATGTGTATACTAAAAGGGAATTTAACCACCTCTGCTAAAAACAAGATTACCTAGAACCGATGTAGGTTTCAGAACTCCTAAATTATTACAAATGAACAAGAAAGGCTATTCTAATTGTACTATATTTTTTCAAACAATGTAATTGAGCAAACGTAATAATTATTGTACCAATCGTAACTAATTAGAACACCTTTCAATTCAAGTTTGCTACAATGCTAGCAAATACAAAAATGTAAATAGTACTTGAGTAATATCAATCCCATTATATTACATTTTTGTATACTCATATTCATTATTTACAAAGCAAAAGTAAATTTTACACTTTATGTACCCTAGAAGGATATTCTAAACAAAACACTTAACTGCAATGCTCATGTGAAGTTGTGGATGGGTGTGGAAGGTAAAAAGAAAGAATAATAAATAATTTCATGAATAAAATGTACATCTTGGTATTTTTTGTACAATCAAAAATAAATTAAAAATACTAAAATGATCAACAAATAAATTGTAAAAGGCTACTTAAGAGCATTTTAAATTACAAAATAAAATCATCAACAAAAATGTTTTTACCAAATAAAGCGACAAAAATTAAGTATATCTTGCGATTTTTTTATGGATATCAAATTCTGATAACGCTCAATGACTTACTACTAATCGTACAAATCAACTAGCATTATCAAAATTTAATTATTAAACAAAACGTGGTCTTTCACAAAAAGCCTCGATCGTCTGAAATAGGCAGAGGAACCGCTCCTAAGTAACTCTTTGTGCTACCTATTCAGTTACAAAGTATTTGATGACTGATAGTATTCGTCAAATTGTCTTACTTAGCCTTGAGAGCCTTCATTAAACCATCAGTGGACATAGATTTGGGCCTTTCGATGGGCAAACCGAGCGCACGATCCCACACCAAAGAGGCCATGACACCCAGCGCTCTCGATACGCCGAAAAGAACGGTGTAGTAGTTCATTTCTTTGAGTCCATAATACTGCAATAAAAATAATTTAGCTTTAGCATCCGTTTAATATTCGATGCATTTCGAATATACCTGAAGAAGAACACCAGAGTGGGCATCTACATTCGGCCAGGGGTTTTTGACTTTTCCAAGCTCAAGGAGAATTGGAGGCACCACTTTGTACACGCTGGATACCAACTAAAAATAATTCACATTAGCAAACGATTGATGGGCATTGATGCAAGTGTTTAAATTTACCTGGAACAATGGGTCGTCGGGTAAATGTTTGAGGGCGAATTCCCTTTGACAAGTGTAACGGGGATCGGTTTTTCTCAAAACGGCGTGTCCGTAACCGGGCACAACTTGGCCGGATTTCAAAGTTTTCCAGATGAATTCCTTCATTTGCTCCTCGGTGTATTTGTCTCCGACTTGTTGGCGAAGTTTTTGCAGCCAAACCAACACCTTAAATCATAGAATATTTAGTCTGATTTATTTTAAAATACCATCCCTCTTCGCGATTCAAAATGCGGTTATTGTGATTTACATATCACGAAATTAAATTACTTAATTTAGGCATTGTTTTGAATTAGATAATTTACGCGTGACCTTCACAATGAACTCTTACTTAATTATCATTCGCATTTTGGCTTGAATCACTCTCTTGCCATTCAAGCAGTTTAATCTATTGTATTTTTAGTACATATGCAGATTATCCAACAGCTACATTGAACTTAAACGAATCATACAAGATTCGAATAAATGGATAAAATAATTATTTCATACAAAAGCTTGTTACCTAACTTGTTAATAGTTGTACAAATAGGATTTATTCGTTACGGTGAATATAGCATTGAAATCGTCGAATTGTGACTTGGAAATAAATTAAGTTTCAACCTTATTTTACATAGCTATCGATCATTTTTACAATAAAAATATTCCGTAACCCACAACTATTTTCATAAATATTCACTAATTATTTTACATATCCATCAATTACTATTAAAATAACAATATTAAAGTAAACATTGCGTAAAATATATTAAGCAAATGAAGTATAGTTTCAAACATATCACAGATTTAAACCAGATAAAAAAAATTCCAAGCATTATCATCGTGACGTATAATTTAATCATTTAAATTTTATAAAGTAGTACTTTTGAATAAGCGTGGAGGTCGATGATTTGTTCTTGCTTAGTACCATCTCCGGAAAATTAATATTTCGTACCCTAGGATTAATTGTTTTTTCTCTTAGGTACTATGTTGAAACTGTTCAAAATCATTTAGAATTGTCCAGAATCATTTTGAACCATTTTGAATTCGGACAATTTGAAACAGTTTACTACTCTACTCTACGAAACAAGAATTCATATATGATTTTTCAACAGGTTACAAAACAAGAATGAAAAGCTGGTTAAACTGGTTAATTAGTGTGCGCTACGAAACAAGAATATACGGATGGAGAAATCCCCAGGTCGATCCATCGAACTAACTTACCTCTTGGTTGGCGAGACCGTGCAAAGGACCGGCCAATCCGTTCATGCCGGCCGAAAAGGACAGGTAAGGATCGCTGAGGGCCGAGCCGACCAAATGCACGGTGTGAGCGGACACGTTGCCGCCCTCGTGGTCGCTGTGAATGGTGAGGTAGAGTCTCATCAATTCGATGAATTGGGGATCGTCGAAGCCCAACATGGTGGTGAAGTTGTAGCTCCAATCTTTGGAGGTGTCGATCGCGCCGATGCCGGAGCCGTCTTTGAAGGAATTGCGGTAGATGGTGGCCGCTACGACGGGCAATTTGGCGATGAGGTCCATGGCGTCTTCGTAGGCGTACTGGAAGGAAATTGATTGGAATTAGGAAACGAAATTCTCGGTTTGTTTCATCACGAGTACCGGACCGTTCTGATTTTCAGGGGCGCTTGTGTACACTACAGTTCTAAACGGTTCTGTATTTTAATTTGTAGCAATCCTAATAACATCTGTACTTGCATAATATCCGTGAAATTAAATAAAATTATATTTTAGAAAATGGTACTAAAAAAGGTAAGTTGAACTAATTGTTTTTCCAACGAAGGTCATTTAGGAAATACAAAAATAGCCTGTAAGATAAGAATAATAATGCAGTATTTTTTTTAAAAAACCATAAAAATACTCAGTTTTTATGAAATAACATATATTTTTACGTAAAATAATCAAATTTGGTATCTACAGCAGACAAAATGGTAATTCTAATAAGATTAAAAAATCTCTCGAAATCAATTTACATAAAAATGAAAGATAAAATTTGAAACCATCATGATTTTTTGAACCATCGGCAAAGATAAAGCAATAATTATTTCGTATTAAACGAGACAAAATGATCAAATCATACATTGCGTGATAACAATGTCACGCTGTAATTAATGATAATAATTAAAGACTGCTAGTGATTACGAAATGTTCTGTTAAGTTATCAAAAAAAAACTGAAAAATCCTGAGATAAAACGCATTGAATAAATTGATGAACAATTACAGTACTTTTTGAATGAACGCAAAAAAATGGGATAAACGATCATTCAGTGCGCAAATAAACACATTAACTTATTTTTTTTAATAAATTATCACATTGAAATTTATTTATAATCATTTTGTTTCCTGTCCTTTCTTTTAGTAGCCAATTTCACTATTAATTATCAAAAACTACTCTCATTTTCTACGATTTCATTGTTTAACTAACAATAAATTAAATTATTAAATATAATCTAGTTTAAAAAATGTTATTTTTTCAATACAGTTAAATATTTTAACGTTATTTTCACTGGCCTTGACAACCAGACAAGTTGTTAATGACCGGTTACTGGATACTCGTATAATTTAATCACCTATTACCTACTCACTGTTTGTCTAAACTATTAAAACTTGCTAAATAAGACTGACACGTTACAGTAATGGAACTAATATAATAATTCATTCGTGACTCCTCAGGGAATCGATAACACTAAAATGCTATATTGCTCAATTTGTAAATTTTCAAACAGGTAGGTATACAAACCAAATTAAAACCGTAATTTTAACAGTAACATCCTAACTTCTTAATTGCACAAGCAAACATTATGTTAATCATGTAAATTTTGAAATAAGGAAAAAAATGAGGAGCAGTATTGATTGAACTGCCAAGCTCTGTAAATGAATGCAAGTAACATAGGAAATAAGTATTATCATTGGATAATATGGTAATTATAAAAATTTGTTCATTTCTTAATGTATTTAAAATTTATATTTTTTAGGTTACATATTCTAATATGTTTTTGTACACTTTCATAATTTTATCAATATGTGAAATAAGGACAGTGTTTAATGTACAAACCAGAGAGAAGAGATTCATAGTGCAGCCTAGAGGAGGAACCTATAAGGTCAATATAAATTTAATATTTCAATTGTAGAAATACTAGTGATTAGAACAGACGTCTGAAAAAAATATTGTTGTATTTTTCCAGCTTGTACTAGGATTGGCAATACCGGTGAAATTGGGTTCTAAACAATCAATGGGATTCAGTTGGAATATGCAAATTCAATATTCACAAGCTACAAATGTGTCTCAATATTTAACGTATCCTCCAACATACACGGGAAAACGATCGACAGACTACAAATCTTACGAAGTCGTTCTAAAAAATGACCGAGCGCAGTTTTATGAATTGCTCGAAGAAACATTAGACAGGTGATTGCAATTTCTCTACATAATCTCATTACTTACTTGTACATAATTTAATTACACGCCTATTGATAAATCGCATTTCCAGCGAAGGTTTACACGGCAGGCAATGCTTGTTAAGGACCATCTGTGAGAACGCAATGGATTCGTTTGCGCACGAAGAAAACGGACTGTACGGTCAACTTATTCATATAATGCTAACGTAAGTTTTCAGTTATCTCCCGGTTTTACTTAAATTTAATTCACTATTAAATTCAGTCCAAATTACGGAAAAGAAGACATCGACCAAGAACTAGATCCTGTCTATATGGAAGCAAAACGAGCAGGAGAATACGGCGTTGAATGCGAAACTCTATACACACAATGCGAATTTGAATACGGACTGTTAAGTATAATATCAAATTTAGTGGAATCGCACTAATAAAATTTACCGATATAAAATAATTTACTTTACTCCACACTTACCTCCCAGTATTTAGATTTGTGCACGCCGCTAGAGTAAGCCTTGGCGAACTTGCTCTCGCTGTTAAGTACGGTTATAGCTGCCGATAGCTGGGACATGGGATGCACAGACGTGGGCAAATTGTTGAGAACTTGCACGACGTGCGAGGGCAGCTCGGCGCGTTCGGCCCATTCCTTCGACAGGGCCTTGACTTGGGCGTCGGTGGGCACGTCGCCGGTCATCAACAGCCAAAAGAGACCCTCCGGCAGCGGTTCGGCGCCGCCCGGCGCTTTCGGCAGGACCTTCTGGCACTCCGGAATGGACAATCCGCGAAACCGGATGCCTTCGTCGGCGTCCAGGACGGAGGTCTCGCAGACCAGGGCTTTGATGCCTCTCATGCCACCGTACATCTGAACAGAAATACCGATTGTTCTACTCAAAAATATAATTCCTTGCAATCCAGGCTAATAATATATGCATTAAGACCAGCAAAAATGGGAGTAAATTAAGGCTTAAATGACCATGTTTATTGAGTAATCTTGGGGGCAGGAGTAAATAGACTTACCATGTCAACGGTAACCTCTCCAACTTTGTCGTTGCCATGGGATTTGCGGAAATTCTTTACCCGTTCCTGCTCTTTTGGTACTTTAGCTGCGAGCACAGCTTTGAGATCTGTAGATGCATCGGAGAGTTGTCTTAGGATAATCGATACTTGGGTAAGCTTCTGGAAAGAGAAACAAGTTGGTAAGTATACTTTAAATCTATCGAAAATAATTATGTTTGCTATTATTCAGTTTTAAATAATTTCTCGTGCAATTCCTGGATTCTAGGTAGGTATTTTTGTACAAATACAAAGTTATAAAAATCAATATTTAAAAAGGCTCAGACTCATTCATTACTTTTTAATACATTTTTTTAATTTTCTGCAAATAATATATATTTAACTAGACCTTTAACTAGACTTTAAATGTTTAATGGATTATCATCGTATTTATTCATGGTTAAGATAAAATATTCCAAGGAAAGTTTAGTAAGTTAGCAAGATTTGATCTAGTACTCCAGATAGTGCCATATGTAAATCTTTATTAAAACATTTAAATGCGATTTTTTGATTCATTCCAATTACGTTAGTAAATGGGAGACATAAAAGTAATTAAGCAATTACTATACAAACATTTGAATTCGAGTTTAGACTTTAAACGGGTATCGTCGATTTTTTTATTAAGCATAATAAATAGTTGTAAATACGAGACTGTGATTAAAAATAAACAGATTATAAATAAAATCAGCTATAATAGCCATTATTGAAAATAACGATATAACACCGAAAAACAAGTTGCAAAATATGGGCGCCGGTTAATATGTACCTCTCTAAAAATAAAACTTATTCGAAAACAGATTCGATTTGAACATTAATTCTTAAGGACTATGATCTAAAAAAATTCGTTGAAAGCAAATTTGTATATAGTTATACCTAAGTTGAACGCTTCTCACAAATAGCATATTCTGACCATGTAGGCCACGTTATCTAATCTTAGTTTTATAAATTTTTATTTTACATATTATTTATCACGAGAGCTTAGTATCAACGTTTACGTATAATTTGCAAGTATCTATCGTTTTATGTAATGTTAAAAACCTACATAATTTAACTAATTTAACATCAATAGTAACGTTAATTTTACGGTGTTGCTCGATTTAATATTATGCGATTATTTAATTGTACGTAATTAGGAATCATAAGTGGCGCTTACAAAAAAAAATCTGTTAGGATTACATAATAAAATTTGCTTTAAATTTAAATCACCTTTCATACTTTATCTACAATAAAACGAGTGATACTTGGCAGACGAGTGTGGACGTAATAGGCGTAGTATTTACTATACGGTGTAGTCAGGTGACTACATAAATTCCCATATTCACTGAATTATTGAAACACGAGTTCGAGCTAATAATAAATGGAATGTTACAAACGTTTTGGTGCCTTTAGCGTCACAAGTAAATATACAATTCATTATAGGTAGAGGTGTACAATGTGCTTTTTGGAACGAGCCACGGTTAAATAATTGTTTGGAATTTTTTCGATTTGCTATTTTTAATTAGCTATCACTTAGTTAGGCAATTTCAAAAGCAAATTTAGCATTCTATTAGGGATATTTATTAAACGTCGTTAATAAAATAGATGTTCACTAGTTTTGCATGTTTATTGTGTTTACCACATTTCTCTTGTCAATAAAATACATTATTTATAGTTGTGGTTTTCAATGTGAATAAGGAGAATCGAACGTTGTGGGATCGTAATTATCATAATAAATGACCAATTGGTTTTACTGGAGTTGTTTTTACGATAAAGTACCTGTTTATCCTTCAAAAATGTGAACAGGCAATATCCTGACCTAGATACGTCTCTTGTTCAGACAATTTCTGAAAGAAGTCCACATAATTTTGTCCACGCCTCTAACAATCTAGGTCTGGGTCAACTAACGTTTAAGAATTTTTAAATGTTCTAAATGTAATTGAAATTTCGGAATTTTTACATCTATATGCCATCTATATATCTATATATGAAATATATACACTGTGTTATTTATAAGATGCGACATAGGGATTCCTGTACAAATGTGTCAAATGCAAGCTAACTTTTTTACCAAATAACGTTCATAAAAAATAATAACAGATTTGAAAAGATCGTAAAAAAATATGTCAAAATGGACATTAAATTTTCTTAAATTCGTTCTGGTTTATTAAAAAAATGTATAATTAAGTTGAAAAAGTCATACATCTATATCTTATATTTACATCTAAAGTTGGTGGCATCAGGAATAAATCGTCAGGAATAAAAAAATGAGGACATTCCAGTATTAATTTATTGCCGATTTGATGGAAATCCCTTTAAACATGTGTTTTTCTATTACACAAAACTAAGCAAACAGCTAACAATTTCTATCATTTTTTTACGAGATCGTGACTACATCTATTAAAAAAATATTACCTAATAAGAGCAATTTCCAAGGACAAAGTCAATTTTTTCATTTAAGAGAAATTACCCAGTAAATATGAAATTGGTTTCCTGTTTAAAATATTATTTTGTAAAAAAATGATATTCAAATGTATTCTAAAAAGTATGATAAAAATTATGTTAATTAAAAAAATAAAGGTTAAACACAAATAAGTTTAATTAATTTTTATTGCCCAAAAATAATTAACCCGAAACTTACAACTTACTTTTGCATGTATTACAGGGTTGAAAAAATTTCAAAATGTCTTTTCATTGACTAAAACCAGTTTTTTTTCAATCTTCGGATGGGCATATTTTCTTTGGGAAGGGGTTTTTCAAAAAATGTTCACCCTGTATATAAGGCAATGAACTAATAATACATTTATTCAAGCATATTAGTAGTAGTAATAAAAATGAATGATACACAATGAATGTGTATGAATAACAATAGCTGACTTTTATGACAATTTTGCTGATACATATTTGTAAAATTAAGGAACTTTGAGTAAGTACATTGAATTAACATTATTAAGCCATTGACCCACTAAGTGATAATCATAATTGTTTTCATTCCTTTGAACATATGTAGGTACATTATGTTCATATAAGTACAAAATATAGAAAAATAAGCCCAATAAAGTAGTAGTACTGGCAAATACCTATGGGTTTTTAACAGAACACAATAATAAGTAAACTTTCATTATAAGCGAGGAGCAGGGGTCATTTTCAGGGTAACCAAGGTCATTAACAATGTCAAACCACGTGCTCCAGTAAATTTAAATTTAAAATATCGCTTAATAAGTAACTGTTGATTAGTTCAGTGAGAAAACTTTTACATTCCTTCAACTGAATGAATAACTAAAAATAAGGTGGAATAGGGATAAAATATTTCAAATAATAGAAGTTTTTTATCAATGAGTGTAGGTGCAAGGACTTACATATCAAAGGCAGTGCCTTATCTAATTACTCATATTCATGTAATCCTCTAACTTAGGAGAATTTATGAACTACATTAGTTAAACGTAAGGTGATAAAAATTTTTGGATCGAAATATATAAAAATGAAATAAAAAAAAATCACCAAAAATTATTGAAGTTTTTTTTTCACTGAAACTTCTGGAAAACTTAGAGCTTAGAAAATTGTTTGATTATGTAACGAGTGAATTATTCAATTTTGAAGATGGACTGGCGATAACATAAGTAACGTATTACTTGATTTGCGGATTTACAATTTCGATGAAAATCCGATTTCTAATATTAGTACTTTGTACCTACTTGCTTATTTATAAAATGTGCTTTACGTAACAAGACCTTGCTTACAATTTTTCAAAACCTCCGTTATTCCAAACACCAGCAAGACACACATATACGGCACAAATCAGAGGAAACACCATTATACAAAGTTTAAAATTATACAATATTTAATAAAATTCAAAACATTAAAAGTAAGGTTATGGTCAAAAAACTTACCGTAGTTTCTGTTAATTTTGTGGAAGTAAGGCGTCGAAATAATGCCATTTTTTACTTAACAATTACAGTAACAATCACTATTTCACAAAACCAACGACGGCAATGTAAAGTCCCGTTAATTAATTACACAGATCGACCTCTCTACCTCTGACAGGAGTGCTTCGCTCACTCGGCTCTAGTGAAATTAAAATTTGATTCATGAAGTTTGAACCAAGCGTCGTTCTCGTCACGGAACACACAGAACTGCAACCTTGAATATGTGAGGTAAGTGTAAGAAAGAAACAGGAATATCTTTTATTGAAATAGAAAATATAATTATAATGCAGTAAATCGGGGAAAAATTGTTTATGTCTTTGTCTGGTGAACGACGTGTAGATATATCTATCTCACTTATACCATAGAACACAGCAAATTAAATGACAACTGATTTTTTCGATTCGATCAGGCTCGTTTCGTTCATCGATTGTTGAGATTAGAGATGGGCGATAACAAAATTCAAATTTGTAAGATATTACGATTTCGTTTTAATTTTTGTGTTTTAAAACAGAAAAATTTGAATTTTTCGCTATATCAATAGAATAAGAAGACATTAGTTATTACAGTTTATTTGGAATGTGAATATTTTCATACATAATAAGCAAAGCTTCGGCAAAATGAATAAAAAATCAGAAAGAGATACATACTCATTCATAATATTATGGGCATTTTTAGGCTTAATGATTACCAAATTTACTGACTTAAAAACATCTAAAAATGTCTTTATTCAATCTTGTGCCTAAGTAATATTTTTTCTAATAAAAATACTACTCAAAAATGTACATTTTTAGTTTAATCTCTTCCTGAGAAAAAACAGCTGATTATTTATGCGAGTACAATTAGCTAATAGTAAAATATTGCTAGACACGATCTGTAACCAATACGAGAACAAGAATATTAATTAAAGGAAAATTCCTGTTGGCAAAAAAAAACCTTGAGATTTAGGCATTCAATATCACAATTATTCACTGGGGTATATCGTGTTGGAAAATTTTTCGCGCATAATAGGGAAATCAATGTTAAATTCTTAGCCGGCTGAAATCCAGTCTACCAGTATACATTTCAATAGAACGTCGCGATGTATTCTAATAAATTTAATTGTTCTACTGGACTTCACACCGCGCTTTGGCTTGGTTAGATTAAAAATCAAATAATTTCGACGGTTTCGACACTTCGACAGTATCAAAACGGGTTCGGATGGGTGAACGTCGAGTCGATTACAAAGAATTGAGAATTTTTAAACGATAATTTATTGAAAAAATATCACTAATAATAAAATAGAATTATGTAGATATGTCTTTTTGCCACAATGGCTTGAAAAAGAAAGTAAATTCTAAGAAAATAATAAAAAGAATACTCCAAAAATAAGCTTAAAGATTATTTTAAAATAGAAAATAAAAGAACTCTAAAAAATAGTCCACCGCTTTCTGCTAAACAATAGCCAAACCTGTCATACAGATGTCATCTCATATTACTGAGCTGAGGTGTAATTATAAGAAAATTGAATTATTTTTCCTTATTTTTCCTTATTTTAACAAGATTTGTTGCTATTTCAAAACTGTACCTACCGATACACACATTTTTTTGAAATATCCCCAAAAAACCTATTAATTGTAGTTTCTAAATAATTTTGTACCTCATACCTAACACAAATAACTTTGTACCTCTACAAATCGCGGCGTGCGGTCCAGTAGAACAATTAAATTTATTAGAATTGATCGCGACGTTCTATTGAAATGTACACTGGTAGATTGGATTTCAGCCGGCTAAGAATTTAACATTGATTTCCCTATTATGCGCGAAAAATTTTCCAACGGTGTATGTATAATATAAAGAATTATTCAACTATATCCTATCGGTATTTCATAATTAACTCATGAAAGTGAAATGCCGAAAAAACTATAATCGTGCCATCAAGTCAGCAATATCGCACTACAACTTGTCGTTAAACCAATTTTAATTAGAATATCAATAAAAATCGGCTAATTCATAATCATCAATGTCGCAAAAAGGCAACTGAGCGCTATTAACATACAACGTATGTGAAACTAATACTTTTCTCGAACGCTATCACACTGATAATAAGCAAATTTCGAATTGAATAAAAATATGCTTATTCCTTTATGACCGCATCAAACATTATGTAAATAAGGTGAAAAGCTTATCAGGCCTTTTAGCGATAAAATTTTACTTCGGTTTCAACGCAATCTTTAAGTAATTCATCGAGTTCTGATAAATCGTCTCCGATTCTCTCGATGACCGTATCGAGTTCTTTAACACATTCGATTTCCATGTTTCTGAGCAGCTCCAGAACCTCCTCTTTGTTGCTCTTCTGCATTGCAGAGGATTTCAAAGTGTATAAAGTGTGCGGTTCCTAAAAATTAATTAAGTCAGATAAAGCAGAATTACTCATAATGCCTTATCAGTAAATAAAAATGATTTCATATAGCCGATAATCTGTTAGTTTGAGTGCAAAGCAAATTAAATAAAAAACCACCCTTACATCAGCTGAAGAGCATGTGGTATGTTTAGAAATAACTGCTCTTGGTGTAAATACAAATGGTTTAAACACAGATATCGATGGATCAGGCGTAGCTGTAAACCAATGGACACTTGGAACCGTGTTCGAAATTACAGAAACCTAAAAATAATAAAAAAATTATATTACAATATGACTTGTTTTTAGAATAAATCCAGTAACCTGGCTTCCTTGTGTTACACTCCCAATACCATCTTCCTTCATACAAATTCCAGATTCGATATCACGCAGAATTTTAAACATATCTACTTCTTTAAAGTTTCCTGAGGCTGTAAGGCTTTCTAGAAGGTTTTTCCCAGCAATGAATCTACTACCATATGGTTTGGTTTCTCCGCTAAATACTTCCCTGAAGTTGAATTCGCCCTTTAATGAAAATAACGTTTATTAAAAAATAAAGGTTAGTTTCAAAATTTGCTGTCTACCTGACCATTCCAAAGGCCTTGTGACTTAGCATACTCTTGTATCCCATTTGAATGTCTATCTATTTTAGTTGTTATGGTTATAGCATTAGATATATTTCTAAAGCCGCCTAAAATGGATATTCCAATTGTAATAATCACAACTATTACCTACACAATAATTAATTAAGCCAAAACTAGTGAAATGGCGACAATTTATTGCGACCTACTATCTATTTGTTCAGCAACCCAGTGCTTTCCAGATGTTTCCAGAACCCAGGCGATTTTAGCATCAGCAATAATAAATGAATTATGGTAAACCAATGTTGGATCCGATTTAGAGCAAGGACCTCCTTGGCCGTACTTCTCCAATAATTGAGTGATAACATCTAATGCTTCAGTAGCTGAAGAACTTCTTTCCAAACCCAGTCTGCAACATAAAAATTATTACATTGACAATGATGTAACTTCACAAAATATTAAAAATTACCTGAGTAAATCCATTCCGAGAAGCCTCTTTATTTTAGGATCGTGGTCTCCTTCATTGTCATTAGTCCATATAGCTTCGTTGCCAATTACCACACCACATTCGTTTGCCCCCATCTCGGCGCCCCACATCCAATTTGGTTTGCTTAATATAACGGATTTAGTAGGCCCTGCTGACTCCACTTCAATGTAAGTACACTAAATGCACAAAGATTTAAGAATTTTTAAATTACAGAATCCCTAAGTAAATACCTTTATTGAACCAGAAGTATCAGTAGCCGGAATGTACACTACTTCCTGTACTTCGTCTTGAGGCCTGTCGGAATTTTTTCCGAATATAACTCCATGTTTTGTTAATGGTGGTAGAACAACGAAAGTATCACAGGAACGTAATGGCTTCATCTAAGGAATTATTAGAATAATGAAGAGAATGGATATAAATTTTAATTCATACTACAATAATTTTATGCTAACAGACCGCTCTGTTACTTAAGTAACCACTATTTATTCAAGTCACAATCGCAGTATAATTAACAGTATTGATATTGTACTGGGGAGGCTTGTACTTTTTAATTAACGTTCAACTTTAATGATAGCGTTATTATTTAGGGAAATTATGAATACTTAAGCAATTATCGATTAGCAATTCGAAATTGATTAGCCAGCATGTATATTATTTCGTGACAGAAATTTCTGACAAAGTTTTAATATTTGAAAACAATGTTCTAATCCGGCATTACTTAATAATACAGAATAATAAAGGGTGGAGAGATGTAATACATACCTTAAAAGTACAATGACGTGTGTACTGGTAAAAATGCCACCTCAGTTCTAATTATTAAGTACTTTCTAAGTTTGGAACTTTATCCGTGATTTGAATCAAATTGTACACCAAATTACACACACACCTAACAAAAATTAATTTATATGATAATAAAGTGACAGTAGAATGACAGTGACGTTGACATTAACGTTTGTGTTATTCAATTATTAAATTAAAAATAAACAGAAGAATATTGATTTTATATAATATGACACTGACACTTATGACAGTGACATTTGGTTGGTTAACCTCACTATTCCATCTAAAAAGCGTAAATATTTATCATGATATATTCACTAACTTTTCTAATTATTCTCGCTAATTACGGTTCAGTATTTTGTTACGAAGGTTCAATTGACGAAGAGCTGTTGATTAAACCACTTCAAAGTAATCAAGTGTACGCTCATTTCCAATTTTCCACGAAATGGGATATAGATCCCGAAAAAGAAACTTGTAAGTACCAGCGTTTGTGTTAAAAGGGCGTGGAAAATTATTTGTTTTTTAGTTCGCCACAGTTCGTTGTTCCCAAGGCCCATTGGTGAATTGATACAGAGATTCGACATTCAAGAATTACATGTAACTTTGACAGGCGGTTTATGGAGATACGAGAAATGGGGATATCCTGTGGTAGATGCTGCTACCGGCGCAGAGGTATTAGCTTGGTTTAAACCGGGCTCCGATGTCGATACCAATTGGAAACTTCTGGCGAATTCCCTATCGGGATTATTTTGCGCCTCTTTGAATTTTATTGACGATTTGAATACGATCAAACCCGAATTTTCATTTCGTCCGAGAGGTGTTGTGGATTCCAAATTTATAAACAGCTCTCATGTTAGGTAAGTACTTAGAATTGCTAGATTTTTTCTTTATTTTTTTCAAATAATACATTTCAGATACGCTAATCTACCTCACGAAATAGTTTGTACAGAAAACCTAACACCTTGGAAAAAGTTGTTACCATGCGATTCCAAAACCGGATTAGCATCGTTGCTGAATTCCGGGCACATTCATAATACTCGCTATCATTCCGTAGGTTTGCATTTAAGACCGGTTTGCAGGGATAAATCCTGCGAATCTTTATCGTTAGAATTGCAACAAACCGTATCTTTAGTTTACGATTATTTAATTTTGGGCACCAAAAATTGGTCGTTGAGGAAGTTGTTCGGGCAAGGAGTCAATCGTAAATGCGTGCTAGTCAATAAAAGTGATATTTACGTTGATACAACTCTAACGGATGTTGAGCTCGAGCCTGCTCCTGACAAAACCGTCACATCAATTCGTGGTGGACAAACAACAGTACTTCAAAAATATGAAGTTACGAATACTTTCTTAAATATTTATGCTAAATATCAAAATGCGGATGTGGTACCTTTAAACTTACCTCCACCTCTGCATGCGAACCAGTATTTGTCCGGTTACGGACAGGAACGTGGAGGAATCGTTACTAAAATCTATAACAATCATTGGAAGGAGCTTGATGTTGTTTTACTGCAAAACATTCCTTGGTTTATCCCGATCTATTTGCACACTCTGAAAGTCGTTTCTAACGGAAAAGAGCTGAAACCACTTCAATTACGCTACATACCAGCCAGACAAAGGATAAGACCGAATTATCTCGAGGTGTTGTTAAGATTACCTGCTCGAACATCCACTTCCGTTGTTATAGATTTTGATTACGTTTTCCTAAAATGGCAGGAATACCCACCGGATGCTAATTTCGGTTTTCACATTGGATCGGCAGTAATATCTTGCTACTTGCCTGTTGCTAAAAATTACACTGCCGTTCCATGGGATATGACTTTAATTTCCGATAGCTTCAACGCTTCTCGAAACGGTTATTTAGTGGAAATCCGAACCGAAAATTTAATAATTACTCTACCAACTCCAGATTTTAGTATGCCATACAACGTTATATGCTTAGCCTGTACGGTAGTTGCTCTAGCATTTGGACCACTGCATAATATTACTACTAGGAAATTGATTTTGAAGTCCAATAAAAAAGTGCAGCTAGTGGAGAAGATTAAAAAGTTGCTGAATTCTCTAAGTAAAACCAAAGAGGAATAAGTTTATTTAATGTACATTTTGTATTTTTTTTTGTAATAAAAGACTGCTAACTGAAAATATTTTTAAATCCCTACCTACATAAAATCACTTTTTAAGAGTCCTACGGGTAATCAAACGTAGTTTAAAATATATAAACTACCCAATTTGATATCAGTACGTTTATTTATTATTTAGGTACATTATAATTGACTAATATAAAGTGTTTTAGAACGATACAATTATTACTTAATAAGAACCTGAGTTATCTAACAGTTATTTTTTAATGAAAATTAAATGTTTTAAATTCTGATTAATTGTTTTTCTCATTTGAACTTATTTTACTAAAGTAATAGTTAACGTTACCTTACAGTGTATAAAAATTTTACAATGTAATCACAGCATTTGTTTAATGTTTATGGCGCCACTAGGATGATGAACTTTAAAGGTTGAATCCTAATCGAACAATATTAATTCCATTTGATTAGTGCAATTTTCGATCAGTATTTTAATCACTTCGTATAGTGTTTGCTTCACTACCAATTCAACTTAACAATACCGAATACTATAGCATAGAAAGTGATGGATATTTGAGGTATCGCCGCTCCACCTCCGTCTCCTATTTGCCTTTCTCTTCCCTCTCGTGCTTTAGACTCAGCTTTGCAAATGCTCTCGCAGTCCGCATCTTCGCATACATCGCAGAGGTGTGTGACGGTGCCTTTGTAAAACACTCGCGCCCTTCGAGCTAAAATTTTAAATATTACAATAGGTACATAAACTCTAAAATTAAATTCTCTTACAAGTATCGTAGTAATCGTACAATACTACAGCAACGGGCCGTTGCCTTGCCACTTTGTACGTTCGATAGGCGGATATGGTAGGGCAGTACTCGATTCGAGTAAGGTTGTTGAAGTACAACAAAACTTTGGTCAGTTTGTTGCTCGTCTCGACCTTTTGGACGTTCTCGGAGAGCTCCAAACTGGGCAGGGCGTCTGTATCGGCGGTAAATCCGGACGGTAGGTTCACCTCCATTACTGCCATGTTGCTGGAGTTCGTGTGTGTCAAATTCTCACTGACGAATCTACAAAATAAGTAGGTAAATTACCGTTAATAATAATAATCGAGTTAACGTACGAAATGCAGATGGAAATTTGAAGGTGGTGGTTGTTGGAGTTCTTGTCTACTTGGGGATCCAAAGTGAACATGGGCCAAGGCCCGGTAACGTTGCTGTTGTACTGGTATGATACTTTGAATACTGCCAAGCCGTTTCCTTGTGCTGTGATGTTTACTTCTCTCGTAGTTTTATCTAAAATCTGCTCGAAACGTATTAAATAGAACCTCTTAAAAATAGTATATTATCAAATTTTACCTTCATACTTTGCAGTATCATAATGTTGTTTCTATTAAGACTGAACTTCCCGCTTCCTTCCTTTCCATATTCGTATTCGATTTGCATATTTACCGGACTTGCTAATCTAGTCACTATTTTATACAAGGCTTGCAAACCCACAACAGTATCGTGAGAGGACGTGAAACCTCCCAGATTATTCTGTTGGTTTAGCAGCCAATCCAAAACCGGCAGGGCGTCTTCCAATAAATTCGCCTCTATGAAAGTCATTAAAGCGTAGGAAGTCATCTCTATGTCGATGGATCTGGGTCGGTTATGCCAGGGATTTTTCACCTCGTTCGAAGGAGTATCCTTCGCCCACCATTTCATGTTATCCTTCGATTTTCCTCGGTTGTCAAGCAGGTTGAAAGCGCTTTTCGTCGAAGCGTGTCCGGTTATTTGCAACGCATAGCTACATAAAGCTAAAGAGTACGTAGATTCGTTGTCGTCTATGTTCCTAGCAATGTAATCCAAACCTTTGTTTATTACGTTGGTTAAGATGGGGTTGTTACGCTGGAATAAATCTCTTTTTATCTTCTGTCTAGTGGTGTTTCGAAAATTTTCTTACCTCACTTGATTCTTGGATGGCCATAACGACGAAAGCTGTAAGGGCTAAACTGTTACCGCTGTTGTTCTGTAATTCAGAATGGATGATGCTGCCGGTTTCGTAGAAACTTCCGTTCTTTCCTTGGATGTTCGCTAGCCAATTTAAAGCGCTTTCGATTAGATCTTCATCGACGAAAATGTAATTTCTCGCTTGTTTCAGCGCTAAGGCTGTATAAGCTGTTAACCTATAATGTTTTTAATTAATTTAAGAAAAAATAATTGAATAGATGTGCTTACCAAACGCTCCCAACCGAATCCTTCCGTTCGAAGATACTATAAGACCCGTCTTTTCTTCTGTAATTTAACTGTTTTTGGTAGCCGGTCTCCAAATTCACTACTGCTTGGTTCTGAACAGCTGGGGTTAGTTGGTTAGTGGTCTTTAGATAATGCAATACTATCAAATTGGACATCAAATGCACCAGGTTCTGTTCGCCGCAGTCCGTTGGCAATCTAATAACGCTGTCCAAATGGACCATAGCAGCTGCCAAAAATGTCCCAACAGCGGAGACTTCGATGTTTTCCGATCCGGTAACCGCGTTCTTGGGAATCGTGAAGTTGATGGATCTCTTAGCGTTGGGATTGTTTCGCAAGTCTAAGAGGACCGATTTGGTGTAGTATTCTTTCTCCCCTCCCGGCTAAAAGTTTAGTAAAAAATAGTTATTTAATTGTACACATGCTACTTGGAAATAAATCGATAAAAAAGAAATTAAATCTTTACCACAACAAGTAGTTCCGTCTCGGTCATGTCCTGGTTTTTCGGGGTAGTCGCTGTAACTTTTATGGGTATTGATCCTATTTTGCTGCCCGTTATCAAAAACGAAACCGTTGATTCGGCGTTTTTGCCCACCTTAACCCGCTTTCGTCGGTACAATTCCACCCCTAAAACACGAACCGTTAGATCCTACAACCCTTACACCTCATCCTACCTACTTTTAACGTTGTTGTCTTCGCTTGAGGCGACGAATTCGAACCGATTTTCGGAATTGTGCAACGTAACATCAGCAACAACCTCCTCGTTCATGTTGTTCTTAACGACCACGGGAACGCTGAGTATTTCACCGCGCTGTATGGAATAGGGCAGGTCCAGCATCACCGCCAGCGATTTGCTAACTTTCAGCAGCTTGGGGGCCGTGGATATCCCCAGGCCGTGCAGCGGGTCCAAAGAGAAGCCCGTTATCGACCAAGTCGTCAGGGTATTGGGCAGCATCCGCCTGATCGAGCTCTTCCCCTCGTAGGTAGAGAAGTTGCTGAACAGCCACGTGTCGGCGATGTCCTCCAGCAGGAACACCTTCGGCTTGTTCCAAACCGGTCGGGGAATCCTGCTGAAAGCGTACGGGCCGGCCAACGGAGGCCGCGTTACTGCGTGTATGGGCAGCACGAGCCCGCGATCCGGTTTGATGGTCGATGAACCGTAAAATACCGGGCGAAGGTAAATGTCTTCCACTGAAATCAGATGATTTTGTGTTTTAAATTTGAGGTGAGGCTGATGTGTTGTTCCTGACTTACGAGTTGGTTTCATTCTGTTGATGTGTGTGTTGGTGGCTATGTCTGCACCAGATTCCTAAAATATAAATAAAGTAAAATTCATCTAAACAACCTTTTGTGGGAATTTTTTTAAGGAATATCAGTACTTACAAAAATAGCAGAATGAGGGTTGCTAGCACCAGGATACCAAGAAATCTTGGATTTGGTCCTCGCCAAATGGGGATAGGGAGTTCCTTGCGCTGGATCGTACATCTTGAGTTCCTCTGCTATGTAATCTAACGACAAATCGTAACCACTTTTGAGTTTACTAACATTTTCATCCACTGCCATCAGTCCTATGTAAGAGTTCTGTTGAGCTCTAACCGTAAACTCCACGTCGAGATTAGGTTCGCTTTCTAACGTATTCACTTGTACATCCACCTGTGCGATAAAATATCATGAGAGTGCTAATAACTTATATTTAAAATGCACCTACAAAATTCTGCAGTAAACCATCAACTTCTATATCCAGAGCGTCTCCGATTAATTCTCCGTCGGACCTCACGTAGTAAACGATCAAATGGCAGACCGGCACCATCGCGTGGGTTGCTGTGAAGTGGAACTTGAATTGTTTTCTGTTATCCACGTGGAAAGTGTTGGTTATCAGGACGTCTCCTCTTCCAATGAGCACGTAATTAAGCGACCTCATCGACTGCGTGCTGTTGACGACGATGTTTACGTCCTGGTTGATAACGGGTCGATCCGTTTCGAGGGTAGCTTGCAGGAAATTATCGCTGTAGGATACGGCAGCCGGAATGGGAGTACTGATTTCTTTCAAATCTCTGAATTCCACCTGAAATACACGAATCATGAGAATAGGAAATGTTTGAGATAAAGAATTTCTACCTGAAGTCTCAAGGCAGTACTGTTTGTAACGTTTCTGGGTGTAATAAACTCCAATTTCAAAAAACCATTTTCATTCAATTCATGTCTATTTTCCTCGTGAACTTCATCAACTCTAGAATACCAGTGCCTCACTATAACCTCGCGATTATTCGTGTTTATCCGGGTACCATCATTATTCGTCACTTGAACCTGCAATATGTAACCCAATAAGTACCCACTGGTTTCCAAAAGAAAATCAAAAACGACTCACGTAAGCCGTATACTTGAGCCCGGGTTTGAAGTAATCGGCCGATTTCACCAGCTCCATGTGGTAGTCGTACTTGTGTATGTGCACCTCCACACTGTTGTTCTGCCTGCGCCCGGTGAGGTGCTCCTCAATGGCCACGTCGACGACCACGATCCGCTCGTATTCGTCGTTGAGCCCGAGGTCTCGCTCGATGTCGAACTCCACCGAAGCGGAGCCGTCGATGTCGAACACCTTCCGCACGGGGTTCTGGAATATCGGCTGGATCACACCGGAGTAAATGGTCGGAAACACCGTCACCGTGGCTTCGCCTTTCACTTTGTCTCCATAATTGTACCTGCAAGTTGATATTGTTTATAATAATGCTCATAGTTTCTTCTTCGAAATGTTTGCCTTTAAATTAAAATTAAAAAATCGGTTTTTGTATTCCAGCAAGAGGATAAAATTTCACGTTGAGGATGATAGTTGTTGCATACCTTGTATCAATTTTAGCTCTAATAATATTTTCTTTGAATGTAATATGCTTGGGCGATTCCACGTCCACGATGAATTTGGGTAAAATGTACTCGGCTACTTCTATAGTTTTGTGGTAGGTTTGTCCGTGTACGGTTACAGAAATATTCCAATTTCCCAAAACCGGTTGATCGCTCAATTTTAATTCTCCTGTGAAAACTCCTCTTATAGCCTCCACTCTCCTCCATTCCTTCACTTTGTTACCCGAACCATCCTAAATAAAAAAAATCATTAATACGAAATTAACTTGTACTCTTGGTTAATTGTGGTAATCACAGTAATAAATACTACGAGCTCACCGTAATATGAATATTAAGAAGCTCATTTCTGACTTCAGCGGCAGGTTTGAGTTGGGAATTCAACACGATTGCTCTAAACAGAATATCCTTACCAGGTCTGTAAACCTGTTTATCAGTTTGTATAAAAACCGTGTAAGATTTTTGAACATATTGCAGCGGATATCCCGTCGAAAAATCGACTCCTCCAGTACCTCGAACTTGCAATTCGTATTCGCCATCTTCCAGCTCTCCCACCTGTGAATCACCGAAAAAAGTAGCAAGCTAAATAAAAAAAATGGTAACGGCGTACTTGCAAAGAACATATCTTGGAACTGTACGGTAGCACAACGACCTGGTCCTGGCTGAAGAAGGGCGTGCCGTTGAAGGAGATGCCCTGGAGAAGAGCGGTCACGGTTGTAGGTTCCGAGGCGGCTTGCACGCTGACGGCGCAATGGTATTCGCTCTTGGGCCTGATGACCCTCGGCCCCACGACATTGTAATACCTACGCAAAAGGCGAGTTGATTTAGATTCAGTGTGGGAATACCTCGAGGTCGCAGAGTCCACTTCTGTGTACCTACTTCGTAGAGAATTTGGCAATGCCACTTTTTTGCAAAACAAGAGAAATAACTGAAGAAATAATTCGTGTGAACTCTCTTAATGTATTTATTATTTACGGTTTGTATTTATGAGATTAATGCACGTAGAATAATTCTATTATAGGACGTAGATGCAGGATATTTTGTGTTAAATTAAAATAACTGTTAGGAGATAAGTAGGATATTTTGATATAACCAGATTGAAAGTATAATATGTAGTGCATAATTTACACCTACTTAAATATTGCATGGCGAATACAAAAGTGAAAGTGTAACTTAACAAATGAACAGATCGAACGTTTTCCAATAAAAAATTACATAAGTCAATGATCCTTATTCGGGAAATTTAGCACAAACTGTTAAACACTGAGAACACTGTTATTGCACCTATTAAATAGTTTCTTATTGTACTGTTGTATTGTTTGATGAGTGAATAGGCCTAATTAAATTAAATGTGAGAATATTATTTATTTCATTCATCAAATATTGAATATAAGCACGAGTATTACCGCCGTCATACAGTTGAATGAAATAGGAGGGTTTCTGTTCTGATCTACCGTTGAAAATATTGATCGCTGATACGATAAACTTATAGGGATAAATTAATAGGATAGACAAATAAATTATAAATTTTAAGTTAATCATTAATTGTAAGATTTAGTGTAAATTGATTGTGGTGATTAATTCAAATGGAAATAATAATAAAATTTTAATTTTATTCCGCGCAAGTTAGGTAATAATAATTAACCCATCATGTATCGTTTTATTATTTAATTTTCACTTCTGAATTGAAATGTTAAGGTCAAGAAGTAATAAATTCTATAAGAATTTGAATTATGTACAATATTTTACATAAAAGTTTAATCCAAAATTTGGAATCGAATAACAATTAACAAACTATAAAATTCTCGATAATCAATATACAATACAAAGGACGATTAATTTGTAAAGAATACAAGAACTTAAGATTTCTTAATTAAACAAATCCTATTCCTAAAAGGAGATGATAACTAGCCGATATCTATTTATAACTCTGTGCGCAAGGTGTAACCTATTAGGTATTTTAATATCGTTTTTTCCAACCTTGACTATTTGCAATGAGTAAAACCATAGTTCTGTGAATGAGAACGAAATTAATTATTTACCTATATGTTTATCATCCATGTATTTTTATTAGATTCCCTGCAACCTGCAAACCTATTATTTCTACTTTCCCTATGTTCAAAGGAAGTTTCCTCAAAAATATTAGCTTATAAATAAATAAAACTTATCTTATTAGCTAATATATATATATATATATATATATATATATATATATATATATAGATACAAATATGTGCAGGATTTTTACGAATGAAAATTTTTTGCAACCTTATAAGTAGAAATTTAAAGTGTTTAGGTCTAAGTAAATATCATATACAAGTATAACTATCATAAAATTTGATTTTTTGGCATTATTATAAATAAAATCAAAACACTATAAAATCTAACAAATTTTCATGTATTAATGAAAATAGATATATTACTAGATATGTTATATTTGGGGATATTTAATAAATTAGAGATGAAGAATTTAAATTTCACGAAAAACTCACCCTTGACTAGAAACATTGGAGATCAATACGGCAAAAATAACAGTCGAACAAACAATTAAACAACAATACTGCCTCATTTTTAATACTAAATCTATTCCAATATTAGCACAAATTTAACAAGGCTCTATTTCGAGCCACTGTATGTGAAAATCTGGTCGAAACGGCGATTTCAACTACCCTCCGTCATTTTATTCGCGTTCAAATTGCCATTTGCGTCCTGCCTTCGCAGGATTACTCACTTATCGCGGAAATAAATAAACTAACTCGCGTTCTCGCGACCGCGATCATAACAAGGTGGACATGACATACCTGTTGGAGTGTTTGTTCTCCTACTTTCGGATTCTTGACCACGGTGAATACGCTTGTCAACCGATGTTTCCTTTATTGTGATTTCTCTTCGTCGTATTTGGCTGCATTGTGGGAACGTTCCAGCGGCTGGAACCAATTCATCAGGAATTTATCTTAATCGGTTATTAAATTAAATTACACCGCGGAGGTGTTGCAAATTGGGCCGCAATTTTCACCTGGTGGAAATATCTAATTTTTTGTATCATTTGCGATGATTTATCGTAGGGATAAAGTTCATGCTTTATCCGAAGATTAGAATACTGGTTTAATTTTAACGATTGTAATCTAAATTTATGATGTTCTTGTGTAATTAAATTCTGTTATTTAGAAAATTTGGGTATTGGCATTTAAAAATAGGCAGATTAAATGCAACAAAATCTTTATAACCGAAAAATTGATTTCCAAAAAACCAATTTCGAAGCAAAACGCCATTTTCTGTCAAACTTTGGGGTATTCCCTCAGATGATTTTTCATCTAAGATTATCCACCTACAACATTACAGTGTAGGTTATCTGTGATCTGTGAACGTTGTCTTTTTTACACTTTAGTAGAAACTGGAGGAATAATTATAGGTTTGCCATAATATATTTATATTATAATTTATAATATATTATAATATTATATTTTAATATATTTATATTATAGGTTTGCCATAGATATGCCAATCCAACTACATAATAAAACTTCTTCATAGATAAATGACAAAATTATTTCGTAATACACAAAATTTGGAGGTACTCAAAGCATGCCCAATTTTATTTCAATTTTAATAAACGTTTAAGAAGCTGGAAAACAACTCTAAATTTTTTTTGGTTCCTCCAAAAAATATCTTGTTGGGCTGAATAACCGATGTGTATCAATTTAGTAATAAAGTAGAAGAGTGACATTTGGCATTTGTGTCATTTCCTTCGTGTAATAAAATCATTTCCTCTTTCTCTAGAATTGTCAAATTCATTCATAATTTTTTAAGGTTAGACGTAACACGATTCAAAAATCAACATGGTTACGGTTATTCAAAGCGATTTAAATATGGAAAGCACGAATTTGTTAACAAATGCCATTACTTATTTGGACCGTGTATCCACTTTGCCTGAAATAAAGGAACCTACACTAAAATCTTTCATTTCGTAAGTTAAATAAATACCATTAAATTCAATTAATCCAATGTAGTAAATTTCAGCTTAAAAACTAAGTTGATGTCATTAAAATTGAATAATCAAGTAAATGTAAACCCGTCTTCGCTCTATTGCCAGCGTTGTTTCTTGTCCCTTCGTGATGGACCAACAAAATATAAAGTTAAACCTAAAAATAAGAACCACCGATTCGCCAAGAAAATGTTAAATAAACGAAACAACGGGATACCTCTTACTAAATACCAAGAGGAATACCTACAACGTAACCGTAGTTTCAATGGAAATTATTTAGTAAGTTTAGTTTTAATGGTTTTATTCGTATTAGGTCTCCCGTTATGTAAATGTTATACAACATAACCTCAATTTTTTATATACTAAATAATAGTTACTAATAGCTATCTTGTTCCAGGAAGTAACATGTGGTTTTTGCAAAAATAAAACAATAAAAAATATTCCTGCTCCACCTAATTTACAATCGGATAGTAGGAAACGGCAGAAAGATTTATCGATTATCAAGAAACAAAGGAAAAAAAAAGGAGATAAGCTTTGTGGTCTCAACGAAGAGGCTGTTATATCTGTAGAATCAAAGAAAAAGAGAAGAAAAGGTAAAAAATCGGGAGTGGAAGACTGTTCGATTATCTGCCTAGATACACCTAAGAAGAAACCAAAGTTATGTAATAACAATAATAACGATGAATCTGTTATTCTATTAGAAAATACAAGTATTATTGAGCAAGTAGGACAAGTTGAACAGAAGAACGAGGAAAATAATCCTCCGAGTAATAACAATTCTATTATTATTTGCACAGATTTGATTGAGTCTGACAAACCTCAAAATAATAAACCGAAAAGTAATAAATCTCATAGGACACAACGAGCTGAAGAATCTTTTATCGATCAGAGGAATTATTGGAGTCCAGAATTCGAACCTAGCAATCAGAAATTTAAATTCACAAAGAAAAAACGTCCTCGACAGGCACTTGATTTATCTACACCAGTAGAAAGTACACCGAAATCAAACAGCGCTATCAAGAAGCAAAAGACATCCAATCTAAAATTATCTAAATTATTGAACGAAGGCGCAAACAAAAAGAAGTCTTCATCAAATTTGTTACAGTTTTTAGAAAGTTTGTAATTGCTAAAAGAGATTTAATAAAACAGCAGAAATGAAACAAACTCTCTTGATAATATTTATTCAACTTTTTACAGGGTATAAAATAACGCTCACGCTTATATGGAAAGTATTCTGGAAAGGTATTATCACTCCAACGGAATTTGATCCATAACAATCTGAAACATAAATATACCAATGAATTTTTCATTACTGCAATATCGAAAGTAACTAAAGAATAATGATATTAGGTATGTTAGGAAGCTACAGAAATAGGGTATGTCACGACGAAACACGAGAAAAACTTGGTAGATTTCAAAAATATAACAATATACAGGGTGTTCCAATTGAAACAACAAAGTTGATGCCAGCTTCCGGTACAACCAGAAGTGGTACGATTGTCTAAATATTTTTAAGAGTTTCGATTTATTGCATAATGCAGGGTCATAAAAAATATCTGAAGGAATAAGAAAATTATGAAAGATTTTTTTTTCTAAAAAGCTAACACCTGTAGATCGAAAACTAAGAGGTTTAGGACATATATTTGATATAAACTTTTCTTCTTAAAATCATCCAAATATTCACATCCTGAAGTATCGGCAATCAATTAATTAACACCCTATATATGTATACCACATTTTATTTAAATCGGATAAGTAGTTTTCAATATAACAGATAGTTTAAGCTCGTCGTTACATACCCTGTAATACAACAAATTAATCTGTGGATGGATGCCGTAACTTGATATTTCCAATTTTACTAATTTCTTCACTTAGTAGTTTAATGCTTTAATGACTTATACTGTGATATTCTACCATCTTTTAGATCTCAACGAGAGGAACCTAGTGGTACTGATAACTCAATTTTAACAAAATTTATATCAAGTTGTGGCATTTATCCACAGATACGAGTACAACAAATCATTGATACAATGTTAGATATTTGTAAATAACTAAACACAAAGCCAATATTAGAATCGCAGCCACTACGTTGGGCGCATTGACAGACTACTCGCTTGAAGCTGTCGGGACCTACCTTCGCACAAATGCTCTTGTACTCTTGATCGTCGCACCACGGGCCTCGTTCCGGTAAATCTTTGCCTCGCCTGCGCAGTTCCTGACTCACTTCCACTAAGTCTAGAATCGGAACTGGGTCCAGCTTATGTCTGCCAATGAGCCCAACTAAGTACTCGATGTAATGCAGCCTACGTACACACAGAAACAAGTGTCAAAATTTATGGAAATCGGTTGGAAACTGCGCGCTTTTCAAATGGCCGTTTGCGTTTGAAAGGGTGCAGTTTTCATCTAATACCTGCTTTAACCGAATCCGGTACATTTCTCTAGGCGTTCCAAAAGCGTTAGGCGGTAATTTTTTCGACGCTCTTCTTACTACCGTTTCCAAATCGTCTGCGGTTAGCAGTTCGATCGTTTCGATTTTGTGTTTTTGAATTAGAAGACACAAGTATTCGAGGTAATGATTCCTAAAATGGATTTGTTTTCTAACACTCTGCTGCTCGTTAATTGTTTACGATGGACGCCAATTTTGGACCACCCAGTCAATTTAATGCGTTTTTGGGTTAATATAATTACCTGCACAGACCTGCTTGGCTGTTTAAGGCGTCGCTATTACAAATCGAATCCACAAACCCATTAGGAGTCTCTTTCTGAAGGGGTATGGGGCACTTGCAAGGTGCTGATGCATTTTCTTCCGAATTGGTTCTCGAATTAATTTCAACTTTGTTGTCCTGGAAAAAATTACTCCTGTATACAACCTACCCGTTTTATTATGTAAAATTCATTAGGTAATACTAATTTTATCGCCTACCTTGAGAAGTTTTTCGAGTTGCTGAGGCTCCTTATCCCTCAGATAGAACAGGCAGTTACGCGGATGGTGCGCGTGGAGGCCCAATTTAGCGCAATACTGGCTGATAGTACATTTCGCGCCCATCATGAAAGGCTTGCCGCAGCCGTAGCAGAATTCGTGCTTGCACTGGGTGCAAGTGAAGTGCATGCAACCGCCTTTGGACAAGGAGTATTTAAACTTGCACTTCGGACAGTCGATTCCGTTCTCGGCTAGGTGCTTGGTGACTCCTGAAGCCTGGTTGTCGGGATCGTTGGCATCCTTCCATTCTGCGAATTTTTCGCAGGTAATGCCTTCGTGTTGTTTCTCCCACTGCAACAACAACGCAAAATCAACCACTTTTATAACACATACGTTCCAACCAACACATACCGGTCTTCTACAAGCTGCACAAGTCACCGATTTGCAGTCGGGGCATATTAAACGTTTTTGTCGAGGATGAGCAATGAATCCGGACGAACACTAAAACACGCAGATTAATACGATTACTTTAAAGCCAATAATTAATGTCCTACTTGAATGCACCATTTGAAATGAGGGTCCTGCATCAGCGTCCTGTCTCTCAATTTCCTTTGGAATAACTCGTGCACCGGCTCGTCCAGTATCCCTTTAAGCAAAATATCCAAATTCCCGAAGTATTCGGTGACATCGTCCTCGTTGGCGTCCGAGCTGGTGAGATCCGGTTGCTTGCAAAACGGGCAATTACAGTCCATAATACTTCTGTCGGTAATTTGCACGGTGAAATAATTTTTCGCGCAATCGTGGCAACACCTGTGGGTGCATCTCAACATTGATACTATCTGAAAGCATATGGAAGTTTAGTTGATTAATGTAAATGTATGTTGTTATTTAGACCTCTTTCATTGGAAACTTCCCGGCGCACAATTCGCAGTCTTGTTGTAGAAAAGCAATCGCCGCGTCTAATGTGTTGCAGTCTTTAACAGCCTCCAGAGCCTCTCCCGTGGAAAAATTCATTGTTATCAGACTTGCTGCTAATTCGGCCTGTTCGTAGGTTTCCACTTGCCCCTCGGCCAGAAATCGCCTGGCTTGTCTCTAAGGAAAAACATCATCACCTAAACATACGAGTTAGAACCACTGGAAGGATTTAAATGGAAATGTTCTCGATCGAGATATTTGGATGGTGTAGGTGTTCTTAATTGTTTACCTGCATTTTATCCAAATCACTTGTAGGTTTTTTATTCTCTTCATCAGAATGCTCTTCGCTTTCTAGCTCGGATTCTTCCACGGCGATTTCGTCTTCCGATTCTAGATATTCCTCGGATTCACAGGTTTCGTCAATGCTGTAACTGTTCTCTCTAGTTTTGCTTCTCTCGTGTTGCTGGTCGTCTTGGTTTAAGTTGTAATTGAGCTTCTCGATGTCGGTGTTAATTTGTTCAATATCATCGTAGTCCTCGCTTTCGCTTTCCACGATTTGTTCAAAGTGGTACCTATTATCATCAAAACTGTCGTCGTCTTCCAGCAGCTCGTCAATGTTGCTATCAGATACCGACGATTCGCTGTCGTTGTCCAGCGATTTGGTGTAAGAGAGCTGCTTGGAGCTCGTGGTGGAATCGAACGAATTCCTGTTGGTTGTGAGCATTTTCACCTTGCTTTCTGGTTTGGGGGCAGTTGGGCTATCGGTTTTGGAATCTGTGGTGGGTTCCGGTAACATGTTTAAGTATTCCTGGACTTTGTGCGTGTATACTTTGTTGGTGTCGAAAGTGAAGATTCTGCTGTCTTTTACTTCCGTTGGTAGGGTTTTGGTTTGCTTGAGAGAGGTGCTCCGGATTGGGATTCTGCTGGGACTTGGGGCTGGCGATGTTTGAGGGATTGGGGTGTTTGTTAGTGATATGGAACGGCGCTTTAATAACGGAATTCGAGATGGTTTTTTGGTAGGTGGTTCGTGAGGTTTTGTTTCAGTTTTTGAAGAGTTTAAGTCGAGTTTCGGTGGTGGAATTTTCAATTCCTCTTGATTATCTTGTTTAGAGTTTAAAGTTTTCGGTTTAGAATTCTTGCGATTGTTAACTGAGGGCATATCAGTGGTAGACGATGGTGAGTCAGATTCAGTTAAATTCGAATCAGGTTTATTATCTTTGTTAGTGTTGTTGATCTGTTTCAGCGTGCTGCTCCTGGTCAATGGTCTGTTTCTTCTTTTAACGTTCTTTTTTCTTTTTATTTTAAATGAATTTCGTTTCGGCGTGAAAGTGGTAGGTTGAATTTTTTTATCAAAATTTTCAACTATATGGTCCGATTTATTCTGATTTTCTACCGAAACTTCTTGAGTTCCGGACTCATCAAATATTTCATTATAATTTTTTTGCTTTTCACCACCGGTATTAGTTACATTCCTATTTTCTTCTATGGTTATTTCAATATTATTTACTTCTTCCGTTGGTACAGCTTTACTTTCCGTTTCTTCAACTCCATGAGGTTCTGGCAATATTGAATTATTTTCACTTTTTTTATGGGCGATGTCAACTGCTTCCATTACATTTGTTTGATTCTCATTTGAAATTGCAGTCTCTTCTTCTTTAGTTATTTGTGAGTTAATATTAAAATTACTAATTTCAATTACATTTTCATTGGAATTTCCATTAGTCGAATCAAGAGTTGTATTCGGCTCTTCAGTTTCCACATTTTTCAATCCATCTTCAATTACTGGAGATTCATTTGAACTAATTTTAACATCTTTTATTGAACCTTCATCAATGTTATTTTTATTCTCTTTAAAATGTCCATTATCAGCTTCGTTTTTTGAAATAATCTCATTATTTTGATTATTCAAATCTTGTTGGTTACTTTCATGGATTAGTCTATCACTATCAACATTATTTACTCCATCTCCAATGGAATCACTAATTTTTATTGGATCCTGATTAACATTTAAATCTTGCATTTCCGCTATTTCAGATGGTAAAGAATGATTTACTTCTTCACGCTTTTCTTCGACATTTTTAGAACTTGTTGGTTGATTCGAGTTTAACTCTATTTTTTTACCTTCTTCGACAGTTTCAATTGGAATAGAATTACTAGCATTTAGAGTTGTTAAATCGAGAATATTAACATCAGGATTTATGTCTAAGGCGTCTAAAAATTCGTGATTCTGCATCTCATCATTGCTTTCGGTGTCTGAAGTGGAAGGAGATTGATCTGGTGCTTGGGGCGAGTACTTCCCATCGTTAACGCGGATTACTGTGCTACTTTTCTCGACATGCACTGTTTTTTTAGGTTCCTCCACTTCTTCGATGTTCTTCACATTATATTTAGGCTCTAGTAAGTCAATTACATCATTTTTTGGTGAATTACCAATTATGCTATTAGGTTGATTGTCTAACCGTTTGCTCAAATTTTTTATGTCTTCTAAGCTCTTCAAAATTTCGTTTTCGATGTTATCCAAAACACTGTTATCATTTTTAGCCGCTCCATTCTCACGATCATCCAGCGAGATAATTCGAGGGGAGCTAATATCACTAATAGGGGTACTATTACTTACCGCTTTGGATTCCGAATTTTCGGTTTTTTGACTAGAAACACTATCTGCGAATTGAGATAATATAATTATTTTAAATTAGTGCTTATTAACAACGCTCACCTTCGCCCCCTACAGCTTTTAAGTCCACCCCCTCGTTACCTGCCTCGTTCTCATTGCCCACCGGCGGGCCCCATATCCTCATCAAGAACGGCTTCAGTTGCATTTTGCTCAGTTCGTTGTAAGCCGCCTCCAGGTCACCGTGATTAGCCGTTAGCGCTGTCACGATGTCCTCCCTGTTGTAGTCACCTCGTGAGGCCAAATCGGCGTACTGTGGAAATTGTTAAGTACAAAAAACTAATGAAATTGTTTATTGAAGTATTCACTAACCTTTCTCTGTCGTTGTTCGACGCATTCCTCTACTGCAGGCCAAAGATTCCCTTTATGCTTTCTGAGGGCTTCTCTGGCCTCTATTTCCGAGACGGTGCCGACGATGTTAATCGGCCCCTCTCGGCCCATTTGAGTGGCCAGAGTTTGAACACTGGAAATTGTAGTTTCCCAATGCTCCTTTAGCCACTGTACGGGATTTTTATCTTTGCAATGCAGCAGAGCCGCCTGCAATTCGTCTGCGGTATATTTGAATTGCTCGGCTTCCTGTAATATTTATTCAATTGAAATTGTAACGAGAGCGATTGGAAGTGAGAACGTACCCTCATGAGTTTCACCAGTTCCATTCCTGAGGCTTTGAAGTTATCGTGGCCGTTTTCGTTTGGCCTCACCAGGTCTCTGTCTGGTGGCAGGAGGTGACTTTGACTGAAGTCGTCCATCTGGAAAAATTGTTTTTGATTCAAAAAATGTTAATAAAACAAAGTAGATGAAGCAGAAGCGTATTCGAATTATTCGTGTGTTTGCATGCATTGCGCGGGAAAGTTCTCATAAATTCAAAGCCTTTGTATCGAAAGTGGATTAATGGGACTCTCACAGCGAAACGGTGGTAAAAAGTACAACAGTTAAAACCAAAGTAAAAGCGAGATAAACACCCTATAATATCCGAGCTCGACTTGGCTCGGCCTTCTGAACAATTCCGGCCTTCTCAAATCCACAATGCTGTGTGATAATCTCACATCGGAATGGTGAGGTCGCTGCTTGTTCGTGTAGCGGTATCTATCGAAAGACGAATCGTCGTCGTAAGGAATCGGGCTTGGTTCTCTACTACCTGGTAAACTCTAAAAAAATGGACACTATTTAAAAAAAGAAACGCTGCAGTTGCGGAAAAATACCCAGCATAAAAAATGCGTGTTAAATGAAAGCCATTTAAAACGGTGCAGGTGCTACCCACCTGCGAATCAGATGTACAAGACATTCTGCTGGAAGATCGGTGCACTGAAGACCAATCTGAGTAAGCTTGCGAAGCAGGAGAATGCAAAGACTGAGAACGTTTTAAATGTTGCCGTCTAGCCGAGCTGGATAACCTTCCTGCGTGCTTCTTGGAATTGTTAATCTCCAAAGGGAGTTCCTCGTAGGTCTGAAAAACAATTATCGTAGAGATATAAAGGTGTTAATGCAAGTATGTGTTCACCTGAGTAGACATATTCTGGGGAGGCGGAGACGTTCCTGTAGAAGTAGAAACTACAGTTTTCTGACGTTGATTATCTTGAGGCGGGCACTGAATCACTTTAGTTTTTTGCACTGCACTAGAATCACTCAAAGGAGTAACTCCTACACATTTTGTGTCCGATGAGACGCTAACGGTTTGCGTTCCGTCGTTAGTTTTTGGTTGCGACAGGAGCTCGGCTTCTTCTCCTGCAACATCAGGAAAGCATTAACAAACTAACACAACACAGTAACACGGTTTTTAGTAAAACACACACTGAAAAACTACATAATGCACGCATCGAGGAGGAGGATTTTGTATCGGATTACTTTGTGGCTTTCTGAAAGGACGTGAACTTTGTTCCGGGCCAAAACGTAATCTTTCTACTTGTCCTACCTTTCTTGACGTCGGGCTGCGTCTTCAATTTCCCCAACTTATTCAAAACGGACTCCGTTTCGCTCAAATCCTTGCTGAAGTCATCGCTGGACACGTTCAGCATTTGATCCAACTTCTTTTTCTGCTGCTTTATTTCATTGGTTTTGACCGCCCTAGCGGAAGTCGTTGGAGTTTTGCAGCAAACTTGACACACTCGCGTACCCGCTTCGTTAACGAACGTACAATGCTCGCACTCCCACTGCTCCTGCGACGTCTTCACCTCAGTGTTTACGTTATCGTATTCCGAACCGTTTTCTTCTTGTACCGCGTCCACCTTCAGGTGGTTGCTGTTTAAAGAGTCCTCGTCGTCGGACTCGCTCGAAGGGGTTTGCACGCTTTGCTTACTCCTGGGCACCGAGTCTCTTCTGTCTACGCTGCGCCTCGGCAGCTCCCTGCTCATCGAGTTCACTTCTCTCACTGGTCTTTCCTTTGAGTATCTACCTCTAGATGATTTCCGCTCGTTTCTATCTAAATAGCTGAAATTAGATCGGCGTTCGTCTAAATCATCGTCTTCGTCGTCGGTGTCTTCAATTTCCTTGTATTTTTTGCGGCTCTTGCGGCTCAACGTTGACTTCCTGGATTTGATGCTCTGAGTTGGAGATGGCGGTCTGGAATGACCGCAGGGTATACCGGGATGCACGTTAGGCATAGGGTAAGGGTACATAGGGGTAGTTGGAGGTCCGTGCCACGGGCCCACCCATCCGGGGTTCACCATGTAGCCAGGCGGCACGTTCAAACTTAAATTGCTGCCGTGGTGTTGCTGGTCGTAGCTGAATTGGTTCATCCATGGGCCCGGGTAACACGGGTTCGGATAGTTCAGATTAGCCATAGATTGGGCCTGGAAGAGCATCACGTAAGTAGTCGGTTCGTTGCTAGTTTAGTAAACACTCACTTGTTGTATGGGCACGAATCCGTGATGATTGTGATGATTCATCATTGGATTGTTCAAATCGAACACCGATGAACTGTGTGACGGTAATCTTTCGGAAGTCGGGCACGAGAAATTGCTCATTTTTCTTGGCAATCTTCTGCTCATATCGCTCGCTCCGGATATACTGCCGGAACGAGCTCTTTCATTTTGGCGGTCGATCTCCCAGTCCGGGTAGCCGCTGTCTCTAGAATTCTTCATGAAAAATATTTCATTAGCAAGTGGTTTGGTGTGGACATAGACTAGTTATTCCAACCTGATCAAAATCTGATATGTTTGAAGGTGCGCCTCTCATTGCTAATTGGTGTTGCCTGTATCTTTGCTGCAAAGATGGACTAGGGCTAGGTACAAGGCCTCTTTCTGGCTCGCTCGATGTTGGTGAGGTCACATTCGATTGCATTGCTTAACAAAATTAAAATTAGATGTGTTTAGTACATTCTTATTTGTACAAGAGTGCTTACAATTGGGCGTTGGTGGTAAAGGTCTGTTTCCTAGGACTCCACGCTTCAAATTCGATAATTTGTGCCTCAATGAAAACCCATTGTCCTGTCTCGGTAATGTAGAAGATCTACTGACCTGAAAAATTGTCTATATTATCGCTTCAGATTTAGTTAAATTATAGCTGGAAACAATACCAAAACTAAAAGATAACAATGAAAAAGATGACTATGAATCAAGAAATTCAAATTTTTGCTCTAACTTCTTTATAGTCATCCAATACTACAAAATGTATCTTACCTGATCATCAATTAATCGTTTTTGATAGGTCACTGTTTTCCAATTGCTTACAAAATTTATGTCAAGAAAAGGCTTTGAATTTAGATGAGGCGAGATTCTACATGTTAGGGGCGCTATTACTGCTATTGATTATACCTGAGCATTCCTTCCAGGCACCGGACTTGGGCAGGGAGAGGGTCCGACTGATCCAGCTCTTCTGTGTCGACGAGGCGGTGGTACGGGGGCTAGCATGGATTCTCCTTTGGGCGGAAGTGGCGGGCGAATTGTCTGTTCCAAGCGCTAAAAAATAATTATATTTTGCTAAATTGTATCAGCACCAGATCGTTTTTTTAATACAATTAGTATACACTTACCCTTCTGATATGCGTTTGTCGTTTCGGGTGCCTGTGGTACATGTCGTCACATGATAAGCAAAATATTTGTTTGCAATCTTCGCACCTTACATTAGGCATAGAAGATCCACATAATTGACAGTGCTGTTCATTCTTCTTACCTAGAACGCATTAAATTAATACTGGATATCTCAATATTAAGTATAGTGATAATACGTCCATTAAAATTGACTAGCAAAGAAGGTATTTTTAAGGGCTGTAGATCATATAAGCACTGTAAAATAAAATAATGAACTCTTACCGTTAGGTGTGTTATTTTTATTTGGCAATTGAGGAGTGTTGCAGTATTGTCCAAATTCTATCACTTCGTATTCAGGTTCTTCTATGGGTGGTTTTTTTGTTGATCCAACTTTGGATGGTCCATTGTCTTCTTTAGGAACTGGTGGCGGTGGATAACCACCTGTTTTATTCTAATAATAAAAATAAATATAATTGATGACATCTATACGGAATACTAATTTTATTTCTATTGTGTTATTTATAAGTTTAGTTGTAGTTGATGATGTGTGTTTATAATTATAAATTAACTCCGGAGATTCGTTTATTTGTATATGCCTAAGTAATATAATGATTTAGGAAAGTATGTGAGGCAGTTCAACAGTTGAGAAATATAGAAAAAAAGCTTCTTTTCCATATAAAGGGTTTAAAAAAAGTTCCAGAAAATAAATTTTCACTTTCGTACGTCCAAAATCTTTCAAATTGCTGCGAGAAATCATTTTTATGATTTTAACTTTGCCACTCTGTATCTTTTTATTTTCAATATTTTACTAAAGCAAGTTGGGTCAGGCCGTAATATTTTGAGGTCGAGAATCTATCATTTCAGTTTGGGCCATTACTTACGGACCACCCTGTATATATGTATTAGCATCTCTATGGAAGAACAGAGGTATAAAAAATATCAGAATTAATCACACAAAAATGCAATAAACAGTGATAAAAAAACATATTACAGAATAAAAAAATATAGTTAAGATAAAGTCTACACATCATGAATATCCATTTATAAGTCCATTAATAAAAATAAGGAAAATCAAAATGAAAACTAAAATTAAAGTGATGTATTTCTAAAATTCGCGGGTCTAAAAATATTTCCGCTTGGTGATCAGACATGTGTCTTGCCGAACGAACGTACAAAATAACCACTTTTTGTCTGAAACAAACTAAAAATACCCGAACATCTCGTCCGCGGTTCATTCGCGGTTAAATTTCAAAAGCGACCGCTAGTGACATTTCAGTCTTATCGTTTTTCGTTGGTAGCACTGGGAATGTTTTGACTTTTTTTCTGTTTTGATGGTGAAGTGTTTAATATGGCGAATAGGTTGACTAAGCTTTGACAGTTTATTTTAACGTGAAAAAAAATATTATTTTATATGTATTCCAATGACGATGTACACTTTACCAAATTTTTGTCGTGTATGCCTGAAATACGACAAAAATCTAATAGACTTGGCTCACATCGAGAACGAACCGAACGAAACTCTCATGAGCAAACTGCAACAATGTGTATCTGAAGTGGTATGTTTTTTTTTCAAATAATTTAATACCAAAATAACCGCAACGCTTTCTTCCTCGCAGGAATGGACGGTGTTTAAACCATTGTTATGCCACCCTTGCATCAAGAGACTGAACATAGCTCACAGTTTTAAAAAGCAATGTATACATTCAGCGGGCGTTTTGAAAAATTACGTGGAACTCGTGAAGGAATCTCAAAAGAAAACCGAATCTCAGAACACCATCAAAGCCGAAAACGTGCTGGCATCAACGGGTGGCACGTACATGCTGTTACCCAACCAAAAGTACGTTAAAATCCTAGTCGGCGGGCAAAACCAAGGAGCCAACACATTCCAGAACGTTTTTTTAAACCTAATACCGGCCAGTACGCTAAATCCCATCATCACGACCGCTTCGAACACCACCAAAACCAAGGACAACAATCAGAACGTCTTTCTAAACATCAACAACGCCATACAGAAAATCGTCCCCGTCTCGCAATCGCCCGCGGAAGTATTAAAAAAGAGCCCCGAGCTTCAAAAGCCGAGCGTCAACGTCAATCAACTTCTAACGGAGAGCAAGAGCGAAGAACTGAGCGTAGAAATAGATCCAACCGTATTCGGTTTAGAGGAAGGCGACAACGACAGCACCGAGGAGGAGTTAAATGACTATGATGAAGTGATTTCACAGGCCAAAATTAATCTCAAAGATATTAAAGCTGCTAACGGCGAAAAACTGCAGAATGGCAAAGAAGACCAAAAATATTATGTTCCTATACTTCCTAAGACTCAAGATGATTTCTTTTCTTCAGGTTGGTATTAGTTTTGCGTTAAAATTTAGTTTAAATGGGACATATCCAAAGTGGGTTGGGCGAGTGCAAATTGGTTTGCAATATGGTCAATTCTATGAGTTGAACAAAGAAATATTGTTAAAATAACAGTGGTTAGAGTGAGAAAATTGCAATTCCACAACATCACTCTTTCTTTTTCCTTTCTATGATACTGATGGAAGTGTCTTTGTTGCACCCATACACCATATTGAGTAAAAATTTGCACTTATGTGTATGTACAATTGTTAGTACTCTGAGAATACATGGTGTTTTATGTGCAAAATTTGGAATATTCTCTACAAAAAACCATTATTATAAAAGCAATTTCACACTATATTGTAACAATAAATAGCCACAATATTGCATATTTTTATCAATTTATCAATATTTAGCAAAGTCGTGCAATATGCTCTACAGATATCGTCCGATAAAATATTGTGACCAGTAGAAACCCATGTAAATTGTCGCTGGTTCTTACCAGATTCTGCATGATTGCTCTAACTTTTTCAGTATTTTTCAGTAATGTGAAAATGGTTAACAATATATCTCATAGAATAATTTTTATTGTAGCGGTGAAAACGCTCTAAGATTCTTATACAAAGGGAACTATTCAAAAAATAACCTTTTTTGACTATCCAAAAAATAATTTTACAATTTTAATGAACTTGACTTAATCATTTCCATGGTTCATTTCAGCACATATCTTGTTACAATCTGACCATTCTCTTACGCTCAATTTGTTAATAAAAACATAAATTAGAGGTCATATACATTGATCGATAAAAATAATAATGTGCGATAGAATAAATTGCGTTTTTTTTTTAAAGTTACTCTCGTTGTTACTTATATAAACATTTTAAGTATAGCAATATTATCATCCTTGTTAATTTAACCATTCAGATTAGCATTTATCGTTTTACATAAATTTATCCTCAAAAATATTGTATATCTATCGCATGACTGAATTTTCTGATTTTGCAGGTCAACACTTCTTGTTCAGCCAAACGGAAAATTCCGGGGCGTTCGTATGCGAGCAATGCCAAAAATCGTTCGCAACCAAGAAATTACTTAAGGCCCACATCAACCAGTTCCACTTGGGCAAGTTGCCGTTTAAGTGTGAATATTGTTACTTAGAATTCGCCACTCGAAACGAATACGAGCTGTGCTTGAAGACCCACAGGAGCGAGGCCGAAACATTGGACAAGTCTCTTACGTTGCGGGACTTTTCCACTAACGCCTCGTCTCTGAACGAGCAGCTCACCGAGTTAGAGGCCAACATAGAGCCCACGGAGAACGGGGAATATATTTGTGATGTTTGTAAAAGGCCTTTCAGCAGTTCGACGGGTCTGCTGAGGCATAAGGTGCGTAAACACAACCAAAAAAATAAGAAAAAATACTTTATTAAAGGCATGAAGAATGCAAAATGTGATATTTGTAACAGAGAATTTTCTACGCAATCGTATATGCAATTACACAAAAAGTTGCACATGAGAGACGACTTTGGCTATAAATACAAAGTTTTCGGTAAGAGTAAATATAATGTAGTAACAGAAGAGAAGAAGAGCGAAGATGTTAATACGAATCTTCAGGAAACTTTCAATACGGACGATTCGAATGTAGAAAACTTAGATGTAACTCCTGATATTTTTATGGATAAGTCTGATGATGAAAGTAACGACGAAGATAGGGAGGATAGTATTGAAGATTCGGGCGAAATGAAACCCGAAAAAATGGAGGTGCAAGAAGAGAATGCTTCAGACAATGAAACTGAAGATGAGGAATTAAATGAAAACAATACAGAATCGGAAACAATAAATGAGAATAATTGTGATGTTAAAGAAGTGAATGATAATTAGGTAGGTGAGATGATTTTCATTTTTGCAATATTTTTCATAAAGATACGCCTGTGTTTTGTTACATGTGAAGCAAATTTTATGATTATGTACAGTAAGTCCATAGAGCGAGCATCAATGAGGAAAAACTTTTTATTTTTGTTTTCCCAAAAATATTTCTTCCCTTGATAAAAATCCTGCTAGTGCCAAACTTCTAAAAATAATCATATCTTCAGTAGATTTTTTTATTATTAAACATTGAAAATAATCCTACAAAGCTAAAAATGCATTTAGTAATTGCTTATAAGTACACTTTTTGAGAAATCAAATGTAAAAAATACTTCTCTTTGATTCTAAAACTGAAGACATATTGTATATAGTAAAAGGTCAACTTTGATTTTTATTGTTTTTTAATATTTTCAATATTATTAATAAATATTTTACGTTTTATAAGCAATATAAGACACTGTTTTTATAAAGCAATAGGCACATGTACGTGCATTTTGATAAATTGTTTATTATGTACTCTTTTTATTTATGCAATGATCATAGGCAGGGCCTTTATTTTATATGTTTTTTGCTTCATTGCATATGGTTTGAATAATTTTTTTTGTATAATCACAACTTTTTTAAAATAGTGCAACTAAAAAAAAAACTTTGTTGCATTATTTTTAGTAATTTCTGATTGCCAACTCTACAATACATCAGCCTACGATATGATTTTACATTTAGTTTTTATATGATTGAAGATTCTACATGACGAATAATTTATTTTTAGTCATAATTATTCAATTAATATTAATTGCATTTGTTGATTATGGAATATAAACGATTTTCATCATTTATTTTACAAAATTTTATAACAGTTTTGATAAGATTTCGGCAGAAATTATTGCAGATAGCTGAGTATTTTCCGAGAGGCATTCAATTTAATGTTATTTAATATTTAAATGACATACATTTTATCTTCAGCCTTATATTTTGTTATCGAAAGAAATCAAGGTTGACTTAATTTAAATTTTTATGAAATACAGATTTGTGCAACCCAAGTTCCTTTACCAAACTAAGGGTAGTAACGATAATTTACGCTAATTATTTTGATTTTCCTGTATATTTTATTATTTCTAGTATCGAGTATATTTTTAACCATTTAATCTGTGATAAATAAATTACATTTTTCGCTAATTTTATTTGTTTCGACAATGTTTTAGTGATTAATACGAAATTTATATTAAATTGTTTACAATACAGGATTTATTTGCACGGATGTTTATAAAAAATGTTTTAAAACGTACAGTGGCGAAATTCTACGTTTAAAAATAACATAATTTTTTTATGTTTTTTATACTACCCTGTTTGGAAATAATCTATAATTACGAATTTGTGGAAATTGTAGAGAGAATATGTAGTGTATAGTATTGTTTTATAAACAAGTGCAATCATGTACACTGCTAAGGTATATGTTAAAATTTAATAGTATTGATATTCTCATTTTTACAACAGAGTGATAACATGCATAATTTGAATACCTACTTTCTGTTCTATCGAATAATTCTGTTAATACTTCGCTCTCAGTATGTAATTAACATTAAGTACTTCATATAGACTTTAAGTTTAAACACAGTATTTAGAATCTTGTGTATTTCGTTCTTTTATGTATTGCATTAGTGATATTTTCAAATTAAATGAGGCCATAAATAAGAAATAATGATATTAATAATAAATTCAACATTAAATGTTTGAATTTTAATTTGTTTGAAAACATCACTGATTCGGCTTTGATGCAATTTGATGAGAATTTCCAGAAACCAAATTATTAATGAGAAGAATAGATCATTCTAAACAAACGTTTATATATTTCCAAAGTTTGTTTTATTTACATAATGTAAGAACCTATCACATAGTGTTTTCTAGTTTATCATATGATTAGTTTAGTTTTATATACTTTAAGATTTTATATATACCTATCCTGATAAGTATAAGACATTTTTCTACACGTTAATTGTATATAATCTTTTTTGCTTTCTACTTACAAAATTGTATCATTTAGATATGTTTTGTTAAGTGCTTTATTCATGACTGACATGCCCAAATTTTAAATTTTGCACTTATAAAGTAAGTAATAAATTTTTCTTTTTATAACGAATTGACGTTTTAATTATTATACTTAATATTATTTTCTTACCACCCACTGAGGCATGTTCCTGGCCATTCGAAGACGGGTAGATGGATTCGATATGTTCATCGGTTTCCATTTATCGCTTTTATTCTGAAACAAATTTATAGTGTGCATTGTGAATTGAATTTAGAGACCAACTCATCATTTGTGCTTTGAATTGGTGCCGGTTTAGTATGGGGTCTACCGTACCGCATCTGGTCTACCCAAATTTATTTTTTACAAAGTTCAACAGCAAGATTTGGAAAAGTTATCCTTCAGTAAGCAAAAGAAAAAAAAATACTGGTATTGCATTATTTATAGAACAGCATGTGGATAATTCAATTTACTGAGAATTGGGGAAGTACCAGTATTTATTTCAACGTAAATATACCTATCTTCACTAAGCAAACGGAAAAGATTTTATTAGTGTTATAAATATTATGTATGGAATAACAGGTAAGTAATCGAGAATTTCGGAAGTATCAGAATTATACAAAGTTTTTTTATGTTTAGTACAAGAATCTCGGAAACTCTGGGAGAAAAAAGTTTAAATGGACAAACATTATTTGCAGTTTTGTGAGACGTGTTTACAACCAGTTTCAGTTTTGCAAAATATAAAACCTGTCAAAGTATTTAAATATACTTGGGCGACAAAATATGTAGGTAGATCGCTAATATATATGGTAGACCTTTGAATTTAATGTCTGATCTGAGGAATATGTTTACTCGAAAGTTTTCTTTTATAAAAGCTACTTTCAAAATTTTCCGGCGAATTCAGTTCGGTTCGGCGATCCGATTATTTATAATTACGCTAGTTTTATGGCGAGTCCTGTTAACGTAAGCATACACAATGTTTTTCAGCACTTACAGCTTAAAAGTGTGTCAAGCCCGAGCCAAGATATTTCAAGATAACCGGCGATTCGGGAAAATTGTGTTAGATATTTTTACATTTCCTCATTTTAAGCGCAATGTTCTGGTCATTTTTTGTTGTACAGAAATTTATTTTAATTTTGCAAGTATTTTTCCTTTGAATGAAGTGGTTATTCAGGAAAATTTAAAATTAAGGATTTTATACCACTGAATTAACAACCCACACAGCAAATTTACGACTCTAGGATATATCAGGGACGTCAATAATGAGACATAGTATATCTCTGAGATCTTCAGAAATATTTTTGAGATATAATCGGGATATCTTTGAGATATCTTTATGTCCGCCTTGTAAACATCTCAAAGACGTGTTATTGAGATATCTCAGAACCGTTTAAAAATATCTCAAAGATATCTCGCAGCTTATATACTTAGTGCATCTGAGATATTATTTTAAATATTATTGAGACATAACCAGAATACTAAGAAAGTACTTTATTTTTTCAAATCTTATTAAATTACATCATTCTGTTCTTGCTCGCTCTTGTTTTTCTCTTTCCCGGTCCTTCCTTAATGTTGCCAGTCTTAGCCAGTTCTTTATAACTTCCGATATTTCATAGTCTGAAGTTAGTTCTTTACCTTTTTGACTGCGAATTGAATCTGAAAAATAAAATTCAAGTATTAGAAAAACATTTTACAGTGAAATTGTGAATGAAAACTCGATGTAACGAAAATTGTATTCTATTATTTTTTTCTTAAACAACTTTTGTTTCACTTGAGTAACTACCTTTTATAATTTTGACCAGCTCTAATTCACAAAACATATTCTTCTTCTTTGCTCCAACCCAACTGTAACATGCCGCACAAGAATTTGTTAAGAAAGCTCGAAGAATATTTACAATTGAAGTTTTTGTATCCTTCCCCAACAGAAGACGACTTCGTTGAAACTAAAATGAATATATAAATCATTATAAAATCTTTAGATAAGTAATTTTTATACTTACAACATATTTTCGTAAATTATCATTAGTTTTTAACATGTTGTTGATACGTTCCATTTCTTCAATGGTGTTTACAGGGAACACACTTTCAAAAATTTCTCTGCACGGATCATCATTTGGTAAATCTTTTTCCCTTTCAACAACTCCTAGTTCGAGCGAATTCAACCTATCCAATATTTCCTGTTGCATCAGGGACACTGCCACTACTTTTCTCTGGACGTTTTGTAATAATTTCATGCAGTCCTCCTGGAAGGCTAAAAATTACACAAAAATTGATTTATGTAAATACTCTTATTTACAAATTTACTTACTTATTGTTAGTTGGGAGGGAACTTCCATTCGTGTATCTTTTGCAGGCGTACAATTAACTAAAATAATTGATCCATTTGAAATTAAGTTTTCTATTAAAACGTAGTTAAGAAAAGTACAGTACTCAAAAAGTACGAAAAGCACTCACCTGTTTTGTCAGTTGGAAACGTTGGATATGCAGTATCTTCATCTTCATCGTCTGATAAAGAATATCTTGTTTCGCGATGTTTTATTTGCCTTTTTTGTACAATTGTTGTATCCATTTCATCTTCGGAGCTGGATAATTTTTTTGTCGCCTTGTACTTTCTTTTTTTCTTTTCTTCTTCTGGATCTGTTGTACAAATGTCACTCTCATCTTCAGCTTCTTTCACTTTTTTTAATCCATACTCATAATTATCTGGAAATATATAACATTTTAGAATAAATATAGTCTAACATCTTTAGGGAAAGTAATCATTTTCTCACCTGTAGAATATAAAATTCTTAAAATTTGACATTTTTGCCAATCTATGCCAGGTTTTATTGAATTTTTAACGGCAGCGTTGTATTTAGCTGTAGTTTTAAAATTCGGCCAGAAAGCTTCATTGTCGCTGTTGATCCAAAGTCTTGGAATAAGTTGCAGGCCATCATCAAACTCAACTACGCAGTACTTCTTATTCATTTTGAACTCTAAGTGTTTAAAATGGAACAAAATTATTATTTTCTATTGTTGCCATAATTTAAAAAAATACTTACCTCACTATGGAGTAAGGGAATAACAACAAATGTATTAGCTTCAAAGGGCAATTTCATATATTTGCACCTAACTTCAGTTAACGGCCAAGTTTTGAGCGCGGATAAGTGTGAAACTACATAAATATCAAGTTTAGATGAATCACAGGGTTTGTGAAATAAATTTTCTTTCTTTACGAATTCTCTACCTATTAGTAACATAGACTGTGCTTCAAACGAATAGGCAATGTTTTCTAACACTACAATATTGCCATTTTTGCCCAAAAAACAATTATCAGAAACAGAAAAAGCTTTTAATATGAATTGATCATTTTGTATTGAATGATATTGAGGATTTGAACATCCTTCAATGAGGGGACCACGAGTATGCAATGTTTTATCAACCATGAAAAATTTTAGATTTTTGTTTTTTGGCAAAAGCTTCCATGTTTGTGTACCTAAGGCTTCTATTTCAGTAGTTCTAAAAAATAATTGTTGAAGTGGTCTTTCAGATTTTCTCAGTAATTTCTTTATCGATGACATATAGTTTTCAAATTTGAAAGCGCTGAAATTATCCAATACTCCAAATTGTTTTACATCTTCAGCAAGATGTAACAGGTTATGAACATTATGGGAAACATTGTATTTTTTGTAAATTTTTTCATATGTCGAAACAAAGATGTGCAGTAATTTATTAGCATATTCAATGGTTTCACATTCATTTTGAATACAAAGCATTCTAATTGCAACATGTAGTGTAAGAAAATTTTCATAAACTTTTCTTCTTAAAATGCCGGAAAAACAAATTGGCCCTATATAAAGCAGTAACATTCGAAACTCTGTTGCTTTAAATAATTTTAAGTAATCCAATGAACGGGGTCTTCTAACAAATTCTTTGGGTATATAATGCTTTAAGCTTGTAATTCTTTGTGATATAGATTTAATTTTAGAACTGGGTAATCTGACAGATAAATCACCCCCGGTCCATAGGAGCAGAAGTCTTTTAGTTATACCAAGACATAAAAGGTGCATATAATCCAGTGGAACTCCTTTTACTAAGTCAAAATTAGGAATTTGTTTTAAAATTGTTTCACGAATATGGTATTCTTCGTCACTTTGGGCTCTAAAGCTTTCATCTGTTCTTTTACCACATGTACTGCCAGGAAAACAAACTCGGTTATTTAAAAAATCACCATTTATCAAACATTTTGTGCAGCTTGAATAGCCAGAATGCCCTTTAACGCCTAATACAAAAGACTTTGCTGGTGCATCACATACTATACCTTTTAGAATAAAAGGAATTATTTTATTATTTATGCATAAACCATTATTTATTAAATCTGTACAATCTTCGACAAAATTTGATAAAAATTCATTGACATCTTGTGGTTTTTGAGGACCAAAATAAACACCTATTATAAAAACATTTGAAAACCCTGAAATATTTCCTAATATTGGCCATAAAGAATTGGTAGACGATTTACCAATAGGCAAACCGTCGATATTTATCAATAATTCAACTATTTCAATGTTTTCATTTATCATTATTTGTAAAATTCTTTTCAAGCCAAAATGAACATATTCTCCTGGACATACAGTTTTAAGCACACACGTTTTTGCTGTATGAAGTAGTGTTCTACTATCCAGTGGAAGGTTAGAAAAACAATTGTGATTATGTAAAATATTCAATAAACTATTAAGTGAAACATGAGAAATATTATGTGAGATTGCCCAGTTAGCTAAACTAGATCTTATATTTTCAGCTTCTAACCTGAAATCTGTAGTAATACTGGAGTTGGTCATCACAATATTATGATCACAATTTTCTGAAGGTTCTGAAGATTCACTTAGTGTTAATAAACTGGGCTTAGGAGGAGAAAAATGTGTCACTTCGATACTTTCTTGAGAATTACATTCATCATCACTTGATTCAATAAAATTATTAACAGGAACAGGTTTCTGTGTTTCAAAGTTATTAACTTCTTGAAAAGTGTTGGTTATTTGTTTTTCAGGCTTATTCTTATTAACTTCAATTAAATTTCTTTGGACAAGGCGCCGCAAATGCCTCTTACTTACTGTACTAACTGATTTAGATTTAGGCATGTTTAATTCATAAAGAAAGGAATAAATAATAAATATAAAATAAAGGAAATTAATAATCCAACTATTAAGTATTAAATTTAAAAGATGCTTACTCAAAAAAAACCGTGTAACCGAAAGACATTGCACATTGCAAACCAAAAAGTGAGGTTAGTTGATCGTTTTCGCTCTAATTCTTTATTTTAACGATTGTGACATTTTCGATTGTTAATCATTCGATTCGATAAGTGACAGAATTCGATTTTAGTACGTTTAAATTATAAAAAGAATGCCTAAAATCAACTTTACATTAGGATTTTTGTCATATTTGCTTTTATTATTTGTTCTAGAGAATACTCTGTTATTATACAAGTATTAATTATTTCGAATCTACATATTACCGATTTAATTCTTATAATCGATTAATCGATATAATTTTGGTACCGCGGAAAGCAGGGAAACAAAAACAAAATGCAGGCATCTGCATTTATGTCTTTTTCTAAACTGACCAATCAGAAAACTATTCGCAATTCGCAATTCGTAATTCGCAAGTATATGGAATGCCCTTTAAGCAATGATATATACAGCACCGTAAAGTGTTATAAGAACCAAGAACCAATCAGAACGTGCCACGTTGGCTGTGGGCTCGTGTACAATAGCTAAATAGTACAATAGCTTAGCAGATCATCCCAAAAAATTAAGAAAAAAAATATGTGAAAATATTACCATCAAGCAATTGATAAAGCTGTAACTATCTCAGATACATCTCAGACATATCACTATTCACCAATATATATGTTACCAAGCTTTCAATTTTTTTAAATGTCTCGGAGACATTTCAGAAATTTCTGAGATATTGTGATCAATATGTGATCTGATTGAGATGGTACTGAGAGATTTGATGCTGTGTGGGAAATGGATAGGTCATGGAAGCCAATTCATTTATCACAATGAAGAATAATGTTAATAGTGCCATAAAAAAATAAGTACCTATTAAGTTTATTATTTATTATTAATAATGCAATTTGACTAAAGTTCCAATTGTTAATTTGATGCGTTGATTCATGTTTTAAATTAATAAAAACCTTACTATACATACAAAAAGCAAAGAGGGGCAAAATATGATAGGAAATTTATTGATATAAATAATGAACAATCGATGCCGAACGATTAAAAATTAACAAAAATTATGTGGATTTTAAATAACCCAATGAAGTTCAATTACCAAGGCAGTAAGAAGTTTCTGATTTACTAAAAATAAAGAAAAAAACTCGCTTACGTTCATGGTGGGAAGATTTTGCAGGAAATACAGCAAATCTGATGCACAGAGAAACACAGATAGAAAACTAAACGGATGCCGTGCAGCCGGTGACTGCCCATCGTTCTAATATTAGGTAAGGCGCCTTGATAACTTGCCAAATTTTAGAAGTATAAATACAACATTACATTCTTGGATATTTTAATTCGGCACTATAGTGTCTGTCGCTTCCCAGGGAGTATTATCAGCTGAAGCGGATAATCGGGTTGATATGCAAAAGGGATGATAGTATGCAATTTTTGCCAGATTTAGCAGATATTTGAAATAAATAAAACTAAAACTCGGTGAATCCCACCTGGAACTTATTATGAATTAGGATCAACAGTAAAACATCCTTTACAATAATTACAATTATAAATTGCAGAAATTAATCATATAATATTTGAAAACAACAAATACAAATATTAAAATTGAACAAATTTTGATCAATCGAAATCATAAAAAATAACGTCTAGTAATGATTACTACATAAGTAAGAGACCACACTGTATAAATAGAAGACGATTACGATGACAAGAAGTGTCATTCGTGACAGTGACAGTGACGTTTAGTTAAATTATTAGAGCCAGAAATCATCAATTTTGAGTGATTTTGTTAATTATATTTGATTGTTTCTTGTTTTAATTAGTATTGTTAAAGTGCAAAATGTTGAAAGATAAAACATCTTTTTGGTAAGTATATTTTTCATGTGTTATTTAAAAAAATCATTTGGCACGACGTTGTATGGAAGTATTTGTACTTGTGGGCTTCAAAAAAAACTATTTTTTAATTTATAAATTTGAAAATACATTATAAATTTAACTTTACTTTTAACATCAACAATATATTGATTTTTACGTTTAATTTTCCAATTATTTGGCATTAATTTAAGTAAGGTTATGTTAACAAGTGGCTAGCCTAATAAGGAATTTGTAAACAAAACGTTCTTCCCATTTTTCAAATGCAAAATTTTCTCAATAATGTCAATATTAATAGTATGAATCAAAGAGCTATTGATAAGATCAGGAATTCTATTCATATTTTAAAATTACAACGCAGTAGCTTAAAAACACTATTTTGCTTATACATGTTTCTAAAAATAAAATGTATACGAAGCTAGCACAATATTAAAGTTATTTTTGAATAAGTATGTCATTTTATGCAATATTCGTCCTAATTAAAAACCCCAACAAGTCTTGCTCTATAATTGTAATTACAGCTATATGTATACAATGTTAGTTATAAGAATATGTTCGAAGAATGCATAAACACATTTCCTGTAATTATTGTGTAATATTATTGTCATGTATGTTGCATACACTTTAAATTGTTCTTAAATTAACTCGATTGTATAGGTACTTACCAGAGTTTTTCTTTAGATAAAATACTATAAATATTACTTACTCATAATTTTATTATGACCAATATTACATATCTCACTTAAAATAAAAATGAATTCATTGTCATGCATTTATGAGGACAACAATACATTTTGTGTTTGAATATAAATTTTATTGAATAAATTTCAATATTTTGATATTTCTTATATTTCAAATAAAGTTTAAATCTGTTTTCAAAAATTAATTACAGGCTTTAAATTTAACTGCTAAAATGCTGGTTCAAATATTTCCTTCTTCATTCATTTATTTACAACTTTTTAACTATGTACTAAGTTCACGTCTATCATCTCTTTAATTAAATGCCTGAATAAGTGCCTATTAAAATTTTTGCTTCTTACAGATTTTCTAGTGAATAAGTGAAGTGTCAAGTGCCTGATCATGTCGAATGCAAATAAAAAACCAATAGATACTGATTCTTCGCTATCAGGTGCAGCGTCTTTAAGCGCGAGCATTTCATCATTGGACAATGTATCAATTGCTAGCTCGAAATTATCAAAGCCTTCTGGCATAAGGCCACCGAGTAAGATTGGAAGACTGTGTGGAAACGTCCATAAACCATCTGTGCCTACAACTCCCCCTAAAGGTGAGTTTTTTAATGAAATTTTACACGTTTGCGTTCAAAATTATATAATATATATTTAATTTGTAACTCTAACTACTTATAGGTAATTGTTTCAAGATTTTTTTAGTTATGTTATTGAATGTTTTAAAATTTAGATTTAGGGCATTATTCAATTTTTTTGTTTTATATTTCAAAATGTTAACATTTTCTTTCAGAGATTATTATTTATTGTTTTGTGATATTGTTAAAAGTATCAAATCCATTCTGGTGTATTCAGGTAAGTGATTCTTGCATAATTCAAATATTTAATACAAAAGGTATGTGAATTTTTGGATCATATAACATTTGAATTTATTAAAAATTTTAAAATAGTACTATGACAGATTCCTTGTTACTGGTTTTTGCATGTTTTATTATTTAAAACATTCACTTTGCATAATTTGAGATTTTATTAATATGCTTTAAATAAGTTAATAGCATAAATAATTCATAACTGGCGTCAAAATACACATTTACCAAAATATATATTCGACTGAATATTTCTCTTTAATTATCCAATTAATTATAAAAACCTGTACTTTGTTGTGAACAATTACGCGCTAATTTTTTATAAGACTTTCGACTTCGTAACTGAATTATTTTCGTGATAAAATTAATAAATAAAATGAATTAGAGGTTTTATTAAACGTGGGTGTCGCTTTGAAGCGTAGGAAATAGGAACTGATGTTGACGATTACATGGCATGTTGACGAATTAAAATCACACATATCGCGTTGAAAGTAATTTGAACATTTCAGAATCTTCACTGAATGTTATAATTGCCATTAAAAATTTGTTTAATCGATTTAAACCTAATTATATGGTACTTGTTACTCATCATTGCAAAGGGAAATTAATTAATTAGAGATAACTAATTCGTTTTTACAAAAAGTATATTCTAGTTGCACCTGATTGCACAAGTGTACATAAGAAATGAATCAATCAATAAAAATAAATCTAGTCTGATGAGCGATGAGCAAAGAACAAAAAGAAGAACATAAAATCCCATATCAATATTTTATAGATGAACATTCATTAGCTAAAATAGGTTCAATTGATGGATCATACAATTAGTGGAATGCTAGTATATCCGCATTTACTATGAATATTATTTGCCAACTGGAATTTTGAAACTCATTTCACAAGCAGGAATATGTTATGTGGGTGTCTGTGTTGTTTAAATGAACCATTTAACTTACAGGTCGGTCATTGCGAATGGTCACATTGACCCCGGTTATTTTTATCATAGTAATAAGGAAAATTTTTAACTTCCTTGCTAGCTTATTTCCCCGATTTCCTGAAAAGCTCTATTAACATCACGATAACGTAATAAATACGATGTGAAAATGCAAATATTTTATTGAATTTACAAATTGTATAAATGGCGTGAAAGGGATGAAATAACTTGCTAATCTAGCTATTTTCATTCAAAAAATTACATATGAGTTAACGTGTTGATCTGAGAAAATGTGTTTTGGGTTTGTCAAGGATCTTTATCTCGGCTGGCATTCATGGAAATGTCCGTTTTTATTCACGACCGGCTCTTCCGTGGGCAGCCACCAATCATTATTATGCCGAAGATTTTTTCTCAAACTGCCGGTGCGGCAACGTTGCCAGTCTAGTATTAATTTCGAATTTTGATTAGCAAAATAAATCTTCTCCTATTACTGTTTTATGATTCACAAGCAGGTGCGAAAACCCCCGATTATTAGCGGTTTACGTATAAGCGTTGGTTATTTTGTACATTAAGGAGCTTTTGGTTTAATGTTTGTATAATCAATAATTTGAATGATTGTGTTGGTTTTGTTAATTATCAATATTTTTTTATATTAAAGAATAAATTTGTTTTTACAGACAACATCTCTGTCTAGTTTATTATTAGAATATTGATATTAACAATAGAATCTCTATGATAGTATACATAATGGAAAATACATAAGGATTTTACTGATAACAGCCATATTTTGGGAAAATCAAACTTATTCTGTTACATAATCTGCTATCTACCTAAAACCACTGGTTGATTTATTGATTTACTTAAAGTACCATTCTCTTCATCTCTTTGATGAATCATTTTCTTCCTTAGGCCATTTTGTTTTGGTATATTTATAGCATTTTCAATACTTCTTAAAACAAGAAACGCCGTTAAATCTTCAGACCGCTGTTAATAATACACCTGCGTTTGTTAAATTCTATTATTTACAATATCGAAATTGTTAATAATATCGGCAACACACCGACCTATTCCCCCGGCAGTACCCACTGTCCGTGTTGGATTATGTTATACCATATTCTTTAATCACTGCTGTTTTGTTTTGCGCTATTCTCGCATCTCACTGGGCCACGGTTCGTTCTGTTGTTCCAGCCTGACGTAACTTATTGTTGTTGTTATTATTGTAGTTGTGCACTCCGTGGCCTTCTTCAAACGCGGATATGCATTTCTTTGGTAAGTACGAAATTTTCCGGGAATATTTATTTTTTGGAGTAATTGGAGTTAATGATTTTTGATTAGATAAGTGCTCGGTCGGAATGCGATGCGTAGGATATATAACTAGAAACAGGTGTACTTGTAGAAGTTTTTGTAAAAAATATCTTGTTGTTAATTGCGTATATACCTGTTTTTTGTTTTCCTAGAAATGTGTTGTTAGGTATTGATGAATTTCAAAGACTCAATAAGTTTTTTCTTAAATAGTTTTCGTATGAGCATAGTATTTTAAATAATCGCAAAATTTATTGCACCGTAAAAAAATATATTAATATAAAAAAATTGTACTTAATTTTTCTGCTTTATTTCTGGGTATCCTGGGTATCCTGGGAATCCCGTCCTTGGTAGGTATAAACTTACTTTCATCCGTCCAATGAGTTGTTATTATTTTGTGAATTGTTTAAACAAACTATTTTTACTATTATTCTTCACTATTTTGATTGTACACATTAAAAATATGGTTGCATTAACCATTTATTTGATTCTTTGGACAAACAAACGCTGTTTGTCATTTTGTTAGAGCTGTTTGTGACGCTTTTATTAAATGAATATAATTATAAATCTGGTTTGAAACCGAATATAATAGGATGTTTGCGTATAATTTTATATATAATCACACAAGTTCTTAAATTATAGCTGTTTAATAAAAAATGTGAAATGTTAGAGTTTACTTTATGTGAAAATATTCCACAAAATTTAATTAATGTCCAGTGAAAAAAATTCTGTCATGGCTATTACAAAATATTCATTTTAAAATATTAAAATTTTATATTATTTTTCTCAATTAGAAAAAATTTATCACACAGTACCTCGCTAGATACATTTTCAATTAAAGGCGCAATTATCGAGGTAATAATTTTTGTTTTGTATAATTTTTGTTATATAGTGTCAAATGTTTCTTCAAAGAATATTCTTCTTATTGTTTAAATGCTACATTTTCTGTTGACTTTAAAAAATCGCCACATTATTATTGGATCTCTTGACCTCACTTCTTGAATACATTATTAAAATATTATACATTTTTATTGACAACAACCTGTTTTCTTCAAATTTAAACACATTTTCGTGAAACACATATTTCACATGTCTTTTAATTAATTATGTAGGTATGCAATTTAATTTTAATGAATAGGATTTGTTTATTTTTCTGGTTTGCCGCCTATAATAAATTTTTAAGTTAGGAACTTTATGTAAATCGTCCTGGCATATGAAAATAGAAGATGATGTAACGAGGACATAAATATGTATTACTCTTTTTTTAAAATCGTCTATTAGTCACTGTATATTTACCTAAATAAATAGGTGAAAATGTAAGTGTATACCTACATTATTTTTCTGTAGTATATTGATTTGTACTTTCCGAGTCTGAGCGGAAAAACTAATAACATGGATTGCGAAATAGAAAATGTTTGTTTCAAAAATTGCGTTTTAAATACACCAACAGTAAGGCACATAATTAAGTAGGTGATCTAACGTTTTTATTGTCTTATTTTCGTATCTGTATAATGAGATTTGCAAAAAATAAACTCTTCCTCAAATGCAGTAGGCGTTTTTAATCCGATAATTAATGTTTTCCATCGATCGTTTAACATAATATAATTAAAACGTCGAATCGTAAAGAATACAGTTAAAATTAGTAGCCCATTCACGAATTCTTAATTAGTCTTCGTACAGATCTTAATCGAAATGAATTGAGACACCGATCATCGCGTAAACGCTATTGTTAAAAAAGCCATATCGCATTTTCTAATCTGATCACGTTTGACTTATTCCCAGCGAATTGAACATTTCGAACATATCAATTCGACGTGTTACGCCCACGCGACTCCGTATTTTTTTATCGATATCGCGGCTTAGCCTTGCCGTTGAAAATTATGTACATTGCACATACGCGGTGTGTCAAGGAACACGGAGACTTCAACGGGCACTTAGGCGTGTAACCCGTTTCGATATCGGGAAAAAATTTATTATTCGCTTCAATAACGAGAAGGGAGTTCAATGTAATAAAATACCAGGTGTCCCTATTTAGATTCTTTATTGGCCCGGTTAGTTTTTGATGATATTTCATGTACTCTTGTTGTACAGCAGCCTTGACATGCCTAACGAAAAGTCCTGTTAGGTTGTTTATTTGTATCTCGAAATTAGCGCAAAAAATAGTTGTTAAAAGCGATGGGCGCCCAAGCACGATTGTCAAATCATCCGGAACCGTCGATGTCGAACAGCTGTCTGCTTTACGACCGGAAAATCAATGGCAGAAAAATGATGAAACAATGGAACCACGCGAAAATTTTTCGATTCCAAGATGTCTGACTAAGATCTTGATTGATCGCGTCAACCTTCAACTAATCTAATGTACATTACATTTTTGTCGAATCACATACATTACGTGAGAAAAGCGACCGTGTGTATCTGCACGAATGATTTACATACATAGAAAACAACAGTGGATAATAGCGAAACAACCTTGGGCGGTTATTTTTATTATTTCTTGAAAAACTGAGACCATTCTTTATAGCATCATTAACGCACATAATACCTAAATCTCTTCATTAACGGTGAGAATAATATAAATTGAATAGAATGTACGAATTAAGTAATTTCCTTTTAATTTGCAATAAATGAAACTGAGGTATGTAGGTACGTTTTAATAATAAAGCTCGAACTTTAAACGAGACCCTGACTGTAGCACATCGCTTGCAACCTTTTGCATGACCTATACCACTGTCGATGGCTAATAGCTAGACGTGGTGCATCTAAGCAGTTCCAAAGGTTAACGTAATGTAGGCATGCAGGTAAAGAGAAACTGCGAAATTATTTCGCGCATATGAATAAATAACGCATTAGTTTCGAACGCATACGCAATTTAAATACCAACAAACCGTTATCGTTTGATATTATCATATACAGAGAGAGTGTTGTTAATAAATTTCGATTTTATTGGAGCCTTTTTCTAACGTCTGGTCGGCATGATGGCGTTATTTACACTAGTTGTGCTATTAAATTTAAACGTCGAATAAAACGGTTATTATTCCAAAACGGAAAGAAAATTAGTCATTATAATAATTTTATTTTCCGTTGGCTTGACAGTAGGATTAAAATTAATTTCTGTAGACGCTTCTAAACAAGGAATCTTGATTTGTATTAATAATGATTAGTTTGGCTTATTTGCGTGTAATTTTTGTGAATATTTCTTTAATTGCTTGTATTTTCAGATAGTTCGGACGATTCCGTTAATAAAATTATCGATGAATTTGGAAGACACCGATTGCATGGTACGTAACTGTTTAAAATAATCAAATTCATGTGTTACCCACATTTAAAAGTACTCCTGTTATGATAAAAATTTACACAACTGCGTTTTTCTTATACTTTATATTATTTATAGTTGTACTTGAAGCTATTTTTCTACAAAAGAACCATGTAATTGTGATATAAATTATTTGAAATTGGTTCGAACTGATCTATTGCTTCAATCAATATAATTGATTGTGATAAACGATAAAATTACAGAAAATTGCCGATTAAGAAATTCATTTTTAAAACCTTCAAGTATTTATGTCACAAACATTGCAGAGACCTTTTTACTATAAAATGTAAATTTATTTCCAAAGTGTTTTAACCGCACATTTTGTGAGCACCTCACGAATGCTTTATTTGTATTTTATTCCTTCTCTGTTGTATGTTTATTTGCATGTCGTAGATGTTTTGGAAGAGAATGAAGACGATATATTCGTTCGATTTACAAATAACTCGAGCAACATAAATCGTAACAGATATTCCTCAAGTAAGTTGGATTTTTGGTGAAATGTTAAATTATCATTTGTTACTAATAAATGTCCTTGTTTTTGTTGTGTTTTTAATAGGAAAATTATGAACGTTGGGTTAAAATTTTCTGCAAAACAGTAGATATCGTTTAGTTGCATTTAGTTGCTATTACACAGTTTATTTTTGTACATTATTAAGCATATGCATTTTCGAAAAAGGTTTTATTACTGTGATATATTGCTCGATAAAAACAAGCCATAAACTCTTAAGGTGAAAATATGTACCTACATCAGAGACCCTCTCAGGGATATGTACACTAATATAGGGTGTAGTAAAACCTTTTTATTTCTTTTTTGTCAATATCACCAGATTATTCTGGGAAGACGCATTTTTCGTTTTTATCACCCAATTTTATTAGCTTTTAAGTTTTTTTTTTGCTCATTGCACATTGCATATTGCATACTGCATGTGTGCATTGCGTTATTGCATGCAAATGTGTCAGCTTTCTCTGTTGCTTGTATAGTTGGTAGCACTGCTTCATCCCTAGACGCTCTATGGGACGCCCATCCACACCGATTGAGCGAAGCTGGGCTCAGCCGGCACTCAGGTAATTTCAAAGGTTGGAGATTTACAATTTAATAACCACATAATTATAAATTCGATAAATACTCTTAAACCGCTATTAATCCTATTTTAAGAAATTTTCAAATTTATAATAAAATGTAGAATTTTTGAAATTCTACGAAAATTTGCACGATTAAAATAATATTTACGCTACATTATAACATTATAAAAATATTTTACGCAATATTGGAAATGGTTAATTTTACTAGTCTTGTCGACACTATCATTTTGAAATCTTTGGCTTTGGGCCATTTTGCCGTAAATTATCACTTTCAAGTTTGCACCATCGAGATGTTGATTGAAAACTCACTTCAAGCATATAAAAATTATAAACTAATTAGTAAGTTAATCAAATATACGTTCAAAAAATAGGTTATATTTATACATAATCGCGTAGCCAATTTCATAGTAGATTACAATTAAAACCCAATTAATATTGAATTATCTCTTCTGCTTCGTAAGGATTTTTGATTGTACATATCGAAATTATTTAAGTATTGTACTCACGTGCCTGACAACTCTTAATTAGAATTTATAATTAATCGGTTTCGTGATGGTTAGTTAATTTCCTTTGAGAAAAAATCTGTTTCATCCAATCGGAACTGTAGATAAAAAATTGCTCGTTAATACGTTATGTAACTGGTTGGATAATTTAACAAAAATTATATTTATGTATTGTTATAATGTTCGTAATAGCTGAATGACCGACTAATACGTATTTACCTATTGATTGTGTTTAAGTATAGAATGAAAAGTAATACGGCGTATCTAATGGATGTTTTGGCTATTAGCAATAGAAAATAGGTAGTACAATGCAACATTTTTATTGAAATTTGTGCTAATAGTTTTACTGATTTTTATAATTTATTATCGAAGTAATGTCTGTTGGGGAAATTTAAATTAGAGCGAAAAACCCATCTGATATTATCAATCAAATATTTACATAACATTGTGTTATATTAGCAAACACATGTTAAAAATAATGTTTCTATACTTAAACTTAATTAAGTAGGAATGTGTTCTAACGTTCAACATCCTTTGCGTAAGTATAAAATCATGTACTCTTTGTTTGATATTGTGTTAGAAAATATGTTCTTTCTTAAAAATTAGGCATGAATCACATCCTTCTGAGTCTACACTATTTTTACAATATCAATATGTAATATGTTATACAATATTTTTGTTATGTTTATACAGACAAATTCTCTACCAATGTATAATTTTGTATTTCGGCAATAAAGATTTTAACGAGTATAAACGCTTTCTAACATAACGCCTTTCTAATGCGGTCAAAGGGTTTATTAATTAATAAATCGTTTATATTACTAAAAAAACTGTGAAATTATCGCATTGTTTAATACAGATTCTAGCGCAATCCTCACAGAGGATACCGACAGTTTCATTATCGGCCAAAGAGTTTGGGTTTCCGGCACGAAACCGGGCCACATCGCTTTTATTGGCGAAACCCAATTCGCACCAGGAGAATGGGCCGGTATCGCTTTAGACGAACCTATTGGTAAGTACCACGTGCCCCACGAGATAACCAATATCACGCGACCTTCCAATATGTTAGGTAAAAACGACGGTTCCGTGGGCGGCACGCGATATTTCCAATGCGAGCCCAAGAAGGGCGTATTTTCGAGATTGACCCGACTCACGAGGGAACCGCTGGAAGGTGCTAGTCCGGCGCACACGCCTTCCCCCGTCAACGTCAGAAGGAGCCCGGTTTCCCCAACGGGCAGCACCAAGGGCCTGATGAGGTCTCCGATATCAGTAGGTAAATGGTACCATCACATCGAATAGAGAGCGAGAGTTTTGATGCGAAAAATATTTTTAGCTGGTTCTAATATAAGCCTGTCGTCGGCTGTTTCGCACGCCATAGATTTCGGAATTGGCGATAGAGTTATTGTTAAAAGTAGCCAAGGTTCCAAAATCGGCATCGTCAGGTATATGGGTGCTACGGAATTCGCGCCCGGCGATTGGGTCGGAGTCGAATTGATAGAACCTAGAGGCAAAAACGATGGTTCTGTTAACGGAAAAAGGTTGGTAGATTTTCGCTGATTTTTCAATCAGCGATATTGATTATATTGCATAGAGTTTTCGTGTTAATTGCCATTTTGTAAGGCAACGAATTAAAATCTTAAAATCAACGCAACGATAAACAATTTGCCGATAATAAACGTTTAATAGGTTGTAAAATCCACATTCTTCGAAAAATAAACTCAACAATATCGATTTGGAAAACAACTTCAAGGTTTCGTAATTTTATTGTAGGCTATTATAAAAATCCAATTGCAGTTTTGTTTACTTAGAAACTATTTATTCAACTACACTACACCTACCTTCATACGAGCACCTAAAATAACCATTGCAATTTTAGATACTTCGATTGTCGTCCAAATTTCGGTCTTTTCGCGCCGGTAAATAAAGTAAGCAAATCCCCTTCGAAAGTAAAGCCTTGCGAAATTCACGGCTCTGCAGGCTTACCGCCTTCGGGCATTAGAAGGGTGAATTCCAAGGAGTCCCTGTCATCGACCATGTCGATTACGAGCGCCACGTCGACAGCTAGAAGGGTAAGACTCGGGGTGACGTCGCTAAGTCCCAAGGTAGGGAAGTGTTGAATTTTTAAGTCGTATTGTAACGAACCATGCCAAGATCGTCTATGCAATATGACAATTTAAAAACTTACAATGGCTATATCTCCCAAACGAAACAAGATTTCAAAAAATACCTAAAACCGTTTCTAGGATATGAAGGGGCAACTAAAATAACTAAAATGACATAAAAAAGTATTCACCCCCATCAACCCCTTAGACCCCACGTACCCGAACTATAGAAATTTAAATAGCAATCCTAACTTGTGAAACATCCTTGAAAAGCGTATAAAATGCTATCCAATGGTATACATAATAATTGTACAGGGTAAATCAATAATTGTGAAAACTTGCAACCAGTGCCTAACTGCAGCTGTATAGTGAGGAGGTCCTCCATCTTGTTGGAAGTGCAGCAAATCTTTGTCTAGAGCTAGATTGCCTTCGTCGTCCCTTTGGTTGTCCAATTCATGCATAATTAACGGTTCGATGGTGTTTTCAAACTTCAATATGTTTGGTTTTTAAGGCAAGGTGTCACAATAATTATTTATACAACCTGTACAATTATTATTTATACCATTGAATAGCATTTTTTTTAATCATTTCAATGATGTTTTACAAGTTAGGTATTGCTATTTAAATTTCTATGGTTGGGATACGTGGGACATAGGGGGTTGATGGGGTGAATTCTTTTTTATGTGATTTTAGTCCCCCCTTCATCCTAGAAACGGTTTTAGGTATGTTTTGATATTATGTTTCGTTTAGGAGATATAGCCATTGTAAATTTTTAAATTGCCGTACTGTATAAATTTTACTATAATTCTTATTTATCATTTGCGTTATTATGTTCGTGAAGAGGTTTTAAAAATTGTATAATGTAGTTCTTTTGTATGTCGGTGAAATAATTGGCATGGTTTGAATATGTAATAATACGATATATTTTTAGATTCTGAATATTCGACACCAACCAACCTGTAATTTTCACGCTGCATGACACAATTTGTGTAATATCGAAATATTACTTAATGCGTATAAGAAATATTTTGATTACCGTTTGTAATTTTAATGTGTTTCTCTGGTTTGGCATGCTTCTGTGTTTTGATTTTTATTTGTCTTTTCTAGCTTTTTTATTTTTTGATGGTTTTTATTTATTTTACTAATTACGTTCTTTATTATTTGTGTTTTTGTTGGTTGTGTTTTATTTGTTAAATCTTATCTTTAACCCTTCTCAAGTAAAACTATCATCCTTAGTCCTTAATAAATAAAGTATTTATGATTTAATTTATTCATCAGAAATCTCCTCCAAAATCCGGCAAGTACTCCCGCTTCCAACAAGGACAGCTTTGCAGGTAACTACTTACTGAAGGTTTTATCAATTAAAAAACGAAATAGCAAACCACATATATAATATGTTGAGGGTTTTCACTATGACTAGAAATAACACTACAGATATATTTTGTATTAACTTTTTTAATGTTGTTAGTTTTATTACCTTTATATTTTTAACTTGGCTTTTTTTATAAAAAATAATTTGTTATTATTTGTTACTATTACAATAAAATATACTTACCATGTTTTTACTTATTGTTCACCATTCCTCCTTTATTTATAGTTTATTATTGTTGTGTTAATAAAGTTTGGTTACCTTTGTTTTTTATTTCCTCCTGCTGTATTGTAATACTAGTGTATTTTTTCATGAGTACAGGATTTTAAAAAAGGAATTGAACCTAAAGCATGAACTGATGGTCATTAGCCTTGTAAGATTGTTCTAATATGAAATAATACACTGAAATAATAAAAAAGTAATAATAAATTAGAGTACGAACTCTATAGAAAGAGAATGTGCCGGGAAATGCATATAATTTATTAAAATTAGAACGATCGGTGCATATTAAACTTTTAATGAATGTATGTCTGAAAAGTTTGCTAATTTATGTGCAGACATGCTGTAAAAAATGAATCTTTAAAGTCATAACTTTTGTAATATTCATAATGGTTTCAATAATTTCATTGATATATGCATGAAAAGTGAAAAAGGTTTACATTTCAAAGATTAGTGGCGTAAAAAAGATGGGATAGAAGTAAAAGTTTTACTTTATAATATGTCACAGGAAAACAATTCCAAAATATTTTAAATATATGCTGTAGAATTATATTTGAATCAAAAGTATTCGAAGCTTGTAGAAAATATAAAATAATTCAAAAGTATATTAAATCTCAATAGAAAAATGATATTCTGATGAAAGAAGTTGGAAAACTCCATGATTATTTCTAGTCTTATGCAGCAGGTGCGGCTCTATTAGAACAATTAATATAATTATAGATATTTTAATTGATTGGAAATTCATTTACACTGACAACATAATTACAACGAAAATATGTGGCTTTGTTATTTTCGTTTGCTTTGAATTCAACCGACACACGTCTCATTAGCGCATTAATAAACGAATTAATAATAAGTAAATAAATGATATTTACAGGATGTATTGAAAGAAAAACAGCAACACATTGAGCAGCTTTTAAAAGAACGAGAAGAAGCCGAACACAAATTAACCATGGTGGAGCAGGAATATAAGAAGGTATTTAATAAAATATGCGAGTTTTCCACCCTTTAATTTCAATTTTTATTGCGTTTATTTTGCAATATTCAATTACATTTCTAGTATCGAGATGAAATGAGAAAAAGCGCCATCGAACCCGCGCAATTAGTACAATTACAACAAACCATTAGCCAGCTCACTTCCCAGTTAGAAGAAGAAAAGCGGAAAAATGAAGACCTTCAGTTTAGATTAGAGGAAGTATCGATATTTAAAGACGAATTGCAGGTAAATTCGCATTTCAAAACCGTATTAGAACGAATTCTCTACTAATTTTTCTTTTAGGCCAAGTTCGAAAGCGATGCTACCAAAATCAAAGAACTGGAAGAGGAGCTAACCCGTGAAAAAGAAAAAACTGATAATTTTGAAAACGATGCCAACAAGCTATTCGAAGCAGAAGAAAATTTGATAAAGTACAAAGAAGAGATAGATCTGTTAAAGCAACAGCTGCAAGATTTTAAAACCAAGGAAATCGCTTTGGAAGGAAACCAGGCTACTGTGTCAGGTATATTTTTATAAACATCCTTCAGCAATGCCCTATTATTTTTCACCGACTGTTATAAGTTATCCATTTTACTTGCACGCTTTCTGTGTCAGATTCAAGCATTGTTGAAGGAGCTAAAAACTTTTCGTTGCTTCTTTTTAATTAAATATTTTCAGTTCTAGTAACGTCGTTACAAAAAGAATTAGATCAATACAAAATCGATCTTTCGGAAAAAACCGATAACATTAATGTTCTGAAGCAGGAAATTACCAAAATCACTCAAGATTTCAACAAAGACCTACAAGAAAGCAAGCTGAAATACACCGAATTGGAAACTCTCTATAAAGCAAAAGAAGACGAATTTAGTAGAATAAAACAAGAGCTTTTACAAGCCAACGAGATCAATCGAGGAAAAGTCATCAACCATAGCGAACGTGACAAACGACAAACTTACTGCTGAGACCACCATGGAGAAAGAAATCGATAAGTTGAAAATGGAGCTGAGTTCAAAAATATACGATATCGAAAAGTTCGAAGAAATGTTGAAGGGTCAAGAAACTAGCACAAGCACAAAGGAAGCTGAATTAGGAACCCTTCGGGAAACGTTGAAAAATAAGGAAGTTGGAAATGGAAGAGCTGAAAATTCAACTTGCCGGGACTGCCAACAATTAGAAGAAGTTAATTCTAAACTTCAACTAAAGGAAAAGGAGTTAACTGAAATTAAAAACCAGTATGATTCACTGAAAAATAATCACGAATCTGTTTCAAACGAACTAGTCAAAACGAAGGCTGAATTCGATGGTAAAATCGAAGATTACAATAATACTCTACAATCCAAAGGTGCCGAAATTAATCAATTATCTGATGCCATCCAAACGCAAGGAAGAAGAACTTTCACAACAACTGGTAACTCACGAAGCATCGAAAACAGAAAATGAAAAACTGGCAAACGAAATAAATTCATTAAAACTTCAGCTGGAAGACATTCAAAAGACATACCAAATCACACAGAATTCTAAAGAAGTAGAGCTTACGGACGTATCAACTAAGCTTCAACAAAAAGAAGAAGAACTGGCTAAACATCTATCCGATAACGAAAATTTGAAAACCCAATTCGAAACCATAAATACCCAATTGCAGAAACTAGAACTCGAATTAACAGAAAAAAATAATCAATACGAAACGATGCAAACCGAAACAAATTCGACCGTAAAGAATTTAACCAGCACTCTAGAAGATCGTGAAAATCATTACCACAAACTACAAGAAGAGCATAAAAACACTTGTACCAAACTATCAGAGATCGAATCGATTTTAGAAGCAAACAAAAAAGAACACGAAAACTCTCTACAAACGCTCAATTCAAACAT